AGTTTTTGGTTTATTTATGCTTAAAACGTTCTTTTAGGACATAATTGTGGGTCAGGTAATGATGCAGCTGGGAAAAGTGTGTTAATATATTCTTTCCCGTGGCATAGATAGTGATAGAGCGAGATCTGGTTGGTCAGTGCTTTGCAATGAGATTGGTTGTGTTGTCTCCCTCTGCCGCAAGTGGGATGTGCTGGGCCTTGCTGGTAGTTGCTCTTTATGGAAGAGATGTTCCCCTGTCAGCCCCACGACGGAAAGCTGTCCAGAGCATCCCTATTTCCCCTCTATTTCACAACTAATTTACTATAAATTCCCTGTTGCTGGGCCTTGAGATGCTCACCAGCCAAGGACAGTAACTGCCAAGTTCTCTGTAGTGTTACAGAGATTACAGGCTGGGGAGCAAATCTGGGTCTCAGGTAAATATAGCTGATTTGCAGCTGACTTCACTGGAAGCTCCTTTTCTGAATGGTGACAGGTGGGTTTTTTCTGGAATATCTAGACCATCAGTTTACAGAGCATGTTGTCATTATCCTGGGAGTGGGGAAGAAAATAATAGTGAGAAATTTAATCACTTGTTTTCCTTTTTAAGATTAACGAATGGAAAGTGAAGCTGGACCAGATGTTGCCCTCCCCTCTGGATAGCATTGAGGCCTGGCTTCAGGAGACAGAACGTCTGCAGGCAGAAGATTTGCCTGATTTGCAGGACCCATTTAAAGCAATGTTTGTCTTCAGAGAAATAATTGTAACATTTAAGGTATGCTGATCACAAAGGAACGTTCTGCTTCAGTCTAACCTAGCAAAGCACTTGTTATGGAATTGCTATTTGACATTTTGGGAAGTGATGTGGATATGTTTATCTTCTGAAGATGAAAAGCTCTTTTGAACATACCTTTGAACAATGATGAGTTTAATTAAATAACTGCATGGGTCTATAAGGAAAGTTTCTGACTTCACTGGGGTGAGATTAAATTTGAGTACTATCTGAATGAGTAAATTATGGTATTCTTTTTTATGTGGTTCCTGCATCTTGTTTGTTTCTTAAGTAATAACACAGGGTAATTGCACCCTTATCTTTAAATCTATGCTTAATGCATACCTATTCAGAAAAGCACTTGAGCTCAGGGTTACATTCCAGCGAGTTCATGCAGTTTGTGTGTTTAACGTTAAGTATTTGCTGAATCACTCTGTAATTCCATTCAAAGCAATGGGAGGTATTTTGGTACCTTGGTACCATGCAAGTTTTTTATTGTGATCTTGAAATCTTTATGCTGATAATAGTTTAAAAGTCCTTTTGAGTTTGAAAACTTTAAAAAGAGTAGATATGTTGATGCCTGGCTGATCACCATAATGCTGTATTTGAGGGGTTTTTTATGAACAAGGGGGAAATTGGATGGTTTTGTGGCATGTCCTTAGAGAGAATTTGAAAGAATGGGAAGTTGGATTGGACAACATTCTGCTCAGAATTGTTTTTTTCTCCTCCTTCCTCTAGTCAGTCCTTTTACTAAGTCTCCTGTAGGAATCTTGGTGCCAAGGTGGTGCGTTATAATGGTAATTTTACTTTCTCTTAAGATCTAGGAAATTACCCACCAATGCTCATAACTGTCTGGCTGGGATAGTACTAAGGTTGCAAAATCAAGTGTTTAAAATCTGTGCACTGTTTTGGGGGTTGAGGGCTGCCCCAGGATTTAGCCATTTCCATGAACATGCTTTGTAGCAGGTTTTATTACATAGAAATGAACTTGTAGCATATTTCTTTATATGTCATTTATGAATATGGTTATCTTCTGTGCAATGCATTTTATGCTTTATTTTTACGTTGAGAATTTGGTGCTGAGACACATGCCCATAAAATATTCCCCAATTACGCGATACCAGTCATTAGAGGGTTAATGCGATAAGCACCTCATGGTATTAGATGGAAATTAATTGAGCATTCAAATAAAGTATTAAGCAAGTGTGACATAATAGGTTGACTCAACAGGTTTTGCTGTCAGTCTTGCTACCACATAGCAAAGAACAACTTAATATCCTGAAACTGTTACAATGCCACTTTCTTGTCCTAAAGATGGTAGTGAAAGTCAGGAAAAAACTGATAGCATGGGTAGTGTAGATTCATGTTCCTGACTTTTAACTAGATGCACAGTGGTAAGAGAAATCATGTAGTAGTGCACTAAATACGCGCTTTAGAAGGTGAGGAGATAAATACTTTCATTGCACTTAAATGAGTAAGGACACTGGAAGATTGTCTTGTGCTAACTAGTTCTTAATAGCTCTCACCCTAATGGCAGGTGACTTCCAGTTTCCCAGGTGAAATACTCTAGAATTAAAATGAATGGTTTACTATGTCTTTTTCTCCCCAGGGCTTGATGGATTGTTTTGATTCTCACTTGGAAACCCTTCAATCATTTAAGAATGAAGATGAGAAGAATACGCCACTAGTCTTGCCTGAAAAGTTAGAGGAAATGAAAAGAAGGTTGTGATCCTCAAATTCCCTCTCTTTGGCTATGTTGTATTCTACCTCTGCTATTGACTTGCTCTGCTATTCTAAACAAAGCACATAGTTTATCCATGCCTCGCAGAAAAAGAGCATTTTCTGCCTAAGCACAGATTGACTGTCAAGCAGAGCAGGCAGGTTCACTCACTGGTCCAATGAATGTCTAATTATGTGTAGAAAGGGGAGCTCGTTAATAGGAACGTTTCAGCCACCCTTTGTTAGTGTGGATATGAAATACCCACTAGGGGTAGGAAACATGAATATTTTGAATGTAAAAATTTCTCTGGGGGTTTGGATTCTCTAATTTTTAATTTTCACCTTTTAAAATCACTGAGATCTACAGGTTGTGCAACCCCATGTATCTGTTGAAACCTATTTTCAAAAATGACCAGTGAATTGTGTCTGTAACCTGAGACCCTTTGACATACGGATGGCAGATGCCCCTTTTCTGGGCATTTAAGGTTTTTCATAAACTGAGCAGTCAATATTGACTCAAAATTGTTGCTACTTAAAAAAATGAACCGTTGTTAGCTTAAGATTATACTCCTGTCATAACAAAATAATGTTTACATATATGTAATTCTGAGGTTTTAGGCTAAAAACCTTATACATTAATTCCTTCTATGTCCAATGATTTTAAGTCAGCTTTTGAAACGCATCACTGTTTGCAGATTCAGCAATATTCGCTTCACAAACCCCAACACCTTTCTTGAATACCACTATGGACTGTGCTCAGCTATTGCCAATGAGGTGAAGTTAAAGCTAAATATCTGGGACATGAAATATGGGACGAAAGAGTCTGTGGAATCACTACTGAAAAATTGGAATGTAAGTTTAAAATATATGTATCACACTGACAATAATTCTTCTTCCCCACCTCTCTTTGATTCAAACTGTCCTCATCTGAAGATACTGTGAGAGTTGGTAGAAGCATGGTAGACTTGTCAGATCTGGGATTTATGCAAAGAAGGACAGGTAGATTTCCACAGACACTTTCTCCATGTTTTCCCATTTTCCTCTGAGAGTTCTTTCTTCAGTTTGGAGAAATAGAGTGAGCTGTGACTGTTTGTCATTTCTCTCTGTCCTTTTTTATTCTTTATTGAGAAGATTTCTTTCCTTCTAGACTATTTTCAGGGCCAGCAGTAGCAGACCTTCCCTAACTCAAACCTCTCTGGGGTAGTTCAGTAGTTGCTATCTTCAAAAACAACCGTTATCCACAGTGCTGGCTAATACTGCCTTTTGCTGTGGCCTCTTCCAGCTTCCTTACCTCCTTACACTTCACGGTGAATATGAATTGTCTTGTTTTGTTATATTTTGTGCTTAGATCAGCTTCTGGGCTCAAGTTATTAAAATGATGCCATGTGTAGGCCTATGGGAGGGGATGGATTACCCTACCCCAAATACTGCCAAAGATGCATCAAGAATAGAGGCACAGAGATGAAAACGCTGATGCTATCAATTTTGCCCCATCTCCAGTTAATGGGACTCCCCCTGAATTCCATCTTAGTGGAGTTTCTAAGGAGTTCCTCAGAAGCTTTTCAGACTGGCAAATCCCTAGTTAAATTAGTGGGAATCCCATCAGCATCAGAAATGAGGAAGGAGGCAACAAGAGTTTGTATAAAATATCAATTTTTCTGAGCAGTTGTAACATTGCCCTGTGGTGAGATGGGAGTACAGAGTTAGTCTGTGCTGGGTTTCTTGATTCAGTTGGTTCCATAAATACTTACTATCATGTTATTTCTACGGTTGTCGTTCATGGTCTTTTTCAAGCTGATAGAATACTGAGCTTTCCCTAGGAGTTTAAGGCTTGTTGCTGGCTCTCTTTCTGGTCCCACAATGTACAGTCCTGGCTGAGTGGTGACGTGGTGGCCTGGGTTTGTAATGGCCACAGCAGAGGTTGTTTTTTAGCCTGCTAGATAGGACATTTTTAGGAGTGGGGAGCTCTGGGGTGAGATGCAGCTCAGACAGAGGAGGGCTGAGGATTGACCCTCTCATTCCCTGTGTGAATGTTCAAAGTGCTAATCTCCTCTTCTGCTCCCATTTCTTCCTCTCTCACCCTTTCTTTTCCCAGTTTGGATCTTACTTGATCTGTGGCAGGAACTAGGCGCATTGATATTTCTGTGCTGCAGGGAAACCCACCTTTCATTTTCATCACTTTTTTGACTTAAGCGACTAAATTCTGCCTGACTTGTTCTAGATGCCATTTTTCAATATTGCCCTAGGGCCTTAACTTTTTGAAATAAGCAGTCCTGACTCATACAGGGTTGTGACTTAGGCAATGGCATTCAGGAGTTAATATTCCCATTTAAGTTACTCCCTGCAGGACCAGAAAAAAGAACAGGTCTATTTCAGGCTAAAGGGTGCAGATGTGTTGCTGGATGGGCTTTGCTCAGTTTACGTTTAAAATGCAGGTTATAGGGTCATATTGAAAAAAATGTATCCCAAGCTGCATTTCCTACCTAGTTTATATAGTTTTATATGGGTTAGGGTTACCTATGCCAATTACTTTTCACTTTGGGCAGAATTTCATTGAAGAAAAGAGACTTGAAACGCAACTAGAAACTGCTACTCAGATCTGTGAAGATTTGAAAAACAAAAACATAAGCGGTCCTGACTTAGGTAAGTTCATGCATAGAAACTGATATGAAGACCTCTATTTTGAACTGATGTGCTGTCACCAGTTTTAATTCCCACTTATGGTTTGTGTAAAATAACCTCTCTGTTTCCAAATGTATAATAATATTCCCTATTTGATGTCCTAGCTGGAGATCCTCAAGAAATTAGCAAACTTTTTAAGACAGTGGAGTCAAAGATTTCTGTGTGCAGAGACTATATTTCCAATGTAAATACCACCCTACAGAAAGTCCTGTCTTCCTGGAGTAATTATACAGAAAACATCCACTTACTAAAGACGTGGCTGGAAGAAAAACGAAATGAGCATCCGAAAGAGGTATGTGGTTGGATTTCTCTTTGTAATGACAGACAGAGATACTTGGAAGCCTCCTGGAAGGAAAGCGTTATACATGACAGTGGTCATTGTTGCTTTTCTGTTCCTCATTTTGGAAATAAACTTTTGGCAGGGTTCTGCTTTAAATTATTTCAATGCTTCTGTCTAGATCCCTGCTGAGACCCTGGCAAAGTGGAATTCAGTTCATGGTTCCCTAAATCAAGCTGGAAACTATCTCATCGAAGTCAGCAAAGAGCAAGTTGGATCAAATATTGCCAAAGAGCTGAAGAAACTGAACAGGAGATGGGCTAAGTTCATCAAGAGGGCACACTTTGTAAGTTACCAGTTTCATGTCACTCTTTTGCTATCCAGCCTTCAAAATCGTATTTTCTAGACTTAACAGCTTGCTAATCAGAGGTTGGTAAACGTTTCAGTCAACTCGGTATTGCCAGCTTTAAAACAGGAGGAACAGAGAATACACAGAGGCATCCTATTCTGAAGTCTTCATGACTCAGTTAAATGCTCTGTATGACACGATGGAAAATGTTCAATTTTTTAAATGGAAATTTTAAAGCCATTTACAAAAGGAAATCTTATTGCAGGATAAAGCTCTTTATTCAGTTCTAGAGATGGAAGTAATCAATTTGTTAAGAGCTTGTGAGCCTTTGCTAAATTATATAATCTCTGCCTCAGCTAATAGAAAGTAATTATTGCTGTGTAGATATTTCTAGGGTTCTGCAACTTTACACCAGCTCACTTGACAGGTTTTTAGGCTGCTGTAAATTCCTATACAATCTGCTTAATGTTACATATATTACAATTCCTAGAATGCTTTCACAAGAATGACATTTTCACTCTGCCTGGGTGTATTAGAGCTCTTAATTTTCCAAGTTGAGCCTTTCATTGACATTTATTAAAGGTACTTCTGTGACAATAAACAGTGGCAAAAAATTACAACATTTTTGTAGGAGATGAGAATGCAGGAAGATCAAAGGAAACATGTTCCCAAGAGTGAGGGGAATCTGGAGTTTCCTAGAAAAACCCAGAATTAGAGATGCTTTTGGGAAGTATATTCAGAAAACAGACAAAAAGAGGCCTCTTGCACCCTTACAAGGGCTTAAGGACTTCAGGAATTATTTTTCTGGCATTGCTTTGGAAGTTATGGCTATAATATATATTATACTTATTTTTATATATAAAAAGGCAAGGGCGAATGCTTGAGCTCTAGCCTGTGACTGCCAGTACCACAGAACTGGTCTTGATTTGACCACCAACAACTATTGCTCTCTTGGACAATTCCCTGGCATAGCCTGGGTGATGCTGCAGCCCAGGAGTTATGTGCCGTAGTAGTGTGATTGTGGCTTCTTGCTTATAGGGGAGGGAGCGGGCCATAGGGGCACAGGTTGTGCTGTCCCACCTGCTCTCAGGGTTGAAGAACCGAGCCTCACATGGTTTATTTACCAGTATGTTTGGCATTTATTTCTCCTTCAATCCCTGTTGGGTGCAAAAGCTGGGAAGTAACCCAAGTGGTGACTGTGTGTTGCAGGGTGATAGTGGAGAGGCCCATGAACCGATGATGGGTATGAACATCTTATCCTGCTCTTTGTTTATAGCTTGGTGAAGAGAGCACAGATGCTGCTGAAAAGACCACGGAGCCTCTGGGGAGCCTGGAAAAAATTGAAGAGCTCCTTGGAGGGGTGTACAGCTGGGCAGCAGAGATTGAGCACCTGCTTGGCAAGATCAGTCATGAGGGGCCTGTGCAACCTGAGATGGAGGAACATTTGCAGGTGAAAATGGAATACAGTGCTTAAAATATTTGTTTATCAGATTCTTATCTTTCAGCATGGGTTTGTGGCTGGGGTAAAATGAGCCGTCCTCAGTGAAGCAGAAATAAATGTGGATTTTGTGCTGTAACAGTGGTAAAAAGTCAAGGCAATGCTAGTGTTTTGATGTTATTTTCCAGGATCGCTCCCAGGTGAGCTGTAAGTGAATCTTCCAACCTCAGTGTGTCCAGATGACAAGCAGGTGCCAATGAAGTGCTGTTGGTGCCACTGATCAGCAGCTTGCTCTTGAGTGATATTAATTATTCTGTGTCCAGCACAGCATTTTCAGCAGACTAAAACTTTGCAAGGTGCCGAGCTGAGAATTTCCCCTGGTCATACAGTGCTTTCTATCATCTACCCTGCAGTGCAGAGTGGAGGTCTGGGACAACTTGTCTGTATTCAAGGCTTACCTGTTAAAAAACTGGAATACTTTAAGTATTTTCAGCAGCATGCTGGGTAATTTGTGCATCTCAGCTTTTAGGCAGTTGCTCTAAACATCCACAATAAGCACTGATGAATTTCTTGTTATTACCACTAGTCTCTATTGTTTCTCATGTCTCTCAGCCAGGGGTTATTGTTCCACTCCCCTAGCAGATGGCAGGTGGAAATATGTGTATCTAACTCAGGAGCTTCAGTACAAAGTCCGATTTATTTCCTTCACCTGCCAGTGAAGGTGAGACTGCCATCTTTTGCAGTGGAGAAGCTGAAGCACTGTCTTATGTTGCCTTTTGCTATTTCTGCAATAGGGCCAGTATAATCTAATGGTAGGAAGGTGACCACCAGAAGGAGGTTTCATTAGAGCTCTTCTGTCTAAAGGCTAAAATTAAACAGATCTTCTTTGGTACATTAAATCCACCTGTGTACGAGAATTAGTGTTAGTTTACTTTTGGTTTGTGCCTTCTTGCACTGACAGAATTAGCAGTGTGAGCCTATGAAAAGAATCTATTCATCTTTTTGTAATTGTGGGCACATGTTCATAAAATAAGCCTCATTTTGCAGTGTAGCACTAGTTTGTTAAAAACGCCGAAGTAACAAAAGACACCATGAAATACAGCCTCCAAAAATGTGACTGGTATTATATCTCCATGTCTGTGAGCAGAAGAGATCAGGTCGCTTATTACCTGTGATACAATAGGTTGAGATCCAGAATAAAGCACTGATTATCATTAGAAGAATACTAATTGACGACTTCAAACAGGAAAACCTGTTGAATATTCATAGATCAAAAGAGCTCTAATAATGACATTTCATGATAAATATTCAAATATAGCACCTACTTTGGCATGCAAAATACCCAGCTGCTCCTGCCTTTTAGTACTGAATACCACAAGAAAATCTGAGCCTTGATACGTACTTACTTTTGGATGACTTCATGATCAGATGACGCATATCCAAATGTGTGGTTTGTACATTCATTTGGAAAACTGTTTGAACAGGAGAGCGTGTTTAAAAAAATACTTCTGATTGGCTCTGAGGCAAAGACATGGGAGGTATCATACTGACAGAAAGACTGTTTCAGCGAACAGAATCCCCTGTGGATGGCAGCAAATTTCTTTCTCTCAGAGATTTTGCAGTGCAATACTGCAAAACTGACTGACCATAATTGGAATATAAGACTTTTCCTTGACCAAATATTGACCATCCATTATCAATGCCAGCTTTTCATTCAGTTCCTTTAAACAAAAAATCATAAATACTGTAGACACTTCTAATGCTTTTCATTCAACCAGAGCTTGGCTGCAAGGGGAGCCTCATGCCAAGAACAAGTTGTGGCAGCAGAAGAGATATTGCAATCCCTGACACAAGATGTTTCAAGTCAGGTGTCCCAACAGCATTCTCACACCACTGGGCTGCAGGCACGAATTAAAGAAGCCAGAAACAAAATAGAGGTACTCCTTTTTTACTTTTATTGTACTTTATACACAGACACCTCTAATTTTAGCATTATGTGATTAGGAAGACTCCTTGTCATTCATGTAAACTAGAAAATGTGTTACGCTATTGGAATCAGTCTCTCAGACTCTTGCCAGGGCAATAACTAGAACATTTCAAAGATCAGTATCTCAACTTGAAAAACTTGAGTGATGTTATGAAGCAATAGCTTTATGTAATCACTGGCACTCAGGCATGTTCTGAAAAGTCTCTTTCTTCCAAGGCTGTCATGGGTGACATGAACAACATCTTGTCCAAATCTGAGAAGAGACTCTCAGAGAAGGAGGCTTTGCACAATTTTGAAGAATCCCAGGAAGAACTTGAGGCCTCCATTTCAAAGGCTGTGCAACTTATCAGTCAAAAATTAAGTCCTAAAGAATGTATTTCCAGATATGAGGTGCGTTGGTTTTTTTTCTGAGCCAGCTGAATTTGAGTATTTCTTTGTGCTTTTTAGTATCTAAAAGGCTAAAGTACCACAGTGAGAAAAACATACTTTTTTTTTTTAGTAGCTATTAATACTTTTCTCAGCTTTTTGATTTAACACTGATAGCATATATTAACTTGGCAGACAGCTCGAATGAAGAAATGTAAATCTGTGTGGCAGTTTATTCAGTGCTTTGTCTTGTCTTAAATTACTCCATCATCCCACCAGAATCCATCATATTCTGAACTACAGACATATTTTTGCCTGATAAAGATTCCCGTTAAGAATCACGTGCCTGAATTCTTGGACAGGTTTTTAAAGTGTGATTATAGATGCTGAATCAGCTTTTTTCCTAGTGGCTAACTGGTAAAGAAAGTGTCCAGTCTCAAAATCTGGTTCTCTTAAAGGAGTCCTTAGTGAGGTATGAAAAATGGAAGTGCCCAAAATCTGTATTGCCTTATCTTGCACAGCAAGTCCTTGGCAGCCATGTGCTGGGAGCAGCACAGAGCCTCACTCCAGGCCATCTCGTAGGGTCCCATCGCACTGTTGCAGACCTTTCACCGCTCTCTGACAGGCACGGGACACGGCCACATATATTCCCTATAAATGATGCAGAATTCAGAGACCTTAATCTTTCTTATTTGGTACCAAATTTGACCCTAAAAGTAGAGCTACAGGAACAACATCTGCTTTTCTCCAAAAAGCGTACACTGATATTGTCTACAATCTTTTTAGGTGTATGCAGGGGTAGAGAATGCCCTCATACTCACCCATGTAAGGGCCACCACAGCCCATACGTGCAATGTATACATGCTTTATGCACGGTCTTATGCTACTGATGTAATTTTATTAGGTAAAAAAGCTACATTCAGTTTTGCTTACTTTTCATTATGATGCTTTTCTTGCAGGAAGCTTTTAATGCACTGGACAATAAAGTTCTTGACAAATTTTTGAAAGCAGCTGAACAACTGAAAAATATTTCACCTGATTGTGAAAAGCTGGTAGTGGAAGAAAAGAGTAAAGATGTTCGTAAAAGATGGGAGGTGAGATAATATAGGAAGGAGAATCCACTGTCCTCATTAGGCCTGGCATCTTTGAAAAACAATTTCTTTTGTCACAGTATGTTCTAAGGTTTTTATTTGCTTTGTAATACTGTCTCACCATCTCACAGGAATAATGTGTTTTGAATTTTGCAGGCAGTTCATCATGAAATTATGTCCTATGTCCAACTCATAGTAGAAAGGGAAAAAAAGAAATTTAATGCAACTTTAAAAAAAATCAATAAGCAACTAGGCAAAGAGAAGAAACTCCTAAGTATGGATAAAACCAAAGGGCTAATCAAGGAACATGAGGTACCTGCCACACTCCTTTTCTGCTCACTTACCTCTCTTTGTGAATGTGTTGTCTGTTCTTCTTCCTCATTTTTAGGTACGTTATTACAGCCTGTGTTTGTGGAACAGGGCCCTTGTGCTCAGTGTTATGTAAATACAGAACAAAGAGGCCACCCAAATTATTTCTTTGCCTTTTTTGACTGCAGATATTAGCCTCCTTGCAGACTGTTAGAATTACCTCCTTCTTACATGGATGGTATCTTTTTTTCCATTTTTTTAAAGACAACCTTGAAGCATTAAAACAGATTTAGCTGTCCAAAGTGTAAAAATAAGAAATGATTATGTGTTCTCTGACTCCCTTGATTTCTTACAGTTGCATAGATGGTATTAGGAGCCTTCAGGTGAGAGTATCTTCTCACAGTGCAGTAGCTGCACTTTATCTCTGTGTTTGTGCTGTGGATAAATTAACCACAGAGTTAGACTAAGACATTTCATTTGCCAGAGTGAGTCATGGTGAATCTTACATATTCCATAAGCAGTGGGTTTTACACTTCATTACTTTTAGTATTTTCCTTCATCCTCCTCTTCGAGATGCATTGATGTGGCCAGTTTACCACTTATGAGGGTAAGAAATTGCTTTCCTGATGAAATTCTGGTCTTCGTTGAATTCAGTGGAGTTGTAGTCTTTGTTTCTCATGGGTTCATGTTCAGCAAATATTACGTATGCAAGATTAAAGAGAAATAAGCGTTCTCAGGGGCATTCCCTCTGCTCGTATTCTCCTTAGTTTTTAGTATATCTTGATTTCACCCTAGAAAGTATAATTATTGATTTTAAATAAATTTTCCAATTCTGCTTTTTCTGTAGTCAACTGGACATGTAGTTCTGACATCAGTTTGAAGAGGACTTGGGACCAAAAGTAGCTAAAATTGTAGTAATATAATGAATTTCAAAATCAAGTAAGAGTCAGTGTAGTCTTGTGAATGCAGCTTGGCAACATGTTGCCAGAAATCCTAATTTCTTTCCTGGCTCTATTTGAAAAAGAATTGAGGAAAAATAAATGTTTCTCTTCTGGTTTGACAGCTTACACTTTAAGTGCACTCATCCAAGAAGACAATGGACATAGAAAAAAATGTATGAAAATAATTGCATATCCTTATGACTTAGCATGAGTTTATTGTGTTGTTTTTCTTTGTTTAGGCCTTTTTTTCACACGAAGGCAGCCTGAGGGAACTTAGCAAGTCATTAGAAGACCTTAAAATATTGGGAAGACTATCAGAAGAAACTGTCCCAGGCATACAGACACTGACTACAGACTGTGAACAAAAGCTAGAAAAGCTTCAACAAATTGTGGCAGATACTTACACAGCCCTGCTGTCTCGTGCTGGAAAAGGACAGCCATCTAAGAAAGAGTGGGTGACTGAGTGCATGATGTGTTGTAGACACACAGAAATCAGACATATGGATAAGTTTTGTGGTATTGTAAATGTACTACCAAGTAAGTTACTATGTACATTACTATGGGCAGCTGTACATTTAAACATTTAGTATTACGTTTCATGAACTAGCAATTACAACGTTTGATTATCCTTCATGACAGCTGCACTGTTTCTAATCACTAGCCAGGATTTCTTTTTTCCCCTTTGTGTTTCACACTTTGTTCTTAAGCTGAAATTTCTTTTAAACCATAGAAGCTCCATTGTTGCTTCTGAGAATGGAGAAAAGCCTGATTCTTCTCAACAAATTGATATCCTTTCGGTACAGGAGGTAAGAAGTCCATACTTACTGTTAGAAAACAGTGCTCTGTCTAGGGGAGATCACTGGCAAAAGGAAAAACTATTATTTCTGTTACTATTCTTATTGTGGTGGGACCTCAGGCCTCTGGTCAAACATCAAAAATCCATTGCACTTGGGAACATAGACTAAGTAAATATTAAAAAGTAACATGCAAGGAACAGCACTGGGCATCCTGAGGAGATGTGAGCCTCCAATCTTGCATTATATTTTGCTGAAGAGTGGATTTCAGCTGGAAGAGTCATGTGTGAAGCTGTGTTCAAGTGCAAATCCCCTATAGTGTCCCAGTAATTTGAACAAGTTTCAAAGGACACAGAGAGGAAAAACAGTGAAGAGCTGGAAGTATTTGCTTTAGAAAAATACAGGGAAAGCCAGAACACATGTAACTTTTGGAAATAATATCAGAAACAAGATACTGTAATTCATCATTTGGATGCCACAGAAGATGTCTCATTTAGGATAAAGATTCATGCAAGTAAGGCTGCAGACACCTCATCAGACAGCCTCCAGGCTGGTGATTTATAGGAAGGGACCCATTGCATTTACATGAAGTTTGAAGATATGTCAGAATTGGCTATTATCAAGGGAGATATCTTGTAAGGCTACTAATATTGTCCCCAGTACAGTGATGAAATCTGTTCTCTCTAATCAAAGTATGAATTGTATAACTATCATCAGCCAGCCTCAAACTGAGGAGTAGAGTATATCCTGGAGTCAAGGGCAAGAGACATGTGAAGGCATCTGATATAAGGAGCCTGACAAAAGCTGCAGAAGACAGTGCTTTGTGGTTGCCCAAGGATGTCTGTGGAGCTGAAGCAAAAATTTGCACAAGTGGATTGTGCTTGCCAAAGCCCAGTATCTGGGGAAGGAACAAATGGCCTGGCTGCAAGTGATTGAGTTTAAACACATCTTGTATTCATGAATGGTATCTCTCATCTCCTTCAGGACACATGAAGCAGTTGCTTCTTTCAGGAATACAATGGAATAGAATCGAATCGAATCGTTTAGGTTGGAAAAGACCTTTAAGATCATCAAGTCCAACCATTAACATAACCCTGCCATCCCACCACTAAACCATGTCCCTAAGCAAAGGAGTTCACAGATGTCTGTTAGTATTCATTATATATTGACACAGCATGATGCAGATGTCATTGTTACCTTTTTTTTATTTTTACTTAGATGTCAGGACCTGCTACAGATACAGTTTTGGAACCAGATGTGAAACATCACAATGGAGAAAGCTACGCAAAGAAATTTGAGGAAGACAGTGATTTGCCCATACCAACTTTATTAGAGAGGTAATTTTTAAAGGATCAAATGCATGTATATTGAGATGATACTATACTAGACATTCATAAATTAATTGAATGTATTGAACATAAGGTGCACTTTTGCTATGCAGAACTCTGTTCTTGTTCTACTACATTGCTTAATATTGCCCTGTAATTGATACGGAAGTGGTATAGTAGCTAAATGGTTCAAACATTAGGATTTTGTACCAAGAACACTTAGAGCTAGAAAACTTTTTTTCTGCTCTTTTCTTGGGCCATAAAAATCCGTATCTGCCTTACTAATAACTTCAAATATTGCAAAATAAAAAAAAGTGTCAAGTTTTTAAAGAACTGACATTTTTACGTTCATAAAACTGAATTTAGAGAATGCAGGCAGGCATTCATACTTGAAAATTAGCCAGGTGAGCCATTTCTCAGCTCTTTCATATGTTGCTTATTTATGCCCATTCATTTGGGACATAGGTAAAAAAATACGCATTTGCAATAGACTGCACCTTTTTTATATGGTAACCTATTGGTCAGCAAGTCCCAGTCCCTGCCATGTTCGACTAAATTAGAAGTAATATTCGCTCTGAAAGTGATTGCATCTTTCTTTAGCTATAACACACAAAGAAGTAACCTGGAGGAACTTTTGCAAGTCAGCAGAGATAAAGTAGCATCTGGCTTTACTGATGAAATAAAAGACACTTCATGCCTTCAGGATAAGCTGCTTGAACTACAGGTAGGTATTCATCTTTTAAAACATACTTGGAGGCTAAATTGTTATTTTCTTGTGTAGAGCCCTCGCCTCTCTGTGTTACATGCATTGCCAAAAGAAAAGGAGCGTCCTTACAACCAGGTTTGTTAGAAGTAGAAGGGAAATCAAGGGTTTAGCGTTCAGCAGAACTGCATTTCTACTTAGCAGTGGAGTTTTGCCAGTGTTGCTGAAAGAAGAAATTGGTGGCTGTCAAGTTTGTGATCTGCAGGCTGAAATAGGTCTAATGGAAAAAATAACTATGGAAACCAGCTTTTTTCTCAGCAGGAGTGGTAAGTGATGGACCATGGTCAGGGCTGGAGGAGTCATTGGCGTTGAATGATCAAATGGCAGTGGTGTATGTGCATAATGAAACTGTTGCAGGACTTATAACTTGATCAGGTTTGTGAGAACCTTAAGGGGATGATAAAAGGCACATAACTGATGTTGGAGAGTTTATTACTGAATTTTTTCAAGTCCTTGCTTGAAAGGGGCGTACAAAGGTTATCTAGCACCTCGGAACTTGGTTCAGTTCTACATTTGTTTTTTGGTCTTTTGAACATAACTAAGTTGAGATATTTTCCATTCATTCTTGTAATAAAAATGGCTGAACCATATTTATTGAACCTTTTATAAAATGTAGCCAAGGCATATATCTGACATGGAAAGTGTCATCATAAAAAGTTGGTAGACATTTGCATGCAGCTGAAAATGGAGTCTTGAAGAAAAAGAAAGCAGTAGATACTCTAACTTTACAGGTGATGTTTTCACTTTTTCTGCAGAGACTCTGAGACTCTTGCCACCATAATATGGTATCATATAAATGCAATTAATGCTGCATATCTTTTAGGTGATAGAGAGTGAAACCAATTCCGGTTGGACACAATTGGAAAACATCTCATCTACCTTAGAAAATCTTGTGGATGAAGTGCAGCAGGCTGCTGTCTCTGAGACGAGAAACCAAATAAAAAGAGAATGGAAAGAGCTTCAGGATATTATAAGTACCAGGTATAAAATAACAATTAATTATATTAGCTAAGGAATAGTTCATTGTAACTAATGTGTGTATTGTGAAGGGAATAGTGTGTGTTACAGAAAACACCTGCACATTTTTAACCTTTTTTTATAACTTCACAGAATTGAGCTTTTCTTAATTACACTTTGTTCATATATACATTGCGGATAGTGTAAATATCTCCAAGGAATACAGAGCCAGATCTTTGTAACATCACTGCACACTTTCCCCAAGTTTACTGTTATTTCCTTCAACCTTTTGGTTAAATTCATTGTGATTCACACTGCTTTTCTTATTAATCAATGGAAAACTCCTTTGACCTCAGGAGGAGGAGTATTAGATCTGTTAGACAGTCAATTACATTATCTTTGTATTTTTTTGTGCTGTAAAATGTTGAGTGTCTTTTCTTGCTTGCTTTCCCAGTTCATGTTTTGTTACCTTTCTTGTAGAACAAACTCTTTAAGGACTGCTTTGGAAATTGTTTTGCCAATAGAAAATGAATCCATTCTTCTTTGTGAATTAGATCAGCGGCTGAAGAAAAAGGACATCCAGCAGTTTAATCTGATGAATAGTGATCTTGCTTATAGGGAACTAAAGGTAAGGGAATACGCAGAGACCACACCCTCGCCAGAATGTTCTTAATATGTCTAGGAACTATAGAACTTAATGGGATTTTCACTCAGAAGTTTGGGACCACTCACAAGATTTCCCAAACCTTCTAATGTCTAACAGCATTTTACTCCCTTTGCTTTAAATGTCATTGTTTCCGCAGACACCCTCAATAGGCTCTACTGTAAAAAGCATAGTCATGAACATTTCATCTTAGGTTAGGACTTCCCAGATTTACAGTGTTCCCACCTGGCCTTACGTCATTTTGTGGAGTCGTATACATAATGTGGTGTTAATTTGTGAGCTAAGCTAAGCTGCCTTGTGTCAAATCTGCTGAGGTATCTGAGCACGCCCCAGGATGGTTTTGGAAGCTCTGCATGTATGCAATAACTTGTTGCTATCAGTATCTTATGCCTAGGCTCTGATCTGTCTGTTTGGCGGGGTGAATATTGTTTTGTTCTTGATGCGCCCTCGGAGTTGAACACACTGAGTGTTACACAGAACTGAAAGTTTGCATTTCTTTGCCCTTGGCTCTCGAGCTAAGTAGGGTTTAGGTCTCTCAAGCTGTAGGGCAGAGAGCATGTGCACCCTCTGTCTGACACTTTTTGGCTAGAAGGGCCTTGCATTTTTTTCCCAGCTCTCTGCACATTTGGAGTTTCGCAATGCTGACTGCTGTTTGTCTGAGGGCTGTAACCAGATAGCATGCAGATGTCGCCAAGAGATTTTCAAATGCGTGTACGTCTCCTCCAAAGTATAGCATAAAGAACTTAAAAGGTGGCAGAGTAACAAACATCTGTGTGCCTGCCTGTGCTCTGAGCCATCTCCCACTGCAAGAGCCTGCTGGTTTTGGTCCCAGAACTCTCATTGTCTTTCTCTCCTTTTTGTCTGATTGCTGGAGGGAGGCTTGGGCTTTCTGTAGTGCTGACCAAATTCCCTGTGTGTGGAATACCATTCGATTTGATTTTTCTTCTTTTTGCTTCCCTTCACCATGGTCCAGAGTAAGAAAAAAGAGGTTTTCTTTCTTAACCACCCTGTTTAGCATACTTATTTTATTGCGAGTATAATTTGGTTTTCGGTCATATGTTCAGCGTGAATGCAGGATACAGATTTCCTTTCACTTACTGACACTGTTGGTCATTCTCTCAATTTCAGGAGTTACAGAGATCCATATTAAATCAGATTGAAGTATGCAAACAATTGGAACACTTAGATAGTTCAGCAAGAGATGAATTTAATCCAATAGACCTGCAAGCTGCAAGTAAAATTATGATTTACTATCAAAACCAGCTTGAAGAAATGAGCCGTAAAATGCAGATCCGCGAGACAGTCCTTAAAGATCTGGAAGCTTTTATGGCCTCATTGAGGAAGATTCAGTCTTCCATCAAATGTCTCACAGATCCCTCAGGTCAACCTGAAATTCAGGGAAAAGCATTAAGAGAGGCTGCACAAGAGGTTTCTCATATGGCAGAAGAGGCTAAATGTTTGGATGAACGCTTGAAAACAGTTGATATCTGTTTGGAAGATGCTGAATGTGGGAGAAAGACTTGCTGTGAAAATCTCGTTCTGACTTTATCCGGGGAGCTAAATGCAACTTATGATCCTTCAAATGAACAGATGCTTACAGAGGAAAAAGACTTATACCAGATTTTTTCCACAAAAAATGGTGAACTCCTTAAAAACATTCAGGATCTACGTGACAGAATTAACAAAATAGGCTTGAAGGATCCAACAATTCCAGCTATTCAACAAAGGTGAATTCTTTTTTTAAGTTCTTAATTTCATAATTTCAGTGAACTCAGAGGGCCTGTGGCCCCTTTGCAGCAGAGCACTGAAACTCTAATGTCTTGAAATACCTGTGAAGCAGTGAAAGAACTTGTGCGCTTATGGTTCATTCTCTCCCTCACAGCCTAAATAACTTCTTTTAAACTTCTGTGTATGTGTGTGTTTGAAGCAGCATTGATGAAGAAAAAATAGAAGGAGGTTGATTGTTATGGTCATAGATTTCAATAAGAAAACTGTCAAACAGGGAGGCAGGTCTTCTTGCTGAGCACTGACACTCATGATGTGAACCTCTGTGCTGTAGAAGCCTTGGGTTATTTTACCACACCCCAGGAAAGCTGCTAACATGATTTGCATGACATCAATACTGTTTCAGAGGAGCTCTTTGCAACCTTGCAAAGGATTAATAAACAATTCATTACTGTTTGTGTGGTTGGAAAAATGAAGGGGAGAGGAGTTTATAAGCTGTGACCATATTTTAAGTTCTGAAATCTCCAATGGCACAGCTTCCTTTCTTAGACCGTATTTTAAGATAGCCAGAATGCATTTACCTTTTAATAGAAAGTAATTTACTATGTTCATACAGTTGGACTTCAGGATTTTGGATTACTTTCTCAAAGGGCTTAGGTCAGCATAACTCATGTGAAAGACTGTGTCAAATTACACGAACTGAAGATCAAATTAGACTTTTTATAATGTAATTTAATATAGTTGGTATGTGCAACTCGTGATGAATTTCTAGGGAACTTATTAATTACATTGGGGGAAAAAAAAATCAAAGACTTACATATAAGGCTGTATTTCATTTTTTCTAATAAAGGGTAAAATCATTAACGGAACTGGAAAAGGAATTGGACTGTGCTGCGGTTGAAATGAAACCTATGCGAGAAATTGCTAATAAGCTCCCACAGATCAAAGAGGAAAAAGCAGAGGAAGCAAACGAACAGTGCAGAGTTACAGAGAGGTTATGGGAGGATACAAAACTCTTGCTTGCTGAATGGTAAGGAGAAAAATCACATTTTTAAGTAGTATTGTGCAAGGAAGAAGTTTGCTTGTAAGATGAAACAGCAGAAAAGCATTAGACCATACTTTAAAGTAAATTAAATACTGATACAGTAGAAAATGTTACTGTTATGATGCTAAATATCATATTGCCAAGAACTGCACATAGAAGTTTGCAGGCAAAGCTCATGATTTTTTTTTTTTTTATTTTTAAGACGTCATAGTCCCATTATTTAGCAGGTATGCAGTGATATGTTGGACTTAATTGGTATCCAAAAGAAAAACCTGGCTACTTCTAGGAATGATGTTTCTTCTGTATTTGCTATGAACTTCATGCCAGCACATTCAAAAAGAGAAGTCAAACTGAAAAAAATGGAAGAGGACAGCTGGGAAAACTTATGTCTCTTATGCAGGAAGAGACTAAAGGAACTTAGTTCGATAAGTCTGTGAGAGTGAGGACTGGGAAGGGCTATGATTGATCACCCAGAGCTTCTGTCCTTCTCTGACAGTTTTTGAAGATGCCTAGAGGCTTTGCATGGACTAGCACAGTTCTGGTTAATCCTCATGGCTTGAACAGGTGTCAATGGGAGTAATCTGTTTTCATATCCCACTGAAGGCTGGGCTGAGGTATTTCCCACTGTCCAACACCCAAGCTGTTGTGATATCTGCTGCACATTGTATTTCAGTTTACTGGTGACCGAGCTCACTTTTCAGGTGGAGAGTATCATATAAACAGAATTCCTTAGGTCACATTGCAGTTAAATGTGAGCCAGAGGCATATGATGGTGAAGGGCATTTCTGATTCCAAAAACTGGCCACATACCACACCAGGTATCGCACAGTATTGCAGAGTTTAGGACTGGTACAGTTTATCCTCCCTGTTCTCTCTTCCAGACATAGCAGTCAAACTCCCCACATGTTTGAATATAGGAGAAAGAAGCAGACAAGAGGTTGAGGCTGCTGTTTTATGCTCAGGCCATAAATAATACATCTCTTTTTAATAGCCAGGAGCAGTGTGCAAGGGCTCTGGAGCTCCTGAAGCAGTATCAAAGTTGCAAAACTAGTCTGACCAGCATCATCCAGAAACAGGAGATTGTGCTTTCGCAGCAAACTTCTTACATGGGGAAGGAGAATTTGAACAGACTAATAACAAAGGTGAGTAACAAGAACTTACCAGAAAGGAAGGAAAAGCCTTTCCTGGGACCTTTCAGGTTTAGGGTTGCCCTTGTACACCCAGCCTTCAGGGCAAATATTAAGACCTTGCTTTCACTTTGGCTTCCAAAATACATTTAGGGACCATACCCTGGCTTTGTTTTAAGTTGGTGTCTGGCTTTGCTTAGTGAATCAAGGTCTTGTTAAAGGGGAAGGATTAAAGAAAAACCAAACAACATAGAAAAACCATGATCTAGTATCAAAATAAGATGAAATCCTGTCCTACCAAAAACACATGTTAGAATTTGCCATATTCACACACACCTGTTAGAATATTTCTATATTTTCCACTGAGTTAAAAACCTTATAGTGGGCAGTTTGTAAATATACAAAAATAGCAAATCCATTTGTTACTAAGAAGATACTTTACAATGTTGTACCACCTAAAGCAAAAAATAATAGGTAATGCAACTCCTTGGGGCTGCTTGTTTCTCTGCTGTTGCTGTAGCTTATAACCAATAATTTAGATCCATATCCTCTTCTTGCTCATGTCACTGGGTCCCAGGCAGGGCTGCGGGGTTTGTCTGTGTTGTGCAGTGCTGTGCAGAGATCTTCAGCTAGCCCTGAGCAAGCAGGAACAGGAGCCATAAGGCTGTGTCAGCATGGCACATCTGCTCAGAGGCTGGACCGTGACAGATCTATCCTGCTTCCCAGGCTGGAGCTTGTGTACCTCGCTGTATGTCATTGCCACTGTGCTCAGAGACAGCTTGGGGATTGCCAGCACGGTGCTGCCTTAGTGTGTGGACTTCTGAAGACCAACATGGTTTTGACTAGGCTGATGATACAGTATTTCCTTGAGCTGGGTACATTTGCAGCATGAATCTCTGCCCTCACACTGATTTTGCTGACCAAACTGTGTTGCAGTTAGAAGCCATAACAACACAGTTCGTTCTTTGTCCTCTTGCATCTGCTGTGTTACAAACCTATTTCGAAGGCAGACCTCCTATATAAAGAGCCTTGGCCTCTGTAACCAACATTTGCTCCATGCTGTCTTTGATAGCAGTTAAACATTTACAGTAGCTTTTGCATTAGCTGATGAGACTGAATGAGCAGGTATTGTTGGATACCCCCTCATTCAGTTTAAAGTTTACCACTTTTTCAGACAAAAATTTGATAGCCAGCTACATTCTTCTTGGCTAAATGAATACAACCACTGGACATAGTTGTCCGTGGCTAATGGTCTTTCCTTGGTTTCACCAGTGAGACCTCTGGCACCTCCTATCACCCTGCTCCTGCTGCAGGGAGGATCGCCTGCAGACCCTGGCCCTTGCCTGTATGGAGACCCCTCGCTTTGCTAACAACCCGTCCTCCTCACCTTGAGTTGTGCAACTCCCACTCTCAGAATTGCAGTCCTCAATAGCTGCAGCACAGTACAAGGCATGTCCTTGAGTGATAATGATTTGTTATTTTTAATTATATAAAACAGTAACAGAGAAGATTCTCTGCCTAGTTCTGGTTTGTGAGTGCTGCTCTGCCATCCCTCCCCTTATCTCAGTGACTGGCAGTATCTATATGAGCAGATGTAATGCTTGTCTCTGGGAAATAAGGAGAGCATTTAATATCAAATTGCCTAACACTAGAGGTCAGTGTTTCTTTTCTGTCGAGCTTCCATGTTGTTTGTAAACACTGACGTTACAATTAAGCAAAAAGAAGCAGTCTAGTGTTTAAATAGAAAGTAGGAAAAAGGGACATTTCAGTTTCTGGCAATGGCATATTTGACAACAGCTATGTTTAAGTAGGATTTAAGCTTTTTTTTAAAAGTAGTTCAAAACCTGCAGATCAGAATGCCATGTTATATTTTTTAGAGTTGTAGTGGTATCTCAGGCGATTATTGCATTGTACATTGTTTATTTTTGTAACTGAGGTTCTGTGTATGGATGTACAGTCCCCTTGGATCTTGTAGTTACGAATTTTAAAGCAAACTGGTTTGGCTTTCTTCATCAGAAATACATTATCCATAGTTCCTACTCAGCTATATTTTGCAGCCAATAACAGAATGATATGGATTTCTAACAGGAAAATGTTCCTATCAGCATGACAGGGGTATAACAACACAGGGTAAATTCATAGTCTCATATTATATAAAACAGATTATTTTGTGTAATGCTCTTGTTTCTCTAAATTAAAAAGAACAACACATCAGTTAAAAATGTTTTGCTGTAAAACAGTCATAAGTAAACATGCTTGTAAATATCTATTTGGTCTTTTTCACAGATTGAAGAGGCAAAAGAGGAATTTAATGATCACTCTGAAGATGTAGACAAAATAAATCAGATCTGCAAAAACCTTCAATTCCAGCTCAATAAAATGAGAAGCTTTGAGGAGCCTCCGTTCGAGAATGAGGCTAACATTATTGTGGACAGATGGCTGGATGTATGTAAAAAGTAAATTATCAGGGTGGTCTTATCTGTTATGCATTATAGTAATTGATTCTGACGCGTGCGTAATATTTGGAATAAATTAAGTGCAACATGGCAAAGATTTGAGGTGAATCCAAGTGTTTACCAGAGCAAAACTTGCAGAGTATCTATTGGCATAATGTTTCTGATCTCTCAGGTAGTTTGTATCATGGGTACTCCTGGACAGTAAATAATTCTAGGAAATGCAGAAAGGCAATATTTGTGCTTTCTGCTTGAATCTGTAAGCTTCCATAACAACTTCTGCGGATTTAGACTTTGGAGACAATCTGGAGAATTACAATGCTGGTGCTTTTGGTGAGAAATGTTTGCCACTGTCAATTTAAGCAGTGCATCAATACTGAGATTAGATGGTATTTACTGAGAGTAGATAAACATTAATGAGCAAGGCTCCTTCCTAAACCTGCCTTAAAACTGGCAAGCAGCCATTGTGATTGGTATGTTTGGCGACATGTGTGGCAGGGATTTAAATATCTTCTCCATGACCAGTTCACTGTGAAGACACATGAGATTTTTTTTCCCATGCCGCACTTGTTTTTTTTGTGGGTGGTTTCATCTCTCTCCGATTTTATTATGCTGCTTTTGCTTTTGGAATATAACTCAACATTTTTTTAAATCTGTGTGTGTTTTTTGTATATAAATCTCATGGTAGATTAATGAAAAGACTGAAAACTACTGTGATAATTTGGGAAGAGCTCAGGCTTTGTGGGAAAAACTTCTTAGTTTATCTGGCACAATCGACGCTTGGGCAAATGCAGAACTTAAGAATGCAGAAGACCGTTCTCTGACTGAAGAGGACCTTACACAGTTGAAGGTAATTGGAGTGGAAATTTTTTTACCCTTAACTTACAGTGTAGTGATATGGACTTTGGACTGTAAACATGCACATCACATAGAAATATCAGCACTGCAAAAGCAGAGGGAGTTGTAACATTTGCAATTATATCTGCATGGATAGTTTCACTGAAAATACTACATAATGTATTGGGGATGTGGGTCTTGGAAACTGAAGAATAGATCGTGTATATATATATATATACACTAAATTGTTTTAAATTAATGCAACACTGCAAATGCTGCTTTAGACTACAAAAGCCTCCTCACTCCTTTGTGCTGTACAAACATACAGCAAAGAGAAGGCCTGGAAAGCTTGTAGTTTACATACAGGAGTGCACGTATTTCCTTGTGCATAGGGAAGAAAGGGAAGAGAGTGAGTATAGGCTAGTAATTAGTTTTCTAGTTAGAAATTGCCTATCAGTGAAGATAGTGGAGCCTCAGAAATGGCTGGGAAATGCACAGTTCAAGAAGAGGTTGCAGAGGTGGCTTATTTGCCCCTGTGATCCTTGTCCTGGTGTGCTCCCCATCCCAGTGTGCTCCCCAGGGTAACTAAATGTAGCCTTAATAGTGGCTGGCGGCTAAGGATCTCCAAGGGGTTGCATGTGGGCAGACATCAGCAGAGCCTGGCTGCCCATGGTCCCTTTCACACAGATTATAGCATTAACTCTTGGTATCGGGGTGCAGTTCGGTGTAAAAACACATGCACTAGCTCCATGCCATTGAACAGCCTCACATATGAGGCTAAATGTTTTAATTTCTGACATTAGGGCCATAATCAGCTGCATTGCTTAGTTGTGGTTATAGCCAGTAAAATAAAAATAATTATATAAATTAATTATATAAAAAATATATATAATTATATAAAAAATATCCCATATCCACTTGTTTGAAAATATGCAGGCAGTTTTTCTCAGTATTTTACATGCTACAAACACCCTGGTTTTTATTACACTTATTTGCAGCATTACTGCTGCTGTTAGTGCTGCTCATTTGTTTTTAATTTGCAGAGCAGTAAAAACCCAAGGTGTTCTTTGTATACAGATCTTCCCAGTGAAACAGTAGTATACATGCTATGCAGAGGTGGATATTCTGTCACATTATTATTGCCTTTACCATGGTATTGTTAGAATTTACCTGGAGTAGTTCGGGTCCCCGAGGGCCCCAGTAAAAATGCACCAGCTGGCAATTACTTATCATTGAAGATAGTGGAGCCTCAGAAATGGCTGGGAAATGCACAGTTCAAGAAGAGGTTGCAGAGGTGGCTTATTTGCCCCTGTGATCCTTGTCCTGGTGTGCTCCCCATCCCAGTGTGCTCCCCAGGGTAACTAAATGTAGCCTTAATAGTGGCTGGCGGCTAAGGATCTCCAAGGGGTTGCATGTGGGCAGACATCAGCAGAGCCTGGGCTGCCCATGTCCCTTTCACACAGATTATAGCATTAACTCTTGGTATCGGGGTGCAGTTCGGTGTAAAAACACATGCACTAGCTCCATGCCATTGAACAGCCTCACATATGAGGCTAAATGTTTTAATTTCTGACATTAGGGCCATAATCAGCTGCATTGCTTAGTTGTGGTTATAGCCAGTAAAATAAAAATAATTATATAAATTAATTATATAAAAAATATATATAATTATATAAAAAATATCCCATATCCACTTGTTTGAAAATATGCAGGCAGTTTTTCTCAGTGTTTTACATGCTACAAACACCCTGGTTTTTATTACACTTATTTGCAGCATTACTGCTGCTGTTAGTGCTGCTCATTTGTTTTTAATTTGCAGAGCAGTAAAAACCCAAGGTGTTCTTTGTATACAGATCTTCCCAGTGAAACAGTAGTATACATGCTATGCAGAGGTGGATATTCTGTCACATTATTATTGCCTTTACCATGGTATTGTTAGAATTTACCTGGAGTAGTTCGGGTCCCCGAGGGCCCCAGTAAAAATGCACCAGCTGGCAACTGCATCTTAAGAGCCATTTTGTTACCTGGAAACTGCTCAAGCCCAGCATAATGTGACCAGGCCCCTGATGTGTCTCTGAGGGCGCTTAGGAAGGGCTGTGCTGGAGGTGGCCGCGCTAAGGTTACACCGCTGCTCTGTGCAAGAGGATAATTCTCAAAAGAGAGGGGAGGAGAGGACAAGGGAGAGAGAAACCATGTTTCCCATGAGCTACTATAAAAGCGGAATAGAAGGAGAGAAAACTGACCTCAGTGCATTGGTATTTTTGTAAAATGATTTAAGTGCAGAGGGTGTCAGGTTTATTTATCAATTTATTATTATTTCTTTTGTTGTTGATCCTGAAACATCTCTACATTTATGTTAATTACAAAAAAGTAAAACCCAACTGTTGCAATGTGTATCATGTTACCCTGGGTTCAAACCCAGGGTCCTTTGTGACTGCCCAGTAGAGCACCAGTGCATGTGTTTTCAAGAAGCCTGTCACAAAAGTAATGAATTATTTGACTGCATATTTAAAGGTAATTTCAGTATAAATAATGTGAGAGAAGTTCTGCATTCCTCTGTAGCCCGTATGCAAATGGGAACTCTTTTAAGGGCTGCAGCACGTGAATGGGTTTTGATGGTTGCTTGTACAGAAACTCCAAAGGAATACTTTGTCCTGAGGGAGTTTGAAATGTCAATTTGGAAATATGAGACAATGTGACTATTTTAGATATATCCCATTTCATAAGTTGAAGCTGGTATTTTACTTTCACATTACTGGCTTGTTCCAAAATCCACGCAAATGAGTAGAGGTCTTTTCATATACAAAGGGTTTATATTTAAAAAGTGTTTACAGCATGTGTTGTATTTTACCACATCCCTACCAAAGTCAGAATACCAATTCATGACTTTAAGTCTATAATATCTGAGAACATCCCTTTTGAATAGAAGCAGCAAGAAATAAATACAAAATTAAGATCATTTTCCTACAAATTTACTTGGGTTGACACAGATGTAAAATAATTGATTGTTAAATTTATGCTATATTTGCATTAACAACTGCTTTGCCTGAGAGATACAGATTTTTTTCTGACTCTTTATACAAAAAACATCTAAATTGCTAAAATGAAAATCAGGAAATGGACCTGTTGTGGGAACTCTATATGCCAAAATGCAGAATCAGAATATTAGTAATATAATTTTCTAACAGAAACATGGACATTTAATGTGGGGGAAAACACAGTTTCTGATGTGTTTTTTTCCACCTTTAGGCATGCTTACGAGTCCAAGAGCAGAAACTCCAGAAATTTGACAACACAGTGGCTGAGATAGAAGAACTTCTGAATAGTAATGAACCTCCACTGGAGCTACAGGTATGAAGAAGCTTTTACAGCTAATATGACAGACATGTTAGCCTACCTTTACAGCTAATATGACAGACATGTTAGCCTACCTTGATCCTATACCAGTTCCCTACGCGTCCACTCTCAGTCTCTGTCAGATGCACCTTGAGCTTGACCTGGTTTGGCTATTTGTGTGTTTATCCTCAGCAGGCAGTGAACTCAGAGGAGTTTCACTGGGTAAAGTGATCTAAGGAGCTTAGGAAAGGACTCGGCAACCTTGTACTGTGCACACTATGCTCCTTGGGAGCACCAGACGCCCTGAGCCCCCTGGGGTGGTGTTTCAGCATGTGGCCATGATCCCACTGAGTTGCTGTCTCATGCAAATCTACGGAAGGCTAAGGATAAGGTTAAGGACCTGTTGCTCCTTAGTGACTAGTCTCGAGCCAGAGCTCTCCACCTCTCTTGTCCTTGCCTGTTTTTTGTATCGCTATGGGGAATTTCCCCTAGTGGGATCACTACAGGAAGGTGTGTTACAGAGAGAGCTGGCACCCTCTTTTTCCTGGTAGCCAAAGCACATATAAGGCCTTTATCTAGCTGAGAGTAGACACTGGAGTAGACTAGCAAATAAATTTATTAGTAAAACAGCACCAGTAAATGTATCACTAATAAAGATGAACTGAGCTCATTCCTCCTCAGAAAATCAGAGCTTAAATACTGTTATTTTTCAATTTGTGGAGTGGGAGGGAAGGAAACTGGAACAAGCTGTGATTGAAACGTCAGGACTTCAGATCATTTCATTGCTTTTTATGTCTATTATGGAGTTCTGTAATTTTCTAGGAAATCAATCCTGTATAATTTCTTACGTATGTTTATTTCCAATTTTAAGGTCATCAGATCATCTGTTGTACAAAAAATGGAGCTAATCAAAGAGCTCTTGTCAACGAAGCGGGGGACCAGTGAACTCAGCGTGAATACAGCAGAACTAAAAGGAGACCTTGATCTGGCCAAGACACAGATTGGAATGACTGAATCACTTTTAAAAGCTTTATCTCCTTCTGACACCTTAGAGATATTTACTAAATTAGAGGTAGCTTGCCACAAATTACGCATCTTTTACAGTTTTGTTCATTATTTCTCTCCTGGGCAAGTCTTCCTAAGTGTTTCTCCTTATGTTATAAACTGCTGGAATAACTCTAGTGAAGAGCCTGGCTTGAATAGTTCCTTAAGCTGCCAGAAATTTGAGTGAAAAGCCTGTTTTCACTGGATGTTATCAGATGTAGTTATTTAACTGCTGCAGCTATTGGATATGGTTAGTGATAGGCATGACAACAATATACCACCAATACGTTGAAGCAGTAGTGGGGGTACTGGGTTGTATCTTTCCCCAAGACTGGGTAATACACAGAGGTTGTCTTTGTGCCTGCCTGCAAGGGGAGCTCCCAGCAGGCAATTTAATCCGACTTTCCATGCTCTTTGCACCAGGGAGAGAGGTGAAGAAAGAGCTGCTTCCTGCTTGGTGGTTCAATGCTGGCAAAGTTTAAATCTCCTGTTGAGTAGTGAGTGGATTATGCACATTCTAATTGTCAGACCACTAGTCCTTGGGGCAGTGAAATCACAAGCATTGGAAGAAAGATAAAGCTTTTAATTTATTCTCCCAGCTCCCTCTAAGTTATCTTTCAACCAACTTGAAAGGCACTTGACATAGAGAGTAAGGCATTTAGAGGTGGAATAGTGCCTATGGCAGCTAAGGCATTATAGCTTCTAGGTATTATATGGTCTGGGACATACTATATTACTGTGCACTTCATATATCTATTCTGTGTGATGCCAAAATGTATGTGTGATTATGTATATATACATATCACACATATATACACACTGCTCAAGGAGACTTTAGTGCCTCTATCTACCTATTGACTGCCTTGTTAATGTCAATATACTTTAAGAAATTATTTTGACAAATAGGCAGGACTAAACCATTTTGCCAAACTCTGTTTTGTACTAAAGCAGCTCTGTACAGTGAACCTTCTGCTTGCACTTCAAATTTTGCTTTTTAGCAGTTATTTTTTTTTTAACTTTAGGAGATACACCAGAAAATTCTGCAACAAAAACACCATGTGACATTACTTCAAGAAGAGACGGATTGTCCTGATGTGGATGAATTAAATAAGCAGCTTAAATGTGTCACTGATTTATTTAATAAGAAGAAAGATGTGTTTCAAGATCACTTTATTGGTGTTTTGAACCGTAAGCAAACACATTTCACATTCATGTAGCTTTATAGGTTTGTGTTGACCATCATATTCACTTAATGGTTATGCAATTAATTTATTTTTGGTTCGGTGCCTGAAAATGCTTTGATATCTCAAACTGCTTTAGCGTTCTGAACAAAATAAAGATTTGGATAAAAATGGCTTTTGATTCCAACAAATCATTCAATCTGAATCAAAGTTTGGGGTTTTTAAAAATTTTTTTAACATTTAAAAAAATAGATAAAAAAAGTATAAAGCATAATTCAGGAACAGATGTCAGAACATTTCATTAAAAAATACAGAAGTCAAACTTACATTTTTTTCCACTAGTTTTTTATTTAATCTTAGTTATAAGGATTAATAGCATTACTAGTTACTTTTTGTTTTATGCAGACAAAGGATTGTGCAGGTGTAGAATTAGGCCCAAAGGTAGTCTCATCTTCAAATAGTTTTTGAGTAATATTTATTTGTGTGGAAATGAGAAAAGTTGCCAGTAGGCTAATCCAGATCTTGTTTACTGAAACTGCTATGTATAGCAGACAGTCCCTCCCAAGTGAACAGCTATGTTTATTGTCAATTTATGTTGGGTAAAAAAAAAAAAAGTATGAACTGCAGCATTTTCTGTCACATGGTCTGTAGTGAAAAGCAACCTTTGACAGTAGCACCGGTAAATGTAATTGCAAATTATCTGAAATCCTCCTGTTAAATACGATTTTCTCTTACAGAATACATTTAATGAAGAAAATTGGAATCTATCTTTTTTCAGGTCAGTGCAAGAATTTTAATGACTGGTTCATCAGCACTCAGCTGTGTTTGAAGGACTGCTTTGACCCCTCAGAAACAAAACCTGTACTGGAAGAAAGACTGCAGAGGCTAAAGGTAAAGTACGAAAATGTTGTTATAATTTCTAAATCTGATTGCTCTTAAAGTTTTACTTTTTTACACAGGAGTCTATTCTTGAAAGTAAATTCACCTACAGTGGTTTTGTAACATGAAACTGGAAGAACATTTCATGTAACTTAAAGCATTAGGACAATACATTGAAGGAAAACAAAACTTTTTAAAATGGAGTATCGCTGTTCAAGTTCATACATAGTTGGGCAAATGAGAGACAGGACAGTGAAAGTCAATGGACTTTGACCAAATACTTCAGTGTGCAAAGATCCAGAAAATCAAATATGTAGAGAGTGAAATGAAATTATGGCCCCCATTGGACTCAAATGTGAAAAATTTGCATTCCCTTTGTTGTTAGCCAGATTTTCACTTTAGATCAGGCAAAATCAACAGAAAAGAGTTGGAAAAGCCACAACTTGTGCAAGAAGCAATCACAGTTAAGCAGCAGCAGAAGACATAGGGATGTCAGTGCTAGATCTGAATGCTGCTTGCCTATTTCTTCTGCGTATATTTGTGCTGTAGAGAAGTCACTTATTTCACTTTCTCTACATTATTCTACAATGACTTTTCCATTTGCAAGTGCAAGTCAGCAAACTGTAAATTAACATATATTCCTTTTAAGGAACTGAATTGCTTTAGAAAATATTGATGGAGGTAACAGGAGCTGAAAAACTCTTGTAACATAAATATCTATTATACAACAGCAAATTTGACAAATGCATCTTGTGTTTGTGCTCTTATTCAGCACTTCCTAACATCTGAAGGCAAAGACGGAGATATCCAAGAGGTTAAGACTTTATTGAATAAAGTGAAGCATTACCTGCCCAAAGCAAGCATTAACCACCTTAACAGCCGTGTGAGAGATCAAGAAGCAGAACTACAAAGATTGATCTCCAAATGTCGGAAACGGGAAAAGGAACTTGGTGATTCTCTCCAGCAGCTCAGTAGGTAGGGAACTAATGCAGTTTCTGACATTTTAATCACAGGTGATATAAAATGATTCATTATTAAACAGCCATGGTGAATGGCAAACAACCCTGCTTTTTATTAAAGATGGTATTTTAATAAAGGGTAGTGAGTGTTTTGTTGTATGCTTCATGTGTTTTTTCACTTCATAGCAGACTCGCTGTTATATGGGAGTGTGTGCTTATGGATAGTTTCAGTGACATGAACCAAGATACTTAAAATTAAGCTTGTGCTTAAAACTTTGCTTGTTCAGGTGCATGATATTTATGTTACTTTTTCAGCAAGACACTGCTGTCAGTAGGTTTTAGTCTTGTGATGCCTCTCATTTTGAGTGTGTCTGTATTTATACTCTCTTTAGCCTTGAAGAAAGCAGCATGGTCTTGGAAGAATGGCTCACTGCTCAGGAAGAAAAACTAAAAGAGATCAAAAAAGATGAGACAAAACTTGAAAACTTCTATAAAACGCTATTAATGCAGAGGTATTGTTTTCTTTGGTCTCGATCTAAGAACTGCCTTCTAAAGAAGATTGCTCTGTGTTGTTACAGCAAATAGATGTTTATTAATTTTCTGTTTTTTTCCAGAAAACCATTTGACTCCGTGGCTCAGCTGGCAAATTCCTTGAGGGAGGCTGGGCTGGCAGAATATGAAACGATTTCAGAAGCCAGTGATCTTATTAGTAGATACCAGACACTGGCAACACATGTAAGTGAAATGGTAGGGAATACTGAGAGGCTTCTAGTGGAAGGTCAAAATTTTGAAGAACTTGCCCAGGATGTTTCTTGCTGGATGAAGAACCTCGAGGAGGCTGTTAATAACCTGAGGTCACAGGAAAGTGAGTTGCCATCAGAAGAAAGGACTAATCAAATAAAGGTATTGTGTTAAATGTATTCCTTTTCCACTTCACAGCTCATGCTAGTATCAGGGGAATGCTTGATGAGTCAGTACTTCGTAAAAGATACTGTCACTGCTGATTGCCTGTGGTTTTGTGGCTTATTTGGGGAGGGGTGTGTGTTTGGTTTTTTGTTGGTTTTGCATAGTTTATTATGCACATAAGATAAGATTCTCTACTGCATCTCTGGGTGAAGCAGCACTGAACTCATAAGGTGCTGGTGGCCAGGTGCCTTCCCATCATAGCCTATTCCAGAGGTGGAGAAGGGAGGTCAGTAACGTAGCTGGAGCATCTGGAGAGCCTCTGCAAAGTGTGTGGCTTCTTGGGTGTCCTGCAGTGCTGTTGTGCTGGGCTGCTCCACTGCCTGCGTGGGTCTCTCAGGCCCCAGTGTCCTCTTTGGTGTCTCCTCTCTCTGACTACTTAGGATGAGGATGCTGGGATTTACATGTTTCATTCTGTGGAAGGGGTAGTATTGTGACAAATACCTCTCCCTAAGATTTGGAGCATTTTTTTTTTATTTGTCAGTATAATATTGGTTTTGTTATGTAGAGCATAATTAATAAATTAGCTTAATTATCCCAGACTTTCTAAAACTAGGCAATCTATCCATTTTTGTATCAGTTATGTGATATACTAGGAGGAGAATTCTTTTGTCTTGAACAGCAGTGTACAAAGTATGGAAAAAATCATTGGTGATACCTTTTATTCTGTAACCAAAAATAGTTGCATATGTACTGCTTCTGCTTCTTGTTTAATACAGGAAATCACAGCTCTCAAAGATGCAACAGAGGCCAAAATACAGAACATGGTAGCTCTAGGAGAAACTTTAATGAGAAATGAGAAAATGAAGCCAGTAATTCAGCAGACTATTTCTGAGCTCCAGAACCAGTGGGAAAGCGTCTGTCAGTTAGCCACTGAATATAGAAGGTAATGTGGAATTTACCAAGAGGCAGTACAGATTACTTACTGCTGTATCAACTTTCTTTTCTTCTTCCTGCACCAGTTCCATTTATGTTATTTGGGGACAGAACAAGATACCTACAAAAATACTTGTATTTCTGCAGTGTTGTAGAGGGGCAGGTCACAGTTTGGATTGAATAGTCAAGTGCAGGGTATAGCCAGGAGGTGTAAGGGGAGTGGCAGGAGAGATGATGGGGTCTTCCCAGCTCCCCTTGTAAAAAATAAAAAAATGTGCAGCCAGTGCTCCTTGTTTCATTAGACTGTGCAGTGAGGGTGCACTGATTTAACCACTGCGGTGACCCTTCCCTGCAATGTGATCTGGGCTCTGTGCCCCAGGCATGGTCCCCAAGCAGAGGTGGGATCTAGCTTTGCACAGATTTGTACTGCTTCAGAAGAGAGTTTGAGGTAAATCCAGGAGGCTGGGATTTTTAAAGTAGAGTTTTTAAAGCCTGGTTTATTCTGGCTCTAGGAGAGGCTTTCTTGCCTGTGGCAGCTGGTATTGTTAAGTCAGCAAAGGCACTTCACTGTTGCTGGCATGGTGGCAACTGTGCCTGAGAGTCAATTTGATTCTTTAAAACATGTCAGATGATTCCAGGTGTGTTGTGTAAACATAAACTGAAGTTCTGATTCTGCACATGCAGACACTTTCAAGATATTTGTCTGCCATAATGTTCTTGAACCAATTTTCAGTAAAAACACTGGGAACTTCGCTGTTGAGATCAATGGAAGCTAGAATAGGCCTACTATATACTTTTTAAAAAATGACCAGGGAATGAATTATTAAAAATAAGTATTTTTGAAAATATTCAGTTGCCTTCTCTTACTCCTGAGCATTCAGTACAAGCAACACAAGTGGCGTTCAGAAAGATAGAGCATTGGCTATATTGGATCCAACACAGCAGAATGCAGAGCACCCTCTTCACAGTATGCTGAAGACAGGAGATGGGGTGCTCAGCACATCTGAAGAGATGCTCAGGACCTTGCAGGATCAGGCCTGTAAATAACAAATGCAACATGGCAATAGCAGCACTGTGAAGCTGGAATAGGGAACTTGAAGCAAGAGTACTTAACATATGTGAGACTATGCTTTATTTGTCATTTGCCAAAAAATATGAATCTTGAGGGGCAAAAAACAAAACACTTAAGCTTTGCTTCTGTCCTCATTTATCCTGCTGTACTTTACAGAATTGTAACCAGACTTTATTTATTTGGATTTGTTTGTGTGGGATCATATTTTCAAATGTTGGCATTTAAGTTCCATCTGGAAAATATCTGAGTTTCATTACTGAATGTGAACATAAAAATGTTACTTCTGTCTCACTGGTCATAGTTGCATATTTCCTGTAGACAAATGCAACCTATTCACCTGCAGCAGATCAGCATGCATGCTTATCAAGCACACGAATTGAAATCCAACATCAAGGTCAGGGAAGTAGGCACTGGATTGTGCTAGCATGACCCATGTTGCATATGCTGGTTTTGTTGTCTGTATCTCTAAACCACTCCCCCAGCCCCATCTCAATCAGTCCAGTGTGTATCTTCTGCAGAACATTCCCTTTCAGGAGAATGTCATAAGGAGTTGTCAAGGAAAATACATTCATAGCCATATTGTAGTTTTAAACAGAACTTCTGCTGTAAAGAAAAGCAGTAAAATACAGAGCATGGGCACCACATCTCAGATGCTAGAAACTATGGGTTTACAGGTTAAGGTTTAAGAGGGTTAGTCACTTGTCCTGCATTTAAGTCCAGCAGCAATAATTTCAGGGTTTTTTATTTTCATCACCTTGAAAATTCCAGTCTAAAGCTGATCAGTAATTTAAAACCTGAAGAAACATATTCAGTATGCTCAAGTCCATTCTAATGGTTGACTTGTTCACAATTTGACATTTTCTAGCTAATGAATAAAAAAAAATCAGTACTATTAAACACTATTTATAATATCTATACCACTATCTATCTACTAATATCTACATGTACTATCTATAATACTACTAATACTATTTTTTCTTAGCCCTCAAGAGCAACTTCAATTCAACAGGGAACAATATGAGCAAAGCAAAGAAGATCTGAGACTGGCTTTAACTGAACTGCAGAAACAGCAACAGGAGATAGGTTTTGCCCTTCAGCCTGGTCTGCAGGAGAAGCAAGTTCAGCTGACAAACTATGCCGAACTCCTGCAGAAGGCAGAAGACTTAACTTCCCAATTTAATGAACTGAAAAGCCAGGAAGATCACCTACAGGATCACGCTGGGGTTCCCTCCTTCGCAGAGGTGGAATGGTTGGAATTAAAGCACCAACATGAAAATCTGCTCAGCCAGCTACAGGTTGGAACCTCACTCTCTTTCCGTATGAGATTATTGGTATGCCTGTTGATTGCAGTTCTCACTGTTTGCCTGTAGTGTCATTCAGCTGGCAACTTTATGGGTAGAATTGGGAGTGGTGAAAGTTCCTCTGTAGAAGGGCAGAGATATCCCCCCCCCCGCCCCTCCCTCCCTCTCACTGTGGAGAAAAAGACCACTAGAAGCTCAAATTTTTCACCACCTTGTGCTTTGCAGAGGGATAAATGTTTAAACAAATGAAACCAAGGTAAGTGTGAAGAATAACATTTTATACCTGTATAAACAGATTCAGATAGCTGTAATATGAAGCATTCCTTCCTATAATCTCCAAGCCACGGTAGGTTTTTTTTTTTCTTTTGGAAGTATGAATAGCTTTTCCTGCATCTTGTTTGTTATTGGTTCCACCCAGTTCAGTGCAAATTGTATTTGCACCCATGCGGCATTCTGCATCTAATCTTTCATCCATTTTGGATAAAAACCATCCCTTTTAGAAGTATATTTTTATGGAATGCAAACTCTTCTCCTTCCTGCTACTAATGAAGATTTTGTTCATGGAGTCCATGATGTGCTGGGAAGAGGGCAAGATATTTTCTGTGCACCTGTGATTAACTGGATATTTTATGGGAAACAAGCAAGTTCTTTGTGCTGCTGAGGTCCTGGAAAAGCTGTGACGGTCTGTGGGTTAGTTACATTTGTCTGAGTTAATGGTGGACTAATCCTAGAAACTCCTTGATTTCTAGACCATAGTGCAGACATTGGAAAGCCGTGTCCAAGAGCATCAGCAGTTTCAGGATATGGTAGCAGGCCTGAGCACTGAGCTGAAAACTGTCTCTAAGAAGCTTGCTGATTGCGAAGGTCCAGCATTGGAACAACCATCAGCTGAACAAAACAAGTTGAAATCACAGGTATGTTGCAGGTTTTGCATCATGGAGAAAGTGGGTCCATTCCTTAGAGGCTTGTAGACACCATTATATATTATAGAAGAGAATTGCTGATGGTGTCAAACTGAAAAACTAAGAAACCTTCATATTTTAGAAAGTACATGTGTAGTTCCTTTTATCAAGATAATTGTAGGCCTAAAACCACTCTTAATGAACTGGATGGGCCTTTACTGTCAGCTGAATTGAAGGTAGAATTGTCCTAGCTCAAGTGCACAGGCTTTTTCAGTTTGGTTCGTTGTTTTTTGTTTTGGTTTTTTCCCCTGTCTGGTCATAATGAGGAAGGAGATTAAATTTGGTGTTAGTAAGTGTCTTTAAATTAGCCAGAGCAGAAAGCTTAGGAAAATGTCAGCGAGCCAAGTTCAGTTTTAAGGAGTGTCCTTCATGCATAAGTAGACATTCTTTTGCACTTGGGCAGAATGGATAAGAGTCTTGTAGTTGTGAGCATAGAGAGCTACTGAAAGCTGAAACCATAGCTCAGATACGGATCATTGCAATTCTCCTTCCTCCAGAATTTACCTCTAACAAGTAAAAAGGAATAGGAGAGGGAGGGGGGTTATCTGTTCAGAATTTGGAAAGATCACCACGGACCTCACAGCATACTGTCTGATTATTTTATCATTGTTGTCATGCTTATAGCTGCAGGTGTTCTCTGTTCATAAAAATGGCTGACTAAAATTACTGGTTTAATATTTGACTTTCTGCAGCAAATAGGTCTGCATGCACTTTTCAGCACAATTTGTTGTTTACAACAAATATTTATGATTATAGTGAGTGACTTGAGATCTTAGCATTAAGTATATTGAGTGAAGATATTTTTCAATAAAATGTTTTCTTTGTGTTTAAAGGAACAACAAGCACCTCTTAGTCGATGTGAAGACACGTTAAACAAGATTTTGGTTTTAGCAGAAACTGTTAAACAAAACACCTCTTCACCAGGACAGAAGTTTATTAAGGATGAGATTGAAACACTTCAGAGGGAACACAGGAGTCTGGAAGAAAGACTTGAAAATGTCAAGCAAAAGGAGGAAAATATTTGCAGTGAAGCCCTTGAGTTAAAAGATGAATTTGGTAATGAAATACAAATAGAAGATGAGGCAGATACAATGCTGAAGAGAGAGATACAGATCACTTCTGATACTCCTGTCACTGCAGAAGAGAGCCCCACAGCAGTAAAGGAGTCTTTGGAAATGCATGATGTGAGTATATTTGTTGCCAGTAATGACAGTGGAAGACTAGTTAGAGACAACTGTCTCTCAAATGCCTTTTGTACATTGCATCCTATATTGCATCCTTAATTTCATTGAAATTAAGCCTTCTGTAAATATATGTGTATAAATCAAAGATGTGGAGAACAACTCCCTTAACTTGTTATAACAAGTCTGTAACAAGCCAGTAATGTCTATTCAAAACTGCAGTTTTCCATTTAAACACAGCCTGTGTATAGCTTTCTCTTGCACTGTATCCTTGGTCAGGACATGAAGGGAGAAGGTGTATAGATGAGAAAATTGCAGATACCCCTCTGACAAAGAACTTTGAGAGCTTCTCTTAAACCAGTAAGACTTGGTTAGAACTGCAGCACAATATTTGTCCTGTTTGTTTTTGTAGATAATAATTTTTGCCATTCAGAGATCTAATGTTCAGATACAATGTTTACAGTCACACAAGCAGGTTTTCTTTTATTTCATTTCTCATAGGGTCAAGATGTAAATGGAAATGTGGCAGAGAAAGACAAGCAAAATGATCCACTTTTGGAGGAAAGCAGTGTTTTGTCAGACAGCCCATTACAGGGTATCTGTCAAAGCAAGGACAGATTGGGGCAGACTGTTCAGGTGCCTGACTGTTTTCTAATACATGTCAGTGTATATATATATGTGTGTGTGTGTGTTCACTAGAAATGCATATGTGATTCTTTAAAATCTGTAGTCTTACAGAGACACATTTTCCTTACCTGGTGATAGGTAAAGCCTTGTACATGTGAAGTGTGCGAGAGATCAATCTGATGATCTTTACAAGCCGCCAGGGCTTGGACCCCCTTTCTCCATGATGCAAAACCATCCCTACTGGGATTTCTGGAGAAGGAGCAAGATCAATGGTTGAGTTGCCAAATGTGTCTAAGCAGAAACTTCTATGACATTATTAAAAGACGTGTGAGCACTTACTCTTGTTTGGTTTGTGTTTCATAGTGATTAAGGTCCCAATATGGCAAACTGATCTGAGCAGGCATTTCCAAGAGACTCTGGGTTTGGGTTACCTCACCCTTCTTCTTCATTCATTAAGCTAAACTGAAGGTAGAACAGACAGCCTATGGAGTGTGATGTTCCTTAGTAAACTTCTACTGGTTGTAAACATTATGTATTTTTCAAATCAGGGGGATGCTGATAAAGAGAGTCCAGGTATGGACAAACATGATAGGGTCCAAGAGGATGTTCTGGACAATGTGGTTCAAGGTGGTGAAGCAGAACTGGAAAGGCATCAGGATGGTGTTGGTATTGAAGGTGATGAAACAAGAAAGGAAACCCAACCAACAGAGGTAATTGGACATGACATTACACGAGTGATTGAATTTGAGGGTATATGTACACAGTTTAGTTGCAGTGGGGATGATATTTCTAATAAATAAATAATTAACAAAACCTTCAAGTTATACTGAGGTATTTTTGCCTGATGTGCTGTATATTTAGTATGTGTTAACTCTCTGAATCCTTTCCTGTACATTTAAAATCAGTATGGAGGGTGTTTTGTTTTTTCATTACCCCATGATAATGAAACAGAAAAGCAGAAACAGCTGCCACAAAATGGTTTGCTGAGGATATTGCATTCCAAGTCACCTGGACGTATTTTGAAGTCATCTTACCGTTTTGCTTGAATCTATTTCATTTATTTAGACTTCTTATTTGCATACTTACTTTGTGTGTATGAGGCTGCATTTGAAATACCATGTCCTCTTTGGTGCACCCTGGTACAAGGAGAATTTTGACAAACTAGAGCAGTGTTTAGGAGCTGGAGTCATAATGAGTGGGAGGAGGCTAAGTTCTTTTTGGAGATGGAAAGGCTAACATGGGTCTTGTTGCTGTCATCCCCTCCTTGAAGGGGTGTTACAGAGAAGACAGAGCCAGGCTCTTCTCAGACCTTGAGTTGTAGCAAACTGCGTGGGATGCTGAAAGCAGTGTAGCTGTGACAAGGTGGAGCACAGCGTGCACTCATGAGCTTGCTGAGAATTGGGGTAAACTCATTCTGAGTTCCAGGTGGGATACTTTCAGTACATATCCTAACTGACTTGCAGCCACCTGCTCAAATAGCTGTGCAGCACGGATAGGTCCCCGATGCTGTATTTTCCACCATGCTCATGCTGTAAGGATTTGCCATTCTTTATTTTCTGTAGTTGTCTGTTTTGTTTTATCTGCCTCCAGATGATAAAAAAACTCAGGCAGAATTTACAGTCAGCAAATACCCCAGCATGTACATACAGCAAACCCCTGGGCTGCCTATGGGAATATCCTGCCTGGTAATCGGATGGGTGTCTAACCACAGACTCTCTGTCTTCATTACAAGTACAATTTTGGAGCCTCAGGAAAAAGCTGAACCTTTTAAAAAATGTGTTCAAGACTGCATCCAGGGGTGCACAGTTCAAGGTCCATGCTTAGAATAATGAAACGTGAACAGTGTACGTCAGATGAAGAACTCTTGTAATATGCAATTTTTCTAAAAATTTATAACAAAATTACAGCACTGCTTCTTCTAAATGGTTTCCTTTGCCATAACCTTGCCCACAATAAATTATGAGATGTAATCGTGGCTTTCCTCATCTACCTGTAATTATGGGCTTAATGACTTTGTCATCTCAAGCACTGTCATTACTACTCAGCAGGTTTGATTAGTTGGTTACTTGTTTCTTTTATTTTTCTTACACCAAAGGAGAAACCTAGTGATGTCAAGAATCAATCATATACAGAAGATGTGGAGCAGGTTCAACAAAGGGTGTGCCAGAAGAGTCAAGTCCTGAAATCTGCAGCAGCTGAGAAAGGTGGTCTGGAATCTAATCCCCCAGTTTCTGCACATGAGGTAACCCATGTTCTGTTATTCCAAGCTCCATTTGTCAGAGTCATTGAATTTTAGTTTCCACATGGACTTCAGCTGAAGTTCGGTTATAGAAGAAGAGGCAATTACTGTCACATCAAAATCAAGAGTATTGTGTGTAGTTCTGCTTTATGTTCATGGTAGTTTTGAACTTTATCCAACATGTTAGCCACATCATATTTTTCAGTGGATCTATTCAAAAGAGCAATTTTGGTTTTCAGAGCCATCTTAATCAGTCTTATTTTATGACATTTAGAATTTCTCTTTAAATGTTAATCAATACAACTTCTTTCTATGTTATTATAGTTAGCTGTGATAGTCTTTGCCATCATAAGGAAGGCATATCAGAAAACTGAAATCCAAGGGTGATCCAGCATAATAAAATAAATAAAATAGAGAGAGGAGAATGAATTCAAGCTGAATGAATAACAAGGTACATTACTAAATGACATTACTAAGTCTATTCTTTAAGAGTGAGGGTATTAGATCACAAGTGCCCCATGACTGCTGACCCTTGGTCACCACATTCTTAAGTTGAAGGTAGGGCCAGATCTATTCTTCACAGTTAAATCTCTAGGCAGGTCCACAGCTGGCCTGTCCATTGGCAGGTCTTACCTGGGACTTGCACATCTGCTCCAACTGGAAACCCCAACAAAATTTCCCAAAGGTCTGGGGAGTCTGGGGAGGTCCCAGCTGACTGGAAGCTAGCCAATATTATTCCAATTTACAAGAAGGGGGTGAGGGAAGACCCAGGAAACTAGAGACCTGTTAGTCTAACCTCAGTTATGGAGAAGATCATACTGAGTACTATTGAAAAGCATTTAAAGAACAATGCAATCATCATAGAATCAGAATCATTTAGGTTGGAAAAGACCTTTAAGATCATTGAGTCCAACCGTCAACCTGACACTGCCAAGTTCACCACTAAACCATGTCCCTAAGCACCTCATCTTCATGTCCTTTAAATACCTCCAGGGATGGGGACTCAACCACTGGCACGCAGCCCATTCCAGTGCCTGATAACCCTTTTTGTGAAGAAATTTTTCCCTAATATCCAATATAAACCTCCCCTGGTGCAACTTGAGGCCGCTTCCTCTTGTCCTATCACTGGGAGAAGAGATCAACACCCACCTCGCCACCATCTCCTTTCAGGTAGCTGTAGAGAGTGGTAAGGTCTCCTCTCAGCCTCCTCTTCTTCCCCAGTTCCCTCAGCTGCTCCTCATAAGACTTGTGCTCTAGATCCTTCACTAGCTTCATTGCTCTTGTTTGGACACGCTCCAGACCCTCAGTGTCCTTCTTGTAGCTCAATAGGAGTCAGCAGTGTGCACTGGCTGCCAAGAGGGCAAGCCCAAGGTGCACTAAACACAGTCAGTCAAAAGAGGTGATTATCCTACTGAATTTAGTGTTGATGCGGCCTCACCTTGAATACTGTGTGCAGTTCTGGGCCCCACAATTTAAGAAGGATGTGAAGGTCCTTGGATGGGTACAGAGGAGAGCAACAAAGCTGGTGAAAGGACTGGAAGGAATGTCCCATGAGGAGCAGCTGAGGACTTTGGGCTTGTCTACTGTGGAGACAAGGAGGGTGAGGGGTGGTGATCTCACTGCTCTCTACAGCTGCCTGAGGCAGGGAAGTGGAGAGGGAGGTGCTGAGCTCTTCTCCCTGCGATCCAGTGATAGGACACATGGGAATGATTGAAAGCTGTACCGTGGAAGGTTTAGACTGGACATTAGGAAGCATTTCTTTACCAAGAGGGTGGTCAAACACTGGAGAGGTGGTCAATGCTCCAAGCCTGTCAGTGTTTAAGAGACATTTGGACAATGCCCATAATAGCATGCTTTAACTTTTGGTCAGCCCTGAACTGGTCAGGCAGTTGATCTAGATGATCATTGTAAGACCCTTCCAACTAAAAACTATTCTATTCTATACTGGCTGATTTTCACTTCTAAACATGATCTGTAAATGTGTGTATTCAATTGATTTGGAGCTTGCAAAGGGAAGGGAAAGTAGGTTCTGCTGATTTCCTGAGGAAGGTGTTAGATAAGAAAGGGTTTAAACTGTGGGCTATACTCTAGCCTCAAGCCAAAGTCATATTTGACGTTTTCCTACAGGCCCGCACTGTGAAGAGTCAGCAGGGGAGCCCTGGCTTTGTACCTGAAGGATAGTAGCTGGTTAGCAACCACCATTCTCTTCCCTTCTCATGTTTTCCTCCCTCTCCAACCATCTGATGGACTGAAAGACTATGAGAAACATTAAAACTATTGTGCGGGGAGATTGATGCTATGTGTCTGTGTATCCGGGGAGGCAGCGCCATGGTAGACATTGAGAACATCATAAAACCAAGCAAAACACGTACACAGCAATCCTGGGGTTTTTTTTAGTGTCGGGACACTTACTTTTCTGTGTGTTTTGATGCATTTATATTTCAACTTGGTAAAGTGGATTTCCTCCTCACTCTGTGATAGCTTAGCTGAGTTTTTCTGCTACTTCAGTTCTATAGCACTCCAACGTCTCTTAAGTTGAAATCTTATGTCTGAATTGATACAGCCGTTACGAATGTATACACAGAGAAATGGAAAAGTTCTCTGTTTGACTATTTCAAGAGTTGTCCCCTTCAGTTTTGACTGAAAATAACTAAAAGAGTTCAAATAAATAGAATTATGCTTTTCTGATAATGCCTACAATGTGCTACATGTTTTCTACACTTGGAAGCAGGTATATTTTGGATAGCTCATGACCGACAGAGAGACAGACGACAGTGACAGTTTACAAGTGATATGGCTGCAGGGATAGCTGGCTGCGTCCTAGTAAAATAGTATCTAAAGTAGCAATACAGTAAGTTTATCAAACAAGAATTTTTTACTCATTGCTCATTTCATATGTTGGTACCATGGAGAAGCTCACACTGTAGTCATATTTGTATATTTGTATGCATTCACTCACATGAAGTCTCTGTGTGAAACAGATCACAGATTACACCAGATATAGACAGGTACTGGGGGAAGGGAAATACAGAAAGATTTTTAAGGTACCACCATGTGACCCAATAAGCCTGTGACATTTCATTTATGTTGTTGTCTGCAATAGCTGAAGGTGATTTAGAAGATTGTTTTACATCTGAACTGGGACTAGCTAAGAGCATCCACCTGGGCAACAACCTCAGCTCTGCTGCTGGGCTGTTGAACTGGGTCACAGCCCAAGTGACTTGTCCTTCTGTCATTGTGGGAATCGATGGCACTGCCAGGGACTGGCTCTGGAGCCCCCTGTTCCCTTCCTCCCCACCCCGATTGAGACATGGCTCCCTAGCTTATCTTACTCCTGATTTCAGTTATCACTTGTGGCAGTAGCAGCCGTGGCTTTGTGTCACAGCCAAACTGTTTCATGCGTGGGTTGCCCTGTGAAGACCAGTTGAAGAGGTGGTCCTGGTGAAGGACACAGCAGTATAGCAAGCCAGGTGCTGAGCAGAAGGAACGTGGGTGTGAGGAGAGGTTAAAGGTCCATGAATGTGTAAAGAGGAGGGGGACAAGGCAGGGTAGACCTGTGAATTTATCAGTAGCAGAGGTGGGTGCAGGGAGGATGTTACTTGAAGGTGGGAGTAGCAGAGTTCCAAACTTAAAATGATGGGCAGAGCTATAGTTATCTGAGCTATTCATAGTGATCTGAGCAGTGCTGGCAAGCCAGGGTGACTGCAGAGGTGGGGGATAGTGATGGAGGTTCCAGCCCCTAGGTCCTGGTTGACCCACAGACGCTGTGGGGGAAACCACAGCAGGATTTAGGCATGGCTTAAACATATGAAGCAAAGTGTTGGAGTCAGAAAACTTACTGGTTTAGGACCTTCGGAAATAAGAATGCTGTTTTGTATTGTAGGACACAGGTGCAGAAGTGGTTGTCCAAAAAGAACTATTTCCTGGAGTGCAAGTAAACACTGAATATTTTGAAGAGGAACAAAAGGTCAATGAGCTGAAAAATGAAGTGGCTGAACTGGATATTGTGCTCATAAATGAACAACTAAAAGAGCTGGAGGTATGGAAATTGCAAAGTCATTCCTCATTGTTAATGTAGTGATACACTTACGGAATTGGGCAAAATAAAATTGTTGCATATAGTCTTATCTAAGGTTTGACTGCATGATTAGTCAGTTTGTCTATGAGGTAATCTACAAACACTGTGCCGTTATGCAAATATGTCCCTGTAAACACCATATTTTGTAGCGTTCTTCTGGAGCGCAGTAGTAGATATACCGTGATTGCGCGTGTGCTTCCATGATGTGCACAGGCATGCGTGCTCATTTGCGTGTGACTGAGCAAGCATATGTTTGTGGATGTATCAGTATTTATCTGTATTTTATGCTGAAAGCTGAAAGTGTTTAAGATCCTCTTTTAATCCTCTCTCTGTGCTGGGCTTGATTGTAGAATTTACAAACTGAACTGGAAACATGGAAAGCAAAATCTTTGTGTCATAGTCAAGAAGCATTTCCCAATGCAACAGGATCAAACAGAGCAGAGCTGCAAACCGCAGAGCCTGTGGTGCCCTGCTGGGACAGGCTGCTTCAAGAACTAGATGCTGTTAAGGCAGTGAAGCAACAACAGTACTGTTTAATTAATGAGTACCAGAAAAATCTTTCTGCTGCACAGGCCTCAATGAAAAATTTGTCAACAGAAAAAGATAACATAAAAATGTAAGTATAGTGGAGGGTTTCTGTTAATACGTTGCAGAACAAATATGGTCCTAGACTGAATTTCGCGCCATACTTCAGTAATGCTCAGGCAAGAATAGGGTGTTTTATCCATCTCGTTAACATTAGGTAGCAAGAGAAGTTTCATAGGTTTGTAAGTTTAAACAGAAGCTTTTCTGGTGGTTCTCTGCTGTCCTTTAGCAACATCTACTCTTTTTATTTTTTTAGGCAAAACAAAGAAATGGTTTCTGTGCTAAAAACCTATATAAAAGCCATATTAAAATATTTTTGCAAAAATATGGCAGATGTGAAATATTAATTTTTCTTTAAAGACTCATGAGATCTAATTTTTTTTCTGAGTGAAATATCTCATTACTCTGAAAATTAACCTTATTTGATAGGAAGATTTCTGTGGCAATAAATAGGTTTACAGTATCAATTCAGAGGTAACCAACGCACACAAAATACTTAGTACCATCTATGAATTAGCCTTCAAAAGAAGGATCTAGCTTATCGGTCACAATAATGTATCACAATAATTTGAAAAATCTTTAAAATACTTTATAAAATTGTTAATTTGCAGCACAGATTGAAAAAAAATTGAATAAAAGTCTAGCTGCTAAATGTATTTTAGGTGGGAATTTCAAAGTACTCCTGGAAATAAAAGATGAGTAGATAAACTCCTCCAAATTAATCTTGAATGAATGGGAATTTTTTAAGTTTTTCTTATAACTAAGTTTTACCTTCATTGTAAATCAGAAATTACCATAATCCCACTTAGGGGTGACTTAACACTATAGTTGATTTTTACGTTTTATTTATTGTAACTTTAAAGGGAGGCTACATTCCTTTAGGAAATGACACATTCTGTATTAGTATATACTGTAGTTTTAGAGAACATACATTAGAATATAGCTTTCCTGCAGAGATTTCTAGAAATAACTAACGCTGCACAGATAAGCAAGAAATAATGATACTGCAATGGTGGTTAGGAAATTTGTGAGAGAACATTGAGAGATACATGTGATTAAGTAAATAAAGTGAGTGAATCATTTTCTAAACAGTGAAATTCTCTTTTTAAAATGTGTCTAGTCCATGTTTTAGGAGAATTTTTTTTTTTAATGCTACTCATATTTTTGGCAGGGGTCCTATGAACAACACAGTTCTTCTGGAGAAAATTAAGGCATGCATAGAGTCCTTAAAAAAAGAAAGAGATGTCTTAAATCAGTTGAAAACTCAGCAAGAAAGTTTATCTCGGCATTTAACATGCATGGATAAAGTGTTAACCGAAAGCCAAATGAGACAACTGGAGCAATGGTGGCAACACATGGAACAAGCAGTGCAAAAGAAACATGATCAAGTTGTGGCAGAAATCGATGAATTTAACCTGCTTATGAATAAAGCACAGGATATTCAGAGACTGATACAAGAACAGTATGTACAAGCAGAGTTGTATACCTCATCTGAAGGAAAGGCCAAATACCCTGTGCTTTGGACCACAGAGCTACAGGACATTAAACATGGTCTTTCTCTATTAAAAAGAAGGATTGAACTGCAGATGAAAAGAATTTGGAGTGATCAAGAGAAGGTGGCTTTGGAGAAATCTATACATGATTTGCAGAGCAAATTGGAAGCCTTATCAGCGCAACAAACTCCTCGAGAGGATGTTCAGATCACTGGTCCTGCTCTCATGAAACATGAAACGATGAAGAGACTCAAAGAAAATATTTCATGGGTCAAAGATTCACTGACCTCTCTGGATCAGAAAGCAGCACTTTTCCCCAGCGATGTTAAATCACAGATCAGAAGTTGTCAGCTTATGAGCACGGAAGTTCTAAACAGAGAACCTGTGATTGTATCACTGGATTATGGGCTCCAGCACATTGTTCCCAGCTTGAACCCAGAGGAGATCTCTGATATGACCTTCCTTTTACAAACATTGCAGAATTCCTACAAGGCTCTTGTTTTAAAATCAGCTCAAAAATTACAGCACCTAGAGCTCCAGCTGGAGGAGAGGCAAAGACTTACTGCAGAAGTAGAAAAAGTTCACTGCCAGCTTCGAAATGCTGAGATGCTTGCCAGGCCTGACATGAACCAAACCAGCACATGGTCAGAATTAATCAATCAACAAGACATTTTAAAGGAGATTTTAAAGGACATACAGGAAATAGAAGGGCTTATCTCATCCCACTGTAAAGAGAGTCAGGTCAGAGCTGGGGAACTGAGCCTGTCTGAACAACTATTTTTGATTGATCAATTAAGAAGTCTGAAGAATAGAGCAAGGAAGACACAGAGACAAATTCAGAATAAACTTCATGAAGTAGAAAAAAAGATAACTGTCTACAGAGAGTTTGCTGAAGGAATAACTTCATTGCAGCAAGACCTTAATGATCTACAGTCCGGTGAAATGAACCTGGAAGAAGATGAATTATTAGGTGTCAAGCAGGAAGTGAAGGATAAATGCAAAGCACTTAAAGAAAAAGTATTAGCTTTTCAGTCCAATTTGTCACAAATAATGAAGTACAAAGAAATCTTTGAATGCGTAGGTCTAAAATGGAACTCAGTGCAGCTGGATGAATTGCAAACTAAATTTTTTAAAATTAAAAATAAAATTAAAGGAAAGATAATACGCTTTGATAATGTTGTTAGGGAATGTGATAAGATTCAAGCATTGCTAAATGAAATCCAGACTATGACTTCCACTGTAAGAAAAGAAGCTAATATCCTAAATTATAGCTCTGGCTCTTCTCCTGCTGAGAATCTTATATCTGCAGAGATCCTGTTTCAGACAGTTCAACAAATCTTGTGCTTAACCCAGGAGGTAGCAAATCAAATAAACAAAAATGAGGTCTTTGATACACCATTCAAAGAATCAAAGAGGAAAGAAATAAAGAGCCTGGAGAACGATGCTGAGGAATTGAATCAGTTTCTTCAAAACTTGGTCTCTGGTCTCCAATGTGTAAACAAGGAGGATACCCAGAATGAAGTAGAACATATATTCCATGTCATAAAGCATATTCAATTAGAGCTCCAGCAGCCACTTCTGATAGACATAAAAATAATGCGGTATGAAAAGATGCGATGGGAAGCAATTCGGAATATGATGCAAGCAAAGATTTCTGCTATTAAATGTGTAATGGAAAAAGAGAGGGAAAACCAAGAAGAAAAATCTCTTGCTGCTGGTATAGAAATGAAATTAGAGACACTGCAAGATCATGAAATACAACTGAAGACAGATATTACTGCACGTGTTGTAAGTATATTAATAAAAGTAAGGTATGGGCCATATGCCTTTTCCCAATACTGAGATTAGGTGTCTGTGACTGTAGTGTTTAGATTTTCATGACTTATATCCTCCTTTTATTCTAATAACTGAATCGGCCCATCATCATCTTTGCATTGGTGGATATGATGGGAATCACGATAAGAAACTAAGGGTACAAAGAAATTAGTTGTATTCAGTTTGATTTTAATCAAGCCGTGGAGATTAGCACAAGAAAAGAAAGGTAAAGGGGAGGAAGGAAAAGGTTGTGTTGAAATATTGAGCTGAAGAGAGACTCGGTGCAGTTGTCCTGGGATTATTCTTGGGACTGATTTTATGTAACATTTTCAATAGTGACAATGATGAAAAAATCAGAAGTTACTTGTTTATACTACAAAGAAAAAGCTTACCAGTTGGGAATGATCAAGGAGAGTAAAGCACAGGTCAAGCCAATGTGATCAGGCCTTGGGGACAGTGAGCAAAGGAAAGGTGACCGGGATCCAAGACTTTAACACAAGTATATAAGGCATTGATAAGGCATTGCTGGAGGAGCAATCCGATTTTTGATACCTTTGTCAGGAGAGGTCCACTCAAACTGGAACAGATGCTGTTAGAGGGATGAGGAATGTTGAGGGCAGTTAATAAAACTGAATTTGCTCAATCTGGTAAGCTGAGGGCAAGTGGGAAATCTAGCTGAGAAATGTAATTAGGCTGGAGGTAGGCTTAATGGATGGAAAAGGACTGCTTAAGTTAAAGGGCAGCGTTAATACAAAGAGAAAGAGTTGGTGAATAAATTTATGTCGGAAACCAGAAGAGTGGTGACCTTCATAGCAGAGATGTTCTGGAACTGTGTCCTGGTCAAGAAGACCTATGTCCTGACTGCCCAAGAGATCAATGGATACAAATGAGGAAATACGAAGTAGTAGCTAATAACAGGGGGAGGGACTCAGCATCCCTGATGGACATACGGTCCTGCTGCCAGATTTCCTGGTTTGCTGTGCTTCATCTTCACTGCTTGGGTATCGTGTGGGAAGCACAATGCCAAACTTTCTCTGCCCTGTGGGAATCCAAGAGCTGGCAAAGTCACACAACATTCTGTGTATAAATACATACGAGAAGAGGGTTTAGTGAGAAGCAGTTTGGCAAGTCATAGTGGAGATGTCCCTGGATGGAGCAGAATAAAGCATCAACGTGTGGGCTATCCTTTCTGAACAAGACATATACTGCCATGTCCATAAAGGATCTTATGGCTCTTGTGTCCTTCCATCCTTCTCTCTGGACTTTTCCAGTATTGGCAGTTCCCTCATAACCCCTGTTCCTATGGCTGAGTGCAATCAATCCATAGGTTACAGCACTGCACTGTGGCTACCTAGGAGGCAGAGTGCGTTTGCCATGTGTCTTCCCTCACCTCCTCAGGCTGGTTTTGGGAGCATTGGTCTCAAAGACAACCAGGAATGAAATTCTGAGAAGACCATCTGGTGATCCAGAGGAGCACAGAAATATTTATTGATTGTTCCTTTGTCTTTTTAACGCTTCCAGAATGCTCTGGAGGAAGCATGTAAGACTGGTGAGCTTTATACCAAGTCTATTCAGAGGGCTGCCAAGTTCCTTGAGGACTATGAAGCTCGAGTCAAGTCTGCCACAGCAGAGCTTGGTAGCTCAGAGGAGGTCTGTCATACCCCAAAATGGAAACAAGAAGAGTTCAACTCTGCAAAGGCTAACATAGAAAACCTGTACTCCAAGCTGAAAAACCTAGTGAAACCAGAAGACAAAATATGTTTGGAAAATACTTTAACAGAACTAGTCAATAAAAGTTTGGCTTTAAGGGAGAAGGCTCAAAGGAAGGAAGCTGATGAACAGAGGTAGGTTTAAGAGATCTTCCTAGATTGTGTTCCTTATTATGAGAAATGTGACTGATAATAAATGCAGTGTTGTTTCTTCTCCGCTAGAACCAGGTAATTCAGCAAAAAGAACTGTAAGCATTTCTGTTGTGATTGTAATAGAAGGAAAATTACCAGACAATAAACATATTGTTAATAATTTACAATGCAATAATTTTTTTTATATTCCAAAAAGTATGTATGGGGCTTGACCGAGTGTCATATAGTGCCGGAATCAGAAGAAAGCACATTTCCAGAGTCTCTAGTTCAGTGCTGGTGCAGGTTAGAATAGTTTTCAGAGGGGCCCTAATGTGTGTCTTCCATAGGCTATTCTGATGGCTTGAGAAGGTAAAGACCAAACAAGATGCAGGCCATCGTTTCCTTCTTTCAAGTATAGGTATATGGAAGAAATCTGAAGGCCTTCAGATACATATAGAGAAATAGAAGTGTAAGGGATTTTTAAATCACTCACTCATGATCCAGTGCTTCTGGTTCTGTTGAACATAACCTTAAAATCTGCTTTTATAATCAAAGAATTGGATGACATTAAAGGCTTTGGTAATAGAAAAGGGATGATAAGATACAGAAATAAGAAATTAGAGTTTGACAGACCACACATCGTAGGGACAAATAGAATGTGTGTTACCAACCAGGAACTAATTTTTGGGAATGTCTGAAGAGGATGGAGACTTAGATCAAGACATACAATTCTTTTGAGCAGCTCCATGGCTGATATATGGATACACATACCTTACACATTTCTTTACCTCTACGTACATGCTTCTCTAAAGTATCTCAGATACTGGACCTGAAGTGTCTACCAAATGCTAATTGAAGACAACTTGCAAAATAGTAAGGACTATTAATTCAGAAGATACTTTTTTTTAATTCTACTGGGCATTATGGTTGGAGAGAGGAGCAACCACAATAAATTTTAATTGGTCTATTACTTGTTTCCTACAGGTATTTTGAAAAATATAAAAGCTACACAAAAACCAAAGACAAGGTGTGTGATAATCTTAACAGACTGGAAAAGATGCTTAGACAGTCTTTGTGTCGAATACCGATGTCTTATAAAGAAGCTTTGGAGCACTTAGAAGAAAGCAAGGTAAGAGAGGCACTGAAGAACTTGAAAAACTCATGCAAAACTGTGATATGGCAGCTATGCACACCATATGATATCGTAGTAGAAAGAAATGAAATTCTTTATCCTGTATTTATGTATATATAAAACCACAGAATATATATACCTCTAAAAAGTCCAGATTATAATTGACCATGTAAAACGAGTACATCTTATTTCTGTAGAAATTAAACATTATCCGTGCTTAAGGTAGTGTTACATTTCTTTTCTGCAGGACTAGGACTGATCAGATTTCTAACATTGCCCTTGTTTTCCCTCAGAAGTGAAAATCAGAGGATTTCCAGTTTCTCCACCCAGGACTCTCTTGCTGCCTCCTCATCAGAGCTCTGCTATAATGAACCTTTTTGCTGTCTTCTCTTTTAGTGCTCATCATATTACAGGCTTGTCATTTTATACATGTGTAACTCCTGCTCATTTCTCTTCCCTTCCAAATAACCAGAAAGAAGTAAGAACAACCTAATTGCCTGGGCACACTGTTCTGTTTGTTTTCTTTAGCCCATCTTTTCTCGACAGTCTTAGCCAACAGAATTCTCTCATTACAAGCATATTTAACTGGCTCAGTGGAGTGATTGCCATTTTATTAGAGGGCCCTAATCATGGCACTGAATGCTTCATTAACACTTCTGACTGTATTATTTATTTACTTGTTTGTTTTTCCTGTAAGATTTTAGTCTCCAACATTGACTCGGTGGAAGATGATCTTGTGAAGCTGAGGCAGGTCTCTGGAGAGCTGATGAGATTATGCAAGAGAAGTGACAGGGCACTGGGCAGGACTGTAACAGTGCTGTGGGAAAATTGGCTGGGTTTAGGAATGGAAATACATCAGTGAAGAGGTGAGTTGCTCAACAAACTAAGTTTTGGGGAATGTGGTAGGGATGGGGTCCTCAGTAAAATTGCATGTAAAGGGCTGAGATCAGTGCAGAACATAATTTCCCACCCACTGATCAGCCAGTTATCCCCAACCTTTCTTGAACTTCAAGAAGTTCTTGAACTTTCTTGAACCTTTCTTGAGTCAAAAATGATGGGGATATTTATAGGACAAATTCTCTGAACTCAGAACAACTCTGTGTGTGGTTGTGTGCTTTGTTAGAGCAAACTTAAATGTTTTGGCACACGTCAGAGGTTCAAGCTCTCTGGCTATGTAATTCCCAGTACTTAGTCATGTGTATGAGTAAATGAATAATGTAACTTAAGGTGATGGAATAAAAAAGCACTTCATCTCATGCTTTGACATGCTGTTTACTTAGCTGGAACGAGAAACAATAATTCTCGATAAGCTCCAGGAAGAACAGCCAGAAAGTCTTAAAGAGAAAGAAAAGGCCACCAGAGAGGAACTGGTAGAATTACTAGATTTTGTGAACTCATTTGAGGAAAACATCAACCAGCAACAGCTCCTCTTACTCTTACTTCTTCACCGAATAAGAAACATCCTGAATACATCTGAAAATACTGAGGCAGAAGCTGCCCTTCCTGCCTTATGTGAGATAAAGGCAATGCAGGATCGCTGTAAGAAGTAAGTGGTGTGAAATTTCTGTTGAAGATATGACACAGGACTATTTACAAGCACAGTGTTTTATTGGGTATTAAAGAATATATGAAAGCTGTAATGCACTTAAAAAGGCAGTGAATGTCCTACTGGGTCAGACCAATGCTCTGTCCAACCCATCTGCCATCTCTAGCATGGGCATTGGGAGAAAGTAGTTAGGGAGAAGACCTGAGCCTGGCCATATCAGGTGTGGGCTGAAATTTGTGTTCAAATATAGACGGAATCAGAAGGGATAATGGTCGATTCTGGAAGCTCTTGTGAACTTTAGTGACATGTGTGGGTCTTCCACTCTTATGAAAAACAGACCTTGTGCTTTTTGCGACAATGCAACTTTTGCCTTACTAAGTGAGTGCTGCTGTTTAAAAATTGCCTTGAATATTTTTTCAAATCTGTGACTGTACTCGCCCTTCTCCATGCCTGCTTTTTGATATGGAAATCTTTGTGAATGTTTTCTGCTCTGCCAGTGTTTTCAGACTCTGAGAGCCTGAGCTCTGTTTGCTGTTTAAATATGCATGCTATCTGATTTGGTAGACCAAATACTTTGTTTAGCAATATCTGAAGACTAGTTTTTGAAGAAACAAAGGACAGAAACTCAGAGGTTTAGTTACAGAAAATAGTATTAAAATATAGTCAAATGTAGTTCTGGATATATATTTTTTAAATATCTGCGTTAAGCATGCTCTTTGATTACTCCTACTTAGTGTAGAGTCTAACACTTACTGTATTCTTACTGGAAATCTTTCACAGGTTGTATGAAAAGATTCAAGATCATAAGGATTCTGTACAAGCTGAGATTCAAGAGAGGAACAAGATCAGTGAAGAAATAAGTGCTGTGACAAACACATTACAAAATGCTGCATCTGTGTTAGTACAAGATGCTAGTGGAAAGGCGGGACAACTGGAGGTTGGTATTGGCTCTGTTACCACGTAGGGACGTTTGGAAAATGTTCTTTTTTATGCTGGGGCATGAACTTGCTCCAAATAAAATTAGTGGCAAAGCATAGGCATATGCACATTGACTTAAAGAGAATGCAGTGGGCTCAGCAGAATATGACCGGCCCTGCCATGTCCTTGGTGTGCGTTCCTCTCCCTGTATATGGTCCACTTAGCAGCCATAGAAGTCTTTCCAGATTGCAGAGGGATTCACAGCCAGTTGAATGCCTTTGAGGAAAGACTGCTTACATGCTGTGCCCCTTCCCCTTCTGCGCACCTAGCCAGGGCAGCTTCAGATGCTGTGGATTTGATGTCTCACATCAGGGGGTTAACCTGGTAAGTGCTTTTTAGAAATCAAATTGTGATCAAGACCACAGTCGCCACCAGCAGCAACCAGCACTCTGCAGCAACCCAGTCAATCAATTTCTATCATTGCAGTATATTTTTGTTATCCTTTGAATTCTTGATTTTATGAAATGCTATTATTCCTAACACTTCCTGAATGTTTTTTATTTGTTATTGATTATTTATTATTAATTATATTTGTTTCAGTGTTACTGTGTTTATATTACCAGCTTATTTTTTATCTTAATTCTTAATTATCTTAATTCTTAATTTTCATCTTAATTTCTGATGAAAAATTTTGTTTTAATCATATTGAATCAAGTTATCTTTTAACTATAGAACATTATAATTTGTTTATTCTAGCCTACTAAGGTCTATTACAGATTTGGGCTCTCTTTGACGAGTCTTGTATAAAAACTAGTTGGGGTGCCCACCATGTATTTTCTTTAGAAGGTGGGTGCTTGAAGCTGGCAAAGGGCTAGGAAAAGTACAGAAGCCAAAGACTGTGCTGGCAGATATGAGCATTTTCCTAGGGGTTAGCTTTTGAGAGAAACGTTAACTGCATCTTTAGGAAGTTCTGAAAACCCATGAGCCAGCAATTACTGTGGTGAAACCTTGTGCATTTGTCTGAAAGGGCTGGTTTTCTATTTAAAATGAGTTAGAATGAGAATTTAGAGTGTGGTCTGCTGTTTTGCTCAGTTCTTTGGAGTTCTTTCCAGGAGGAAATGTTACCACTGCAGGTGCTTGATGCCTGCTCTTTTTCCTCACATTCAAACTGCACTACTCTGAGCACCTAACTCACCCAAAAGGGAGTTTAGACCTTGTTCCTGTTCCTGAGAGCAGTCAGCACAAGCCAATGTTAGCAGCAATCCCGTCAAATGATTTCTTTGTAGCAGTATGTTGCAGCAGGCCTGTTCCTTTTGAGAAGATTCAGCTGAAAGGATTGAAAAATTCCTTAACTTTACCTAATGCAAACGCCAGTAAGCCAAAATCTGCAGGGCAGTTTCATCCCTACTTCCAAAGAAAACCTAGTTTCTATAAGAGCTATAGCATTATTTGGCGCTCCATTGCATTCATTGAATGGAAATACCTATTTCACTTCCAGATGACAAAGCTATATTAGCTGGGTGGCAAAGTTTTTACTCACCAATATAGATGAATATGCAAATGGGAAGTGGTATCATCTAGTCCCCTAGGAAAAAACTGGGATGGTTTTGACAGGCTTCTGCTTTCCAGTTAAATAATCTGTGAAATGTGAACATGCATTTATATACAGAAACCAGTTTGCAGAAACATGCTTTGTTTTGGAGACGAATGTTGTAACTGATTCTTTCAAATTCAAGTCAGGGAGTCTATAAACTCCCGTAAATGTTGGCATGATCTTAATTGGTAGAATGAGGCACACAGCTGTTTCGTGGGTTTGAGTTTTTAATATCAGACTCAGTTGTTGTGGGATTACGGACAATAAATCAATCTCAGACTCTTACGTATTTCTTCTGTGCATTGTATTTGTGTGAGGGAAAAGATTCCCAAGTGAAGACTAGGAGTTAATGGATTACCATTACCCGTGACTGAAAAAGAAAAGGATGTTAATTTTAATGTCTTTCGTTGCCTGGTAGGAGCTTTAAATCATTTTCCCCAATACCTTGAAGTAACATTTGAGTTTCTCAAACAGCTGAGCGTTGGGAAAAGGAACCGTAAAGCAAAAACAAACAGAACTTTCCAATTTGAAATTCTAGAAAACCTTCAAAACAAATGAGTTTCTTCATTCTTTCTGCAAGAGGACTTAGATCGGATTTTATTTCTAGGCCACAGGCTGTAGACAGTTGTTCAAGTTTCTTTTATCTCATAAAACCTACATTCTTCATGCAGAACTGGAAACTACTGTTTCGAAAGGAGCCTGCTGTGCTGCTCTGTGTAATTGCCTGAAAGCAGACTCTTCAGCTTGAAACCTGTTGCTTTTTGTGGCCTTTGTGTTGTTTATAATAATGAAGGAATGAACGTTGGCTATTCCACGTCTTTCAAAGAGAAAATGCACTTCTGGCAAAAGAGGGAGCACAAAGGTTAACGTTTAATCATAGGAGCACTTCAAATGATTACGTTGCTATACCTGTCAATAAATGTCAGTGCGTTAGTTACCTGACATGGAGTAGTATCAAGTTTAATTAATTCTTACAGATTGAAAAGCATCATTTGATTAAATGAGTGAGTGTTTCTCAAAGGTAATCTGCTTGCAGAGGTAGTCAAATTAGTCTCGATATCACAAAAACAACTTTTCCAAACCATAATCATGGTAGGAAATATAAAACACAGTATCTATGTGTGTATATATATACATATGCACGTATACACACGTACACATGCACTCAGTAAAAACTGGGTAAAACTGCTGAAGTTGTTCTTTATTTTGTAGGAGGTTCAGAGTGTGATTGGTAAAGAAAGTCAAACTCTAAAGGATATCATGGAGAAACTTCGGATCAAGTATTCTGAAATGTATACAATAGTTCCTGCAGAGATCGAAACACAGTTGGAGGACTGCAAGAAAGTATTGCAAGACCTAGAAGACAAGGTAACTGTTGATGTAATTTTCATATTTAACTTTTTGTAATGTATAAATAAGTACAGCAATATTTGATGAATGTTGTAATATAAATTTTAGCTTGAAACATTGATTATTTTCATTTGCATTTTCCTCTCAGGGAAAATATATGCATAAAGAAAGATTCCTCATGATAACTGTCTCCTTTTAGAATAACCTTACAGTAAGCAGTATGAATATAATATTTTTCTTTTCTGTTAAAAGTGGACAGGCAGAACCACTAGCAATGAAGTCTTGGGTATAATAGGGATCCTGTCTTCCATCCAGTCTGATTCTTAAGCTCAACTAGTAGTCAAAGTTGACCGCAAAGTTTGTATAGCTTAACTGAGAAGATATTTTCAAAACTGAGTTAAAAGAGGACTTTGAAACCAGATTTTTTTTAATCTCACTTGCACACATGGTAGGGTATCATGGCACGGTGCTTTATACCACCCCTTGGGACATGGTTGCATTCCTTTAAAAGCAGACAGGGAATTTAAGTAACTAAATAACATTGCGTCAGCTTTTTGTAATGTTTTCTAACTACAGGGGTTAGAAACAGTTAACTGAAGGCAAAATTAAAGGAAAATGGAGTAATACTGTAAGTTTGAGATCAAATTATAGCCTGCTATAATTTTTATCATTGCTATTTATTCCTTTGTGTTACTTTTTAAAAGAAAAAGATCTTTCAGTTCTCTTATTTCAGAAATAATAATATTTAATACTAATTTTAAAGGTTAAATCTCAGTTAATTTGATAAAGCTTTAAAGTTTAATAAAACAATTTTGAAATCCAGTAACTTGTTAGTGTCTGTCAGATTACTCATTCATTTTATGTTGCATTAAATATTTAGAGACATATTTGTTGCAGCTTGTTAGTTTTAATTTGGTGAACTTTGTAGTTTCTGTTTCAAAATGGAATCGGTCTTTTTAGAACCAACAACTGGATAAGAGAGAGTAGGAGAAGGGAAGTAAAATAGTATTTATGCTTTAGGGTTTTTTTTTTGTTGGTTACTGTTTCATTTATGGAGATAAAAGATTATCCCAAAGCACACATTACATGTTGGAGTCAAAGAATTGGTCCTGGAAACTAGATAATATTTACTTTTCACATTTAGGTAGTGGAAAACAATATAAACTATATTGGATTTTTTTAAAATGCATTTAGGAAATAAAATAAATTCTAGTGTAACTGGAGATCAGTTTAGTTACATACTATAAGATAGCAGCATGTGTTGCATTGAATTAACTTGTCATATTTTAATGACATTCTGCTTTCTTCTGAGTCTGCTAATCTAGAAATGAAAATAAATTGCACTTTTGATGCCAAGCATTTTATGTGAAAAATATAATAAATTTGTCCCAGTAAGAAGTCTTGAAATTAAAATCCTGCCCTACCGATGATCAGAGCACTGACAGATGCAGCATTGCTTCTGAGGAAAGATAGGAAGTCAGCGCTTGGTCTGCTTTCTCATTTCCCACTGTGTCACATCACTCATACATATTTATCTTCTATTTTGGAAACTAGCACTACAAACATCAATAATTTTACATGTTTGGTATACTCCAGGATAGGAGTAACAGTTCTGAGCTGCTTTTTCTGAGGAGCCTTAGGCACTAAGTACGGACTTAGTTTAGCTTCACAGCTTTTTTGTGTAAGCATGAGTATTTGAGAGGAGCACTTTAGTTCTTTTTGCTATATATTTATTTTGATGAATGCAATTTTATCAATACACTACCTTACTATGGGTAGTATTTATATTTGCCTGGCACTACATGTTGGAATCTATTAATAATAAATAATGCTAATAAAACTAAGAAATAAAAATAGATAAATAATTTATTAACTAGATAATAATCTTAATTTGTCTTCCCATAAAAAGGATAAAATATGTCAATATAAAGAGCTTCAAGCCAGAATAAGTACTAAACTAGAAATCTTTTACATCAATGCAGCATAAAGCTGTTCAATGTGCGTATGCCCCATAAATCCTAGGGCTGCAGCACACAAGGGTTTACCATGATTTAACAGTTCCCTGGTGCTTGGTTGACCCTAACAGCTAGCAGGGTTTAGTAAGGAAAAATGTCACTTGGGGCTAAGAGCAAGGACTTTCTCACTCCCTCCACCTCATCTAGTCCATAGTAACCTGGCACTTTGTCGCTCAGTTCTGTGCTCAGGCAATTACTCAACTTCAGCTTACGTTGAGAGTTTTTCTCTTTACATAGAAAATCAGGCCCTCCAGTATACCGATTTTTCATTTCTGTAGAGTTCTGCAGAGTAAAATTAAGTTCCATGTGCTTTATGGGGCTCAGAGCTTTTTATTTCAGTGATAAATCTCTAAATTTATATTTAGAAGTTCACTATACATTGATGTACTTCAATATTCCCTTATGTGTTACATGGAAGTAATAGCTGTCAGCTGGGGCATAAAGGTGTCATTCTAGGTTTCCTACAGCACAAATCTAAATGTCACCCTTTCCACAAAGCAGTATGATTAGCCTCTGTTACAGATTAGAACAGGGGCAACTAAAGCGAAGCACCCAGGGAGTTGCAGTGTCTTACTGTTTGGTTCTTCAGGGATTGCCTTTCTTGACCAGTCATTTTTTCTTGACCAGGAAATTACTGAACAACGTGTAAATGTTGAACCTGCTCACCTTAACCCTTCTCCCTGCAAATGTAATTCCATTCCTGTGTTTTTAAGTGACTCGTCAAGAGAAACATAAAAAGAATTTGAATATTTTTGGTGAGGTGGTACACAGAAACAAGCAGTTCTTTGTAACCTCCTCAATCGTTTTCTCTTTACTCTGACAGGTTAGCTTTGAAATCCTGCAGGGCTCTCCTCAGTATGTGCTGAAAAGAAAAGCAGAAACTATTAACAATGGCCTTCAAGCCATTGAAAAGATGTTACAACAGAAGAGTGAAAACATTGCAAAAGCCAAAGAAGTTCAGAAGGTAATCTTGCAAAAAAAATTTTCTGTGTGCTAAAAGATTTTTAGTTGTTTCTACGGAGCCTGGTTTAGCAGGAGCATAAAGTAGCCCTCCATTCGTTTTATGTCTGCAAAAGAAGTACAAGCAAGCATTTAGATGGTGAATATTTACCAATTCTTTCTCCCAGGAAAATACATGGTTTTTTTCAGCTGTGAATCACACAGGTAGATGCAGAGCATTCTGTTCCTGTCCTATCAGTTCCAAAATCTTTGCAATTCTACATGCCCCACGTACAGAACAAATAGCTCTGCTGTTATCTTTGCACCTGACCTTATGTTTCATTTCCCCTCTCCCCACATGCAGCAAATCTGGGATATGCTAGACCTTTGGCATTACAAACTCAATGAACTGGATGCAGAAGTCCATGATATAGTAGAGCAGGATTCCTGCCATGCACAGGAGTTGATGGATATCTTAGTGAGCCCCCTTCAGCAGCACCAACAGGTCTCGCAACTTGCCGAGCGCAGGACTGCCATTTTAAACAAGGTAGATGCAAATGTAAAAGTTTTTAAAAAATCACATCTTGTAAAAAACAAAATAAAGGCTTTGTATAAAATATCATCAAAGGCTGTCAGGTGAGTAAAGAGTCAAAAGCCTGCTGTAGGTGCATTGGCTTACTGTACCTAAGAGTTTCTGGAGGGACAAACATCACCTCCAGCTGCTACCCCAAAGGGCCGGCTCTGCACCATGGTTGATGGGGATTAGCATGGGGAATGCAGGCCCCTGGATGGGTGATTAGAGGGTGTCCTGGTTTCGGCTGGGATAGAGTAGATTTTCTTCATAGTAGCTAGCATAGCACTGTGTTTTGGATTTAGTACTAGCTGAAACCAGGACAGAGGGTTCTCTCTGACTCTCCTAATGAAATGAAATGTAAGCATATAAGCACCAAATTTACCTTTGAATAGGGGAGAGAGATAGCCTGAAATCATGAAACTGTTTCAGAAAAAAATATGATCTTTATTTCACCATACTGATTTAACTGACCTTGATGAAAATGCATCTTGTTTTCTTTTAATCTTGTCCATAGCTATGTTTATCCTATACAGTGAATAGAAATGCCTTTGTGCCTTTTTGTAAAATCCTGTCATTTCCTAGGCTGCCAACAAGATGGAAGAATATGACGACCTCTTGAAGAATGTGAAAGTTTGGATAGAAAACACTAACTGCTTGCTAAGAGCAGATGCTCAAAATGACTCTGCAAAAAGCTTACGCAGACATACTAATGACCTTCAGGCAAGTGTTAATGCAGATATATGGTCTTGTTAGAACTGGTTGCTCTGTACAGACACAATTTTGCATTCTTAAGTCTTACTGACATAAACAATTTACCATTTTCAATGAATTCTTTAAGTGAAAAATAGTTAGAGTTAACAGTCATGAAATATAGATGGATACGTTTCAGTGTTGGATGTATCTATCTTGTGAAAGTGCTGAACTGTAGTACACCTATCTTCCAAAAATATGTGACTGTCATCTTGTTACCCTTCTGTGTGGCTATAATCAGTTTTTACTGCCTGAATATGTATGGTTCTTTCTGTAGTGTGTGTATGTGATCCAAAAAGGAGAAAGTGGTATTTTGATGTCTGTGTATTAGATGGAAACTTTGAAGTGAATTGTGATTTGGAAGGCAGTTCTCACTGTATCTTGAAGGTAATTCTGATTGGTAATCTCAAGAATCAAATGCTTGTAATATTACAGGGAACATCAGTGCCAAGCAAATGTCATTTCTGGCAATTTCGTATTCAAATTTCAAGTTTTCTGTATGCCCCCTCCTGGGCTTAGGCCATGAGAGAAAGTTGGAGCTCTGATCATAGATTTTTGTATTAAAACTGGAAGTCGCTGACTGTTCTGGACTGATATGTTACAGAGCATGTAGCCATGATGGGGAGATTGTGATTTCCAAAATCTGTGAATGTTTCTGTAACAACAGCTTATTGTCTCCTGCGTTTGTGGTTTGGAGTATTTTATGTGCTCTGGGCTGGAAAACTGGTGGATTTGGAAATGCACCCAAGGCTTGCATTAGAGTTGAGGCACGCATTCAGTCCTTTCCTTCAGCAGATCACATGCATTTCTTGCAACCCTCACAGTTCTTCATGAAGACATTTGCTGTAATTAATCCAAAAGCTCATCCATTTAGCTGCAGGAGATGGAAAGAATCTTCCCATTGTGCACAACTGGCCAGATATTTTCTGGAGCATTCTGTTACATCTGCTGTCTGCAGGCTGGTGTGCAGAAAACCCTTTTCAGGTGTCTGGCTGACATGTCTTGTTCAGGTACTTGGGGTCAGCCTGGCCATGGCACAGGAGCTGGAGAGGAATATTCTCCAGGATCTCATACTTTTCTTTTTTTGGGGTGGGACCTCTCCCTGAGTTTGAAATCTTCCTCTTCATGCATTTTGTCATGCTCATGTAGACTTATTTTATCTCATTGATTCCCTTAAAATCACTGCATCAGTCTCTAGGTTTTCTGCCTGCAGGATGCAGTAGTTCAATTCCCTTAGGAGTGAAGAGTTTTAGTCTGAACTAAGCTTTTGGGAATAGAGGCAATCGACAATGACATACAGGAAATTAAAACTGGTTCCTTCTGGTCCTAACCTCTGTGAAACTTTGATGTTCACCATTGATGGATCAAACTAAGCTCTTATTTTGTCTCCAGATGGCTTTGGAAGACTTGGAGCAAAAGCAAAATCTTCTACACAGTGTTTACTTGGAGCTGGAGGAGCTAACACCAGTCTTTGAAACAGACAGTGTAATGCAACAGCTAAATGAAATAGATGATGAAGTAGCAACTTTACAGCATGAAATAGCTGAGATTCTTCCACAGATCCAGCACGTGGCTGATGTAAGTTTGGGTGATCTATAAGTGCCTTTTATCAGAGCTTCATCATACGTTGTGAAATACAGCTTATATTGCCTGCATACGAGAAAAGTGTGCTGATTTTAGTAGGTGTGCCAAGTGAGGAAATGAATTGTTCGGAAAAAATCAGAAGGTGTTTGGTATCTAATTAAGCTGTACAGTTCAGGACTATTGATGAAACTCCTTGTTTAGGAGGAGAAATGCAGGGCTTCTTGACTGGCAAATTAAAAAGGCTTATCTTGCTGGAGGGTGGGGCTCCTCAGAGGCACCTGCACAGGCTGGAGAAATGGGTGACAGAAACCTCATTAAGTTCAACAGAGGCAAATGAAAAGTCTGACATCCAGGAGCAAATATGTCCAAACACCAATACAGGCTGGGGGCCAACCAGCTGGAAAGCAGCTTTGCCAAAAGGCCTGGTGGTCCTGGTGGATGACAAGTTGATCATGACACAGCAGCATGGCCTTGCAACAAGAAGGACAACAGCATCCTTGGGCTGCCTAAGCAAGAGTGTAGCCAGGATGTCCATGGAAGTGATCTTTCTTTTTGGCACCTGTGAGATCATATGTGGGTGCTGTGCTCAGTTTTAGGTATCCCAGTCTAACAAAGACATAGACACCTGGAGTGAATCCAGGAAGGCCACCAATGTGGATGGGAGGCTGTAACACAGGATGTAGGAGGAAAGGCTGGGAAACCTAGGTCAGTTCAGCCTGGAGAAGAGGTTGTTTGGGGGTGGGGGGTGGGGGGCGGGTATTACTGCTGTCTACTGCCACATAATGGGAGACTATAGACAAGGTACAGCCAGACTCTTCTTGGGGTGTGCAGAGAAAAGAAGAGCAGTAACAGACCCAAATTATAAAAAAGGAAATTCCATCTACATATTAGGAAGGATTTTTTTTTTTGCAGTGAGATCAGTCAAACACTAGATCAGGGGCCTAAAGCAGGGGTAAAATCCTCATCCCAGGAAATACACAAATCTCAACAGGATCAGGCCCCAAACGACCAGCTCTTGTGTGCACCAGAGACCTCCCGAGGTCCCTTCCAACCTAATTTATTCTGTGCTTCTGTCTCCATAAGAGTTCAGAAGCAACTGTATTGTATGTGGGTCCCTTTCCCATCCGATATAACGCTCTTCATATAAAGGCTGCAACAGTGTAATTAGACCGGTTTCCTATGCTGATAACTCTCACCACTGGAAAAGTGTCTTGTCGCTACTGGTAATTTATCATGTGACTTTTCAAGGATATTTCAATTCTGTATTCAGGGTTTAAAACAGACCTTAAAACAGGTGACCTTAGATACTTAATTCCTCCAGAACTTATGATGATACATAATTTACAATAACTAGCCTTTTGATAGGTAGCATCCATTAACATATCCTGCATACACTACACTTGGGTTTCAGTATTTCTTTTTTAAATTTAAGTGAAAGGCAGAAATGCAAGCTGGCTTTGGTATTTGTACTATCTACAAATTGTCTTGTTCCCAAAATCTAGGAATTGGATGCCATTGAATCTCATGTGAAAGTGTTTGAGAAGGAAATTGCCAAAATGAAGACAATCCTATCATCAGAAGATCTGTTAGAATTTTCTCCTAAAGACCAACTTAAACATGGACAGGTCTGTGAAAACTCCTATATAGGCTTTTTTGCCTATATATTTATGCGTAAGTTAGCACAATTATGCTTTCACAAGCATAAAGCTGTTTTGTCACTGCAAATAGTATCACACAAATTCTAACTCTTGGGTCAAAGATTTAAAGTATTATTTCAGTCATTATTTAGGCCACATGTTTGTACAGCAGCAAGTAGTGCAATCCAGGAGGAGCATAATTGGTAAGGCAAAACAGTTGGTGCAGCGGATCTGATACCTGTGTTGTATGTGTCTTGGGGGCTTACTTTGGGCTGATCCTGTAGAACGGACATCCATTAGCAGTTGGGTGTCCTTAGAGGCTCTTTCGGAGAGTATCTTCTGCTTTAGTCTAATTTGAAAGGAATCCAGTTTGCATGCTACAAGACAACTGTACAACGTAAACCCTAAGGCGAGATTGTTCAGCACAGTTGTGGTTTGAATGAAAACATATGAAACTAAAGTACTATTGAAAACACATCCATAGAGAACTCAAGCATGTAACTTAAGCTCACGTTATCAGAACATACATGCCATATTTGAGTGTCTCCATTTTTGGAACATTTACAGCCTGACTTTCAGAGATAACTTGCTGCACATCAGCTCTACTTAGCATCAAACAGTAAGTAATCTGAAAGTCTGAAAATCAGGCCCTATTTTTCCTAAAATGGAGGCAAAATTTAGCAGATATTTCCTGAAACATAGGCTGGAGTGAATTACCATAAAACTGTTTCATCACGCAGGGACTTCACTGCAAAGATACCTTGGCCAGATGGTTTTCCTTTCTCTGCTTGAGTGAAGTAAAGCAAAGCATTATGATGTCTTTTCTTTCATACCACATGCAGTCCACATTGTTAGCTGACTGAAATGCAAAAAGCATGGGTTCAGTCTGAGGGGAGGGATAAAAATGTCATCAAACCTCTCAAAGCTTTGTTATCCAGAGAACAATTTTGTAATGGCTACATTATATGGAAAAACTAAAGTAATATTTCTTCTGGAAAATAATAATAAACCTACTTCCTTATTTTAAATTGAAACCTGGATGGTATGCTAATGACAAAAAATCACTGGTACGGTCTCCTTATGAATGAGAGAACAAGCATCTCTATTCCAATTGGGGCCTTTTAGATGAAATCTTGAGAGAGAATTTAACAAAAATATTAGTAATTCAAAGGTCCAGAGGTGATTTGTATTTATATTTTTTTTCTTCTGAAGTTCCCACAGAAATGAGGTTTCAGTAGGATTTCATATTTCTTTAGGAGAACCAAGAAGTGTTGAGCTGGTATTGCTATTCAGTCTTTCCTACGTTGATCACTGAGTCTTCCATAAAACATTGTATTGTGGTATGAAATTGCACATTTCTGTTCATCCAAAACTGATAAAGGTGATTTGTAAACTGTGCATCCACTCGGTGTGATGTGATATGAAATGCTGTCTTTGACAGGAAAGCAGTCTTCAGAGGTTTTGCTCCTGGCTTCCATCCCAGTTCATCATCTCAGCTGCGTTGATAAGACTGTTTATAGGACCATTGTAAAATGGCTAGCTTTAACACAGGACATTTCATGGCTAGTTTACAGCATAAAAAAGAAAAAACAATTTGCTAGAGTGACATCAAAGGGTTTGCACCAGTTTTTTAACTGTCTTCACTGCCAAAGATGTGCTACTTTGAAATGACACACTTAGCAAATAGTAACTAGTCTGAATGTGACCCTTTTTTTGTCACTGTGCAAACTTTACGTATGTGTATGCATAAAAAGCAGAATTGTAAATGTAAGTTATATCTTCCTCTTGCTTTAGACAACTTCACCATGGATTTTCACGTATTTGTTCCAAGATTAAAATATTCTTCCTTCTTAAATGGGAAACTTGCCAAAGAGCACTTTTGCACATCATGACAGTAGTATAAATTTTCAGTGCTGATTTTTCCAACTCAGCATCACATCCATCATCCTGTATCCTAATAGGTTATACTTGACCACGTTGGTCCCATGCAGAAGACCATCATTCATATACAGTCCTACGAAGAAGCACTTCAGCTACCAGGGGTGAAAATGCAACCTTTCTCAGTCTTCCAAAGAACAAGACAACTCTTGAGAGAATTGAAGAAACTAGAAAAAATTACTAAGGAACAAAATGACCTACTGGAGGTAATTTTTTTTTTTTTTTTTTTTTTTTTTTTTTTTTTTTTTTTTTTTTTTTTTTTTTTTTTTTACTGTCACCTAAACCACCTTTATTTTATAATAATTTTGATCACTAAACAATATTGTTTTACAGGCATATAGTATGCCTACTTTGTCTTCTATGTAATGGTTTGGGGATTTTTTTTTTTTCCTGTGTAATTTGATACTACAGCAAGGCACACTGGATAGTCTTGAAATCCATTTCAGTTTTCCTGTTCAGTCACAACTGACACCATGTGTTTTAGCATATTGTAGAAGAAATGAAGGCCCAAGTGTCTTATGACCGAGGTTTGCACACCTGATGATTGAAGTCCAATGTTATATGCAGGTGCTCACATCTGCAATGTTCAAGTCCGTAAACGTATCTTCAACATGAAATTCTTTGTGGACAGCCATTAGATAGAAATTGCTGACAATTAACAGCAGGTCTTTAGTAAAGGTGATATTCCCAAATCAGTGAGCCAGGAAAGTGACCATTTTCTACTGCTGTCGCTTGGATAATTCATTGTTTTGGGGCAGGCCAACTCCTGCCCTCAGAAGGTCCCATGCAAGGATGTGTCTGCATAAGTGAACATATGGCAGGGGGCTTGGAGATGCTGTTGGACAGACCAGGTTTGGAAACAGAAGTGATACAACAGTATAGGTGTGACACTGGGCTGTGGGAGAAGGCAATGCCGGTGGGGTCAGTGAGCGTTAACTCATGGGGCAGTATGAGTTAAGAAATGTCTGTGCTGGCTCCAGATCTGAAGTAGTATCGCTACAGCACTTCATTGACCGATGTGGTTGTGCCAGTGCAGGAACATTTTCGTTCAGGGATATCTGTGTCACGCTCCATTGCCAAGGGTAGATCTACTTGGGGGCAATCTGGAGTTCGGCTATGCATGTTTCCACATCAGCAGGGGTATGAAAATTCTCATGGGACTCATCCATTTCTCGGCAGGATGATAGCAGCACATAGAAAAATGATACAGTATATCTTTGCTGATTTGGTTTTCCAAATCAGTTACAGTAAAGCAGAATGCTTTAGGACATCTAACTTCTTACTAGGCATGTCAAAGGCCAGGCAGACACCAAGTGTCAATTAAAACGTGTATGTCCATCTTTGATTTTCAGCAAGAGAAAAATTCAAACATGTTACATGAGTAATGCATGCTTGGAGTTCAGAAAAAAGCAATGACTATGTGAGATCCAGACAATCCCTACAATCTTTTTTTTTTTTTTTCCAGTCCATACAATTTCTAATGTCTGAAAAATGGATGTGGTAAAGTGTAACTTTTTCAGAGAGTTGCCAGATTAAATACTCAAGAATTTTTAAAACACTTTAAAACCATCAGAAACAGGGTGCTTTGCAATTATAAAGTGTTACCGTGAGACTTCTAACTGGCTTATTTGGAGCATTAGCTCAAGCTTTAGATTATTCTCCTTTTTGAAGCAGCTGTAACCTTTTTTACTCTGCATTTGCCTTTATCTTAGAGGCATCCAACAATCTGTAGCTGAGTGAAATTTCTTTGTGAGAAAACAGATTGGAAAAATTGCAATTCTTGGCCGCTAGGATGTCAAACTGTGCAAAAAAGATTTTCCAGTCCTGTTCAATGGGTTGAAAGCATCGGTACTACAATACAAGTCTAGCACCAGCTAAGGCATAACAAAGGATAAAGCTAGCAAAGGATGGCATTTTGAGTGCTGCATTAGAAAGGTAGTAAGTATCCTGATAGAGAGGAAAGCAAATGGGAGGCAAGCTTCCTGTACAAATACATACATAGGGTTTTCTTCCTGAGGATTAGTTTTGAAATGTTAGTGTTTGGATGCATTTGCCCGTATTTTGCTATCTGTGATGCAATCAGATATTGCACTAGTAACTTTTGTTGAATTAAGTTACAGTGTAACACCTGAAAAAGTATAACAGAAACAAAATCTGTAATAAGTAGTGTAAATTCTTTGGGGCAAGATTTGCGGTGACTTAGATCTGTGTTCAATATTGCCCTCTGTTTTTTATTATGGCCTGTCAAGTACCACACCTATCACTCCCTAAATAACGTCATCAGGAAGAGGAGCTGGAAGCCACAGCTGCTTCTACTGGTTTTCTGTGCAAGAGAGCGGCAGTATTTGCATATTTGATTATTTACTGTGCTTGTTTTTAGTAAGCTCTTCCATAACAACTACAAGGCCTGCCTGCATGTACACTACGGCAGGGGCGCCTTTTCCATGGATAGGTCTTATAGTATTACCACAATATGAAAAGCAAAGAGCAACTGTTAAGCAGGAAATAACTGAAAAGAGAGGCAACGGTTCTGAGAAGAGACTCAGTCCCACATATACGGCATAATTTATGTTGTATGAGCAAAAGGATAAAATGAGATCTTTTTGCCCCTAGGTGGAAGGCAGGGAATTAGATGAGTTATCTTCAGGCAAGTGGCTATATTCACATATTGGCCTGTGAGAGAAGACATTGGGGTCTCTATACAGAGTTTTCATATTCTTTAGTTAGTCTAGGAAACTTGAGGTAGTGTGCATTTTACCTATTACTAAACAGTGCTGTTTATGTGGAGGTGGATACTGCCGCTCTCTTGCACAGAAAACCAGTAGAAGCAGCTGTGGCTTCCAGCTCCTCTTCCTGATGACGTTATTTAGGGAGTGATAGGTGTGGTGCTTGACAGGCCATAATAAAAAACAGAGGGCAACATTCAACGCAGATCTAAGTCACCTAAGGTATGGGTAAGAGAATCTCTCTTTTAGAAGGACTTTTAGTTTCTCATTAAAACTGAGCAGGAGAAGACCTACTCTTTTTTTCCTCCTCTGCTTCTTTAGCTATGGCATTAAGATTACTGTCTACAATTAAATACCTTCCTCTCCAGTTTGCAGTTTGGCTTTTTTTTTAAGCAGGGAAAACAGTGTTTTCTTCCTTCTAAAACCAGTAAGTAAAAAAAAATAAATCATTTAGAACCTTATTAGTTTGTGTTTTCCTGGGAGGGAGTGCTACCGTCAGGAAGTGACTGCAGAAACAGCACTGCTACTGTTCGTAACAGGAGGGACTCTTTGCTCTGAAAGGCAGAGTCTGTGCACACTTTGCAGAGAGATTTTTCAACCTGTCAGGCTGTTCAGGTGCTGCTGTTAGCAGAGTAAGTTCAAGCCTGTTGACAATAGGCTGCATTTTCTTCATTACCTTTTGCAGACACCCAAGGAATAGTCCTTGGACATTCTTTGGTTCTCAGTCCATGGGTCAGAAAACACAGAGCCTCCAAATGTTCTGCAAATTAAATGTTTTCACAAAATATTCTGATTTGTGGATATAACAATTCCTTAATTACCTGAGACATCGTGACAGGCTGTGGCTGACAAACATGAACAATATGGGGGGGGGGAAATTGCTGATTTCTGCATGAACAGTAAAGCATGGGGGTTGATAAAAATTTGCTGTCACTGTCAATTGAGTAAAAGTGATGTGACTGTTTATAACATGTAATATGTTTTCCTATAAGTCATGTAAGAAGAGGAAGCTCACACAAAGTGGAAATACTTACCATTTTTATAGGAAGTATTCAAATTGTGAGATACTGTGGTTGGCTTATCCTCTGAGCTGCAGTGTCTGCCTGGTGCACAGCACAGTTCATTTTCAGTTAGTGCAGAACTAGCTGGCAGTAAAGACCTGAGCACCAATAAAAACCAGGTAGGTTTTCTAACTTGATATGAAACCTGTAATTTCTTTTTTTTTTCCAACCTGTTGCAAATTGTAGTCAATGTGATGAAATATGCTCCATTTGCATTTTATAGCCAAATTTGTAGCTGTACTCTGGAGTAAGCAAAGATGTGCTCGTAGGCAGAATACCCCACCTTACTTCAATTTATGGACAGAGCAGTTTGTCTTTAGCAAGTGAATAATAAACTTCATGAGGATAGGGTTCTGCAAAGTTAGCAGAACAATTTCTTTTACATGTAACTACAGATGCAAAGGAGGCTTCAGTACTCTTCAGTATAAGTTTGTTGCATTACTGACTAGTGAATTCAAAATGATTTATGAGAACTACTATTTCACAGGAAGCTGTAAAGAAAACAGAAGAGTGTGAGCAAGAAATTGAAAAGTTGAAACAATTCTTAAAGAACCACTTGGTTGAAATATCAAATGAAGATCAACCCCTGGCTCAGAAGACTCATTGTCCAGAGGTGGGTTTTATTGTTTTCTCTCTCATGTCTGTTACTTGTCCTGACTAACACTAATCATGACAACGGAGAACACTGAGAAACAGCAGTGTGCTTCCCCTCCCTGTCACAGTCAAGCAAGCAATTGAATGTCATGGTGTGACCACACATATGTAAGAGATATTACAAATAAGATTAGTTTGCAGATTGGGTATATCTTTCATAATATACTCCTTATTGACTTTGATGTGTCATTTGTACCTATATCAGCTTCTAAGGAAAACTGGGTTCTGTTTTCATGACAGCTGACAGCGCTTTCGGTGAAACAATATGCAGCACTGATAGCTTGCCTGTGCTCAGCGTCCTGCTATCGTTGCTGAGGTAGCAACTTGGGATAGCGCATACGGAGAGAACTGAGTCCAATTCTGATCACTGACCATGCAATGGTACTGTTGGTGATTCTGGTTAGGGTTAGATTCTTTAGACTCCTTTCCTCATCCTCACTGCCACACTGTTTTCATCAACTGGTAAACGTGTTGCTTTTCTGCCTGCAGTCAGCTGCTTTCTGTAATGGATGAATTGATTATATAATGCAAAAATAAGATGTGTTTTAAGGACAGCACTGTAGAAGTCAGGAAATTACTAATTAAGTGTAATAACTATTTATAAAGTGCCTGTGAAATGCTCAGCTTTTTGCAGTCAGTCACAATGAAGTTAATACACATACATTGTACTTGCCTAATAACTATAATCGCTTGGTAGGCTCCTAAGTACATAGCTGCTCTGTTTTCAGGTGGTTGGATGTTGCAGGCTTGATGCTAGTACTAAGCATGACTCATTTCCTGATTCTTACTTGTTTTTGAGTGTAGGACTTTGTGTTTAATAGCTCTTGTTTTAGAAGAAAACCTGTTTCACAATTGTAGCATTTCATGAATAGAAGTGGGCAGTGGAATTGCCCGTCTTACTGAGGGGCTTCAGGTGAAGAAGTGATGTTAATAAAGGTCTGGTTTCAGAGGAGGTGGTTAGCTAGTTAAGTTTGCAAAGCGATAGCTGGTAAATGTATGCTGTAAAGTCTCCTCCTGCAATGAAACAAAATGAAATACTGTTCTCAGTGGACATTTATAAAAATATGCCAGATTATCATGGATGTCTCTTCCTTCATTCCAATGACTTTTTCTTGCCTCTACCTTTGGAAGATCTTACCTTGTGTTTTTGAGTGTACAAAAAGAAAAAAACATCCTTGTCTGAGCAGAGTTCCCACGTCCTTTGAAAATTTGCTCAGATTCCTGCCTCCACCTTCCCTGTCATGCAGCCACACTAGCGTTATTAACAGAAGAAGCTGTAGTTGAGACAGAACCAGCAGTCTTACTGTTTTCATCTGTCACAGATTACTACTTGCATAGCATTATTCATACCATGATGGAACATCAATGCTGTTCCTATTTCAAGCCTAGCATCAAAGCTTGCTCTGATGGACTAAGCCCAGCGTGCAATGGGATATTTAGCCACGTTTCAATTTTCTGAGCAAGCAACAATGAGCTTTAAAGAGCTTTAGAATTTTCAGTAATGAAGGGAGTAGGGCATTTTATTCCTTGCCCTGTCTTACCCTGTTATTTGTTGTGCTTGCTTTGCTTACCTGGAGACTGGGTGGTAAGGAAAGGCCCTAGCAAAAAGCTATAAGGGCAGAACACTGGCTAAAACAATTGTCATGGCCAGGGAGGAGACCAAGACAGATTTATTTCCCGTTTGTTAGTGCAGAGTTACTTGGATTATTGTTTAATCCTTGCAGAACATTAAATATTTTCCTTGTACTTCATTGGGGACCATTGCTCCCAATATCACATTCAAAGACATGGGATAGTTTTGGCCCTAGCCATGTCAATAAAACCTACCGAATGGTTTGTTTCCTTCTTTTAGGCCAGCTTCAGCCAAGAAGACTCATCCCTGAGCTACCCTTACTGCTGTCTTTGCCCTCATCAAGGCTACCCCAAGTGTTTTGGTTCAGGTTTCCAGAGAAGGTAGTTGGAAGTAACATCCCCTGCTCTGACCCACAGAGTAATGTAACCCACCTACATTCCCTGTGTCCTGAAGGAAACTCGTATTCCCATGGCTATCCAGGACCTAGTTAGAATTAGTTATCCAGCCTTTCACATTTCCCTCCAGACTACCAACTTCTGCATTACAGATGGCAAGTGCTGTCCTGAGCTGAATCCATTGCTGCTGTTTTGCGTGTATCTGGACATTTTCTGCAGTGACAATGGGGAACTGTCCCCATGCTCTGAAAAAGGAAAAAGGGAAAATAGCCCCCGTCCCAGTAAGATGCATGACTGGTATCATCTGTTATCATCTTGGTTAAGTAAGAAAAATGGATGCTTACAGATGTTGTTGTTTCTTAGGGAGAAATGGAAGCTGTAAAAGAAGAAATCATAAAGCTGTGCCAAAGAAAGGAAGATATCCTTACCGAGACGAAGAATTCAATGTCTGAGCTTCACCAGCGCTTACAGCAAGAAGTGCCTGAATCAGGAGATGAACCCACAGCCTCTGTATTAGCACAAAGTGACTTGATTGGGACTGATGTTTCTGGTCAGCAGGTAAGTGGAGAACCAGGTTGTGATCACTTACCCAAGAGCCAAAGAGGGAAGGTAAATAACCCTTCTTCCTCCAGGAGGAGTGGCATGTGAGAGATGAGCACTTCTGCAGCTGTGAATCAATGCTACTTCTCCTCCCCTTTGTGCTTCTGAAAGGTCCCAGAAGGACTGAGTATGATGCATGTCTAGGAGAAGGCAGGAGAGTGGTGTGCTTCTGTTTGGTTTGGGTTTTTTTGTTTTGGTTTTTTTTTTTTTAGCATGAGCAGATCCAACATGAAGTTTGCATCAAGCAATCAACAGCAAAATGTTCAATGTGTAGTTTTCCTGATAATCAGTTGTTCTGGGACTTTCAGAAAATTCTTTTCATGGAGCAAAATGACATTTGTCCAAATTATAGCTGTGATTTTGAAACATTACAGCATAGAAAAGAGTCCAAATTTTCAGAGGTGCTTAGTACCTGCAGCTTTTAATAACTTTAATGTAGGGTGGCAGATGTTCAGTGCTTCTCCAAAAGTGGACCCCAAGTGGTAACTTTCTTTTGGTTTACAGGCAGAAGAGGCTTTTACTGTTCTTGTCATAAATAATTGGTCTGTCTCTGTGTGTGTATTTTTGTAGCTGAAAAAAAGAGGGATGATGTCTCTTCTGCCTTCCTTAGATGAAGAATCAGAAGACTATTCTTTCCACAGCAAGGTGAGTTCAGTATGTATCTTATATACAGGTGTATATGTAAGATACAAGATTTTGGTACAGGACAAATTACGAAAAATGTGCAAATCCGAAATACTTCAGAACAAATTGAAATATCCGTTATCACTGCAGGCAGATACTCGAGCCAGCCTACCAATATTACACAGCACCTCATTCTGTGATGTGTGATCCTGCTTTTGGTGGGATTGCTTATACAGTAATACCCCCTTCAGGGGAGTGTTAGTGGCAAAATACAGGCCTAAATACCAATGTTTATATGTGGGGGTGGGGTTCAGACAGAATTAGACAGCCTCTGAAGTGCTAAAACTTAAAACAAACAACCAAATCATTTGTATGTTTAATCTTAAGCAAAAAAGGGCACAATCAGACTATTGGGAATGAAGTTAAGATAGGAGAGATTTCTGGGAGAATGGGAGAAACTAGGAGACACTGCTCAACAGGTTGCTCTGAATCTGGAGAGTCTGAATGCCCAGGTGAACTGCAGGGGATCAAAGCTGGGAGTAAAGCTGCATGATAAAGTTAATCGCTTTCGGAAAAAATAAAAAAATCCATTAAACTTTCTGTACACTTTCATGCACCCTAGGGACTAAACAAGATGTATTTGAATGAAATCAGGGATGTGCAGAAGTGCTGGTGAGCTTGTAGCCTAGCTACTCGCTTGCACAGCAGTTCACAGACTGCCTAGGCTGTTAGTGACTGATTACTGTCATCTGCATCTCCTGGGAGGGACCATGCCCTCAACCAGGTTTGGAAGAAACTCCATTTCTCTGAAGTCCTTGCTGTGGATATTAATTAGCCTTTTTGCTACATCCTTGCAACAAGAATCAAAAGGAAGTGTGGCAAAGGGGTAATAGAGTATTGGAGAGGTTGCTTTAAGCTAAGCAAGGATGAAACTCCGTGGCTAGACAGTGCAAAGAAGCCCAAACAGCTTGGATAAAGGTGGTGTCTTACTACTCTGATCCAGTCACTTCAGTTTCAAAGTTTCTGATTCTGCACCTTCATTGGTGCAGTTTTCTTTACATACAGGACTTTTGGGGGGACAGGACGGGAGAAAGCGTGTTTCTTGATTATTTTTTTTTATTATTTTTTTTTTAAATAATGTGAAAACCAAGAGGATACTCTGAGATCTTGCAGCAGAGCTATAAATCAAGGGAAGAGGTGGGATTTGGGAAACACAATAAAGATAGATAAACAAGGAAGAAATAGAGCAAAGTGTTACTAAAGTTTTGCAGTAGTTTACATTGCCTGAAGGAATATCTGAGCTTCTTGTTCACAAGCTAATGCTGAGCCTGTTACTGCTTTCAAAGGGAAGTACAGCCACAGAGAAAGATGCAAGCTTTTGGCCTTCAGAAAGAGATGATGAAAGGCACAAGGAAGACAGTGCAACCTCTTGGTCTTCTGGTACCTTGTCGGATGGCGTCATTCAGGTAATGCACTCAGGTTTATCTCCACGGGGATGGGAACTCATCTTTGTGGAAAAGATCTGCACAAGTCCTAGATATTGCTGAAGTCTGCAAAGCAAGAGAACTGTGGAAGTGCAGGGTATGATGGCCTTATTCAGGTCCTCCATCTTCCATATCATGCTAAATCTTGCTATTTAAAATCTCTTTTCCTGTTGCACTTATTAGTTGGAGTCAATGACCTTAAGGGTCTTTTGCAACCTGAATGATTCTGTGATCCTGTATTAATTTCTTCTAGCCTGACAAAAACGCCAAAGATAGAAATGCACATTCGGTAGCACCAATTTGTTTCACTAATTCCTGGAAAGGCTGTAAAATGTGCATTTTATTGGTAGGTGATTTGTGGAAGGGGTTCTCCTTGTACGTGAGAAGATCAGCTTCTAAGACACCCAATCAGCTACAATTTTGGTGGCAGTCTGCTCTGTTCCGAATGCTATCTCGATAATGTTGTGATACCTGCAATTGTTAGTTTCTGTATATCAGTGTTACAGACATAAGAGAACTTCCCTCTGTGAATACTCTTGGGCCAGGACCGCTATAGGTTGAGTGGCTGCTGCCCTTTGAGGCTTCTCTAGCACAACAATGCAATAACAACATGAATACTTCCACTGTTGCCTCTCTCTCTACAGGATGCTGATGAGATAATGCAAACACACAGTAAATGTGGTGAGGAAACATCTATGCAAACTTTGCAGAGCACTGAAGGCCCTGGCACAGGTGACGGCAGTCAGGCTATGGTGAGTTTGAAGGCCTGAAGTAGGCTGAACAAGGTGCACTTCTGAACTCGTTGTACTTAGTTGACAGAGGCCCTGTTCTGTTATGGTTATGTTACTGGAGTTTGTTGTAGTATTTATGATGTGGTAGGATACCTACAACCCTTTGTAGGCCTCTTCATATTGCTGCTTTGGGTAATAATAAATACATTTTGGTTTGCTCATTGAAAATGCAATTTACTAGGGAACAAAATGGAGTATTTTCAGGTGTTCATACAGGCATGAAACGGAGGGGCTCAAGTGATGTAAACGTACATCAAGTATGGGATTTTAAAGTGGCAGTTAAATGAGAAATTAAGGAGATTGACACTCCTATATGTTGCTGCTTTGTAAAAGGTATGCACAGGCTAAGGGAGGAGTGGGCAGCAGCCTATAGGCTATATACAAAAGAGTGTATGGAGGCAGACATGAATGCTCCAGGAAGCAGGAGCAGCAGGCAGGTAGCCGAGCAGCCTCAGCTCTTCCTGGGTTTTAGAGCATGGAAGAAGACAGAATCCTGCATTACCTGGGGCAGGAGCAGGCCCCCAGGTCACTTTGTCTCCTATTCCCCCCACTCCTTCCATCATACTTAGCCTTTAATTTATAGTTAAAAAGCCATAGCAAACTATTAAAACCCAGCCAGCAGCACAATATATTCTGTGTTGGTATTAAAGGAAGGTCCTCGTGTGAGTGTATTACAGATGACATAATTGTATGTGTGGTCTCTCTGTGTGTTTTATCTCTGCTATGCTGTGATGCTGTTGGTCTCTGCACGTGCAGGGCATGTCTAAGCTCCCTTTGCAGCAGCAGGAGATGTAGTGACTGCAGATCCCAAGCACAGCGAGCAGTTCAGTTGAGCTCGCACTACTTGTCTGTATTAGGCTAAACCGAACCCCTGGCTGCACAGACTAAATCTCCATTGAGGATAATGGGAATTTATACACTTGTCTTTAAGAGACTTAACCTCCAGCTGAACATTCTGGGTTTCCAGCAGCCTTACGAGACAAGATACACCCCTCTGGCAGCTCTGTGTGCCACTGCTGTGTTTTGTCAGTGTCTCGGCTTCAAGGGCACCCACAGCCTGTCGGACCCAGTGACACAAAAGTTCAGTGGAGCAGTTTCTTGAGCTGGACACAGCAGGTCTGTGGAGAGAGTGCTGTCAGGCTGTGAGCCAGGGTCCTTCTCTGCTCAAGTAGACATGTTTTTTAGAGAAGGCACCCTTTCTCAAACCACACCGGACAGCTTTTTTGCTTGCAACATCTTTTCCACTTCAGTGTTTTGCTACACCGTGACATTTCCATATGCTACACAACTCCCTGCAGCGAGTGGGTTTTATACATTTTTTTGTTAAATGATTTATTTACAAGATCAATTACTATTTGGAGACAGGAAGAAATTTGTTTTTACAAATGGTAAATCTATTTGTTTTCCCTAGAGATGCGTACATGTGTAGAGTTTTATGAAGTTTATTATATTTATGTTCCCCACTTAGAGCTTAACTGCATGCTAAAATTAATTCTTACTATCTTAGTGATTGCTAAACAATACCATTTCCTTCCTCTGATATGTTGTCCCTCACATGCAAACATACCTGCTTCCCAATTCAGTTATAGCAGCCAAAATCACAGTTTAGGATTCAGAAAAACATCTGAATTACTGGATGGGAAAGAAAAGATGGGTTATAGTTGTAGGTGACTCCCCTACATAGGGAAACAGAGGGTCCAAAATGCTGGACAGACCCTTCTCTTAGGGAAGGACCCCCTGGGAAACTGCCCTCAGGGACAAGGAAGCAGAACAGAACTGGCAGATCTTTAGGGATGCTTTCCTTAGGGTGCAAAAAGTCTTGATCCCCAAGTGTAAGAAATCAGGAAAAGAAGGCAAGAGACTGGCATGGCTGAATTGAGACCTGCTGGTCAAAGTAAAGGACAAGAAGAAAATGCATAGGCAGTGGAAGCAGAGACAGGTACCCTGGGAAGAGTATAGGGATGCTGCCCAGTTGTGTAGCGGTGGGGCCAAGAAGGGCAATGCACAGCTGGAGCTGAACTTGGCAGGGGATGCAAAGAATAATAAAGGCTTTTACAGGTATGTCAGCTAGAAAAGGAAGGTCAAAGAAAGTGTAGCCTCCCTCCCACCCCGATGAACACAACTGGCAAACTGGTGACAACAGATGAGGAGAAGGCTGAGGTACTCAACAACTTTTTTTTCTCAGTTTTTACTGGCAACCTCTCTTTCCACACCTCTCAAGTGGATGGACTGCAAGATGGGGACTGGGGGAGCAAAGTCCCTCTCACTGTAAGAGAAGATCAGGTTTGTGACCACGTGAGGAACCTGAACATCCATAAGTCTATGGGACCTGATGAGATGCATCCCAGAGTCCTCAGGGAACTGGCTGATGCAGCTGCCAAGCCACTCTCCATGATATTTGAGAAGTCATAGCAGTTATGTGACGTTCCCAGTGACTGGAAGAAAGGAAACATTGCACCCATTTTTAAAAAGGGTAGAAAGGAGGACCCTGGGAACTACTGACCTGTCAGCCTCACCTCCGTGCCTGGGAAGATCATGGAACAGATCCAACTAGAAATTATGCTAAGGCACATGGAAGCCAGGGAGGTGATCTAAGACAGCCAGCATGGCTTCACCAAGGGCAGGTCTTGCCTCACCAACCTAGTGGCTTTCTATGATGAAGTGACTGCCTCAGTGGACAAGGGAAGAGCTACGGATGTCATCTACCTGGACTTCCATAAAGCCTTCAACATGGTCCCCCACAACATCCTTCTCTCTGAATTGGGGAGATATGGATTTGATGGATGGACTGTTTGGTGGATGAGGAATTGGTTGGATGGTCACATCCAGAGGATAGTGGTCAACGAATCTATGTCCAAATGGAGATCAGGGATGAGTTGTCCGTCAGGGGACCAGTACTGTTTAATATCTTCATCAGTGACATAGACAGTGGGACCGAGTACACCCTCAGCAAATTTGCAGATGACACCAAGCTGAGCTGACATGCCTGAGGGACAGGATTCCATCCAGAGGGATCTGGACAAGCTTGAGAAGTGGGCCCATGTGAACCTCATGAGGTTCAACAAGGCCAAGTGCAGGGTCCTGCACCTGGATTGGAGCAACCCCTGATATCAATACAGGCTGGGGGATGAAGGGGTTGAGAGCAGCCCTGCGGAGAAGGACTTTGGGGTACTGGTGGATTAAAAGCTGGACATGAGGCGGCAATGTGTCCTCACAGCCCAGAAGGCCAACCATATCCTGGGGCTTTATCAAAAGCAGCGTGGCCAGCAGGTTGAGGGAGGTGATTCTGCCCCTCTGCTCAGCTCTGGTGAGACCCTACCTGCAGTACTGCATCCAGCTCTGAGGGCCTCAGCACAGGAAAGCCATGGACCTGTTGGAGCAGGTCCAGAGGAGGGCCATAAAAATGATCAGAGGGATGGAACACCTTTCCTATGAAGAGAGTTGGGGTTGTTTAGCCTGGAGAAGGCTCTGGGGAGATCTTATTGCAGCCTTTCAATAATTAAAGGGGACTTATAAGAAAGAAAGATGAGGACAGACTTTTTAGTAGGGCCTGTAGCAATAGGACAAGGGGTAATGATTTTAAACTAAAAGAGGGTACATTTAGACTAGACATAAGGAAGACATTTTATACTATGAGGGTGGTGAAACACTGGAACGGGTTGCCCAGAAAGGAGGAAGATGCCCCATCCCTGGAAACATTCAAGGCCGGGTTGGATGAGGCTTTGAGCAACCTGATTTAGCTGTAGATGTCCCTGCTCACTGCAGGGGCAGTTGGACTAGATGACATCTAAAAGTTCTGTCCAACCCAGCCCAACCCATTCTATGGTTCTGTTTGGCAACTGAGCCATGGTAACCATCTGCTCCATGGTGCCTCCACAGTCTCGGTCTTGGCACATGAGTGCATGACGTGTGCACAAATACCTGCACAGATGATACCAGTTTTTTTTATTGAACTAATTTGATTATGTATCTGAGTTTCTGCAGAGGAAGGGGATAAGTTTACTACAGTAGCAATGTCTACCCAGGGAGGGGCAGAGCATGCCGTAAGTGTAATCTAAATGCTTATGTATATATATAGGTGAGATGAAAGGATGTCATGCACAGTATTATACATGTGTAATGTTTTGGTATTTAAAGGAATGAACTAAACTAAACAGGCTTAGAACTAGAGCTAGAAATTTCAGGTGGAGGTTGAAGTAAAATGGTGCTTTTTTATTTCTTCAGTAATGTATACATATTTAGACTGTTCTGGGATCTGTGTACTCAGATTTACTTTCTGTTTGATGGCACTGTCCCATACTACCTCAGAGGCAAACAAGAACAGTAATGATTAAAGTAAGATATTCATAGCTGAAACTATGCGTTTTTGCTCTCTGATTTTCTGCCAAATCTCATTTTAGCATGAAGCTTGTGCACTACCACTGGCCTTCTCGGTTGCCTGAATGTGTGCTCTAGAGCCGTGGGAGAGTACTGGTAGTTTTGTTCTTGTGGTGGTGTGCTTGATTTACTTACTAAGTACCAGTATTTGCATGTGTGGAGGTATATGCATACCTTTACAGCCTTCCAAGCAACTGCTGATATCTCCAAGTACTTTAGACTTTTCCTTATTACGGAAGTGTGCAGTATTGCTTCTTAAAGGAGGGCAAAAAAGAAGAAAGAATTACACCAGACATACTTAAAAATATACTGGTTTTTTTTCCTGTGTGACCTAGAGCCCAAATAAAGCATATTTGACTGTTGGAACTGAACATGCAAGTAGTTTATAAGCGTTGCCCAACAGCTTGCTTTGCAGCTTTAAACTGCGTTGCTTTTGCATCTAACTCCCACAGAAAAACATCTCTCCTCAGGGGAGAACTAGTTAATGGTGAGTCATCCCACTTCCCCTGCGCTCAAGTATACCTGTGCGAATGCAAATCGCTGCCTGGAAACCTGTTGCACCAGATCCCGGATCGCCTGGCTGCTGATTTCTTTTAATCTTTTTTTTTTTTTTTTTTTTTTTTTTTTTTTTTAAATCTGGGAACGCGGTGGCAGAGTGGTTTCGGAGCTCTGTGAGTGTGAAAATGAAATATTTCCTACTGGTAAGGGGAGGGGAAAGAAAGAAGAAAAGAAAGAAAAAAACAGATAGATAACTGTGTTTCTTTCATGTGCTTTGCTACAGAGCAACACGCCACCTCCTGTCCCCAACACCACCCAGGGCTCTCGAGGGAAAGCAGGAGACTCAGAGGAAGCGGTGGATGGCGGTAGGCCTGAGCCAGAAACGATCCTCCAGGTGTGCCAGGCCCAGGTTGCTGAGCTGGAACAATGGCTAGACAAAACTAAATTGTCCCTGAGGTCAGACCCCCAGACCCCCAAAATGCAGCAGATGGTGGAACTGCAACTTGCTGATTGCCAGGTAAGACGGAGCGGTCAGTTTGCCGCTGCCATTCAAACAAGTCGTCCTTCCCTGGGGTGTGTGTCTGCAGAAAAGCTATGCTTGGTGCTTCTCCTCTCTCTGCTTAATCAGCTTCATTACACTGTACAGAAAACAGGTAACTGCTTGGGTTCAGTTTCAGGTGCAGCTTTCCAAAGGCTTAGTTAAAATACCTGGTTTTAGACTTGGGCTCTTTATGTATCCAGGGGATTTAGGTAGAACTCTTGAGTATTTTTAAAGCTTTGTATAAGATAGCTTCCAAGCTGGTTAATTCTTCTTTTGCACTCCTTGCAAAAAGCTGCCAGTGTAGATAAAAAGACAGGGGCATTTCCTCTGCCCTCTGTGAGCAGTGGCAGTATTTGGACCTACTGCCATACTTCTAGGGCAGCCTCTTGCTCTGGATAGCAGCAGAAGGAAAGGAGTGGGTGGTACCCATTGGTGAAAATGGGTGGAGGAAAACAGGACTGTCGTGAGGGGCTGAGGTGGGTGGGAGTCCTGGCATGCAGCTTTTTTCTCCGTCATGCAGATTAAAAGAAAATGTGCAGACATGCCACTTTTGAAGTTCCCTGCCATGCCAGTCTGGTGCACCAGTTTGCTTCAAGCACTAAGTCTACCTAAAGCAACAAACTTCACTCACCATAAAGGAGCCAATACCAAAATACCCCCGTTTTAAATTACTAGAGACATTTCCAGCTGTTTTGTTGTTTGTGTTGGGTGGGTTTTTATTAGTAGGAACTGAGTCCATGCCAAGAAGTGCCTCTGGGTTTAAGCTGTGATTCAGCCAAGTGCTTGGGTGCTGAACTCTGGTAATTAGGATTCTGAATGCATGCAGGTAGCTGGCTGTGTCTGGATCCCATTCAGGGTTCGTGTCAGCATAGGCTTTGACAGGGCAGTTCCAAACAGTAAAAACAAGCAGGCTTCAGGCAGCTGTAAGCACTGCTGAGTTCCTGTCAGCTTTTAACAGTTTGGCTCAATGTTAAGCTGTGAACTTGCGGGGGGTGGCAGTTTTTTCTAAGCTAGTCAAGATCTATGCTGAAAAATACACATAGCACGAAGCGGAAGCAGTCTCTAGCTATGGATGTATGATGTAAAGCAGTTAATTTATTGCAGTTGCATAATAAATAAATACTTTGCAATGGGGCCATGGTACTTGTCTCCACAGTCACCTTAAAAATGTGAGTTTAAAGTAATGCAGAGGTGCGCTATGATTCAAAGCAGCTTGAATCAAAAAACAGATCCAAACAGTTTACAATGGCCTGGCTGACATGTAGTAATGTTACTATGTTTTGGTAATGCGGCATCATTCCTCCCAAAGGGTGCTATGGTCAGTCTGTGCACTGACTCCTTCTCCCCGACTGGAGTGTGTTGTTTTCTTGGTTGCATCCAAATGGAATCTTAGCATTTCTGCTCTCCTCTTATTACTCCATATCTGAGTTAACATAACTTCCTGCAGAGGCTGGTGTTTGAAACAGTTTTAAGACTAACTGTATAAAATTTGTTTAATTGGTCAGAATAAAAAGATACATTGGAGAAAATCTAGGGGATTTGCAGCTGTGCCTCTTTTTGCCTGTATGTTTCTGTTCTTTTCAGACAGGGGAAGTGTGAGCCTTGACTTCAGAATGTTATTGGGAAAGGAGTGTTGTGCTTCTAAGAATGAATAATTGACTGCTGTCCCTTCTAGGTGATGCTATCAGAGATTGAACAAAAAGTCCTTTCTTTACTGGAAGATTGTGGATATAGTGCAGACTACCAACAAGAGACAGAGGCTCTTTCCTTGAAGCTGAAGGAAGTGAAGTGCAATTTGGAAAAAGTCCAGGTGATGCTTCAAGACAAATACAATGAAGAGCAGGTAAAGCATATGGATGTTACACAGAGTGAGTGTGTCAAGGTGCTGTAATGTGCTGTAGTTGCAGAAGAACAGTTAGAGCTCACCATGTGAAGCAAGGAAGGGAGAAAAGTCAATCAGAAATGTCAGACTTGCTATTATTCTAATTTACAGTGCTGTATAGTTATTTGTAGTTTGCAGCAAGATTTGTAATGAGTCTCTGAACATCTTTTCTGCTCTAAGTGCTCCATGACAGAGGTCAAGATTTTGTGAGAAGTACAGGAAAAGGGTAAAAATTTGTTTGGTTTTGTTTGGTTTTTTAAATGCCTTTAAAATGCCATGATGTTTGTCTGTGACAGTATCACAGCAGAGAGGCCTTTAAGCAGTAACTTTCTCTTTGAAGAATGTGTAAATGTCAAGGACAGTGACTGCCAGCTCTCCTGCACCACAGCTGCACGCTCTTTCCTGAGTCTCCCAAGGGGTGAGACAGTAATTCCCACTCTGTTGTGCAAGGGGCCAGAGAAGCCCACCTGATGTCTTTATGTAAGAGCAGCCACAGTCTCTCTGGTGCTGGAGGAGCACAGTCTGAAAGGGAGTTTGCATGGCCCAGGAGAGAATTAGTGTTGGTAAAGGCTCCTGTTGAAATATCTCTGCGAGCACAGACAGATAGAAAATCCAGGTGCATGAGCAAATTTATAAGCATAAATTGCACATCCGTATAATTTGGTTAAAAATAAGAATGGAGGGTTAGCATCAATTAATCTGCTAACAGGAAAAGCAAAACAAGCCTGGTAACTGTTAGGGAGAGAGATGTGAGGACTTTAGCAGCATTTTAGAATGGATCAAACTTTCAGAAAACGAAACTGAACAGAAATCTTTGCAAGGGAAGCAACTGTGTTTTGTGCACCGCTGATTCTATGTATGCTAAGTCCAAGACAGCCCCATTTTTGCCATTTTCCCAAACTGCCCATGTGGGTTCTGCCCTCTTGTCAAGTCTGGAAGTCTTCCCACAATGAGTCTCTCTTTACAGATTCACAACAGGGAGAGGATCGACCCAGAGCCCCTTGAGATCCTACACTCAAACGGGTCCAGCATGCCCCAGCTTGCCCTTGCTGAACAGCCGCTTGTTTGGCACAACGGTTTCCAGCACCCACAGGTAATTGTACTGTCCAGGAGCCAAGCTGCTCCATATCCCCTGCGGGTTTGGGGGGGCAGTTGCATTATTACCTGCTGTGATTTTCACTGTGGGATCAAGTCTGTAAAGGGTAGGTTTCAGCCACCCCTCTCCTCCAGGATTAGGGGAGTTTGTGAGAATGGAGAAAGGCCTCGCCCCTAAAATCCCCATGTCCAAAAGGTTTAACAGTACTACAAAGCTGTATCATACCCTACCACTTGCTTTGTACCATAATGATTCAGATGGCATCACCCATCCCTCCAATCTCCTATCTTTGAAGCACCGATGTGGGCTAACTCACAATGACTTTAAGGTTTTTGTTAACACAGTAAAATAATCCTGTGATTTTCTGTGCTCTGTAAACTACTTCTGTGTTGCTAACTAAAAAATAGCTTTTGTTCCTTTTCATGCTATAAGAGTTAGAAAAAGTGATCCAGCCTGAGCTATTAAAATTGCTCACTTTTCACTCGGCACTCTCTTCTTAATAGAACTCAACTTCATATTTGAGTAAATACCCATTTTCCCTTGCCTTTTTGTCTGTATAAGGATGGCAGTCGATGGCCTTTAAATTTCCATATGTGCATAATTTGTTTCTGACTGATGGGTTTTGCTTTTAAAACTTCAGCTCAGGCAGAAATATATTCCATAAAAATACACATTTTTCAGAAAATATTTTGTTTGGTAAACTCATGTTTACAAGTAAACCACATTTTATTCTGATAGATGTATTCTTATTTTCTTTGCTAAATGAATTCATGTAAGATGTGATTGGAAAAGCACAATCATCATTTCAGATTGCAGTGCACACAACTGATTTTACTGTTCATGCTATTCTCTGTGCACAGGATCTGAAAGTAAAAGCAGCTGAGCAGAAAAGCCTCATTGACTTCATTGAGTCTTGTGTGGAAAAAATGCAGCCACAGTTTGAGGACAGCGTGACTCAGAAATTGGACTCAAGGTATAAAATAACAAAATCGGTTACCAGATTCAGTGATGGATAACTGCCTAAACCTGCTGAAACTGCATGGCATCATTGGTTCTGTGCAGGGATGCGTGCCTTTAGAAGAAAAATTGCAGAAGCTGGGAGATTTCTGCCATCAACTATCTAGAGAAACTGAGTTTCCTTTATGTGGCAGCCTCTTGATACTGGGCTGACTCCAGTGTTCAGAGTCACTCTTGATATCAGACAGGACTGACACCTGCTGTAAACCAAAGCAGACTCATCTGGAGGCAAGCAGGGTATCTCTGTTCACAGCCTTTGCTATACAAATGTGTGGAGATAACCAGTCAGGTTTAAAGGCAGCATTTTTGAAAAGAGGGCATTGGGATTATGCACCTTCCAGCATGGAAGCAAGACATGCTACAGGACTATGCTCTCCATATTGTCGTTTCAGAGATGGAGGCTGCCAGCAGGCCTCAAGGGGTTTCACAGAAAGGGAAAAGCCAAAGAAATGTATCAAAGCTTGGATTAAAGATCATGCATGTACTTGGTTTCACTCTGGTTTTGAGGCAGGAGCAATAGAAACTTATACAAGAAGTCTTACAAATCTGATTTTGCTTATTCTGCTGCAGTATTTGCCATTCTAACAATGTTTTCTCAATACAGCAATGGAGAATCTGATCCAAAGAGCAAGCAGGGTGATCCCACCTTAGCTCCAAAGGACCAAACGGGTAATAAATGGCAATATTTACAACAAGAGCTGTCATCAAAGATGAAATCTCCTCTCTGCCAGCTTGTGGAACCTCAGGTCCGTTTAAGTTCAGTAAACCACTCTTTCTGCAGGCAGCTGGTTGTGGTAAAGATAGCAATTAGTGTATCTTCCTGCATCATTGCATCAAGTGTCTTCATCAGATAACTGAAATCTGTGAGCTTTCCAGAGGAAATTGTTACTGCATACTGTTTTCATGATTGCCTTTTAATTTTACTTTGAGGTAAATAATGTCTCTGAAGTAGTGACTACTATGCATAGTGTGGGAGCACGTAGGTGAATCCTTGTAGTTAACATTTAGACCAGATGTTATCTGCTTAATTCTTTCAAGAGAACTAAGAGTTAGCCAGCAAGCTCCCAGCTGATTTTTGTGGATATGGGTTAAGCCTCAGTTCTTGGAAGTGAGAACACTTTTGTCAAAACAAATCTCTGGCTTAAATTTTGTTCTGCCATTCACCATTGTGTTCTCTCTTTCTCACATATCAAAAGCAGAGTTTGGACTGCAACAAGAGCATGCTATGTATTTATTCTGAACAGACTGAAGAATTTTACTGCTTGAACAAAACTGTACTTTCTGTTATTTTTTGTTCACATTAAATTAGGATGACTAGATTCCCTGTTCTCTGAAATTACTACATTACATGGAAGATTATCAGTCATGTAAAAGGATAAATGTCAGCTCATTTGCAGACAAGACTTACGCTGCAGTGGGCAGCAGGGCTGCCTTAACACAGACTACGACTTGTAGCCCTTAAAGCTGGGAATCAGGCCTCCTTTTTTCAGTCAGTCTCCCATCAGGGCATAGCCTACCCAACTAATTTTTGCCAATAAAAAAGGGAACCTGCTATCCAGATGCTTTATATATTTCATTTTAATGCTTTTTGAGAGGAGTGATATCTAGTTGCCCATAGCCCTGTCTTTATTTGAGCTGTTCACTTAATTGCAATATTTTTTTTCCAAACATTAGATTACAGCAAAGATGAACATGCTGCCCCGAGGCACATTTGCTAGTGCAGGAACCCCAACTGTGGAAGAACTGAAAACTTACACTGTCCAGCTGGGAGACCTAAGCCAAGAAGCAAATGTGGTGCATGCACAGGTAAAAATGGCATGTCCTAGCATTGCAAAAAATACCAGGGATTTTAGACACAAGACAGTGTTTGGGCACTGGGAAACGTAGCCAATAATCGTATTATTGTATATGGCATTCACTGTAGTGTAGCTTTTGCAACATGTATGGACTATAACATAGAAATCAGCTTAGGATTTTGAGAGGAAACATTTCAAGTTCCAGCTATGATACTTCTGCTACTTGAATCCAAAGAGTAAAACTTCTCAAACTGTGTAAAGCAAGGAGCCTGTGAATGATTTCAATAAATCTGCAGTACTGGAGCTGACAAGACAAATTGTGTTGTGCCCATTCCTAAGATTAGAGACCTGTAAGACCACAACCACTCCGAATACATAAGGAGTCATTGTCTCAGCATTGGCCTTGACAGCTCTGAATATTGCATGCATATAACTTTCATCTAAGCCTGTCCCTCAGTATTTCATTAATTCCATTTTATTATTAGCTGACTGAACTTCTAAGCTTATACAGGTGAATAAATCTTTGTCATGGCTTGGGTGAAAGTACTGAAAACTTCTGGTTTGCCTTTACCCAGGATAATGTGGCAGAGGAAGTCTCTTCAAATTTGGACAGAAAATTGTTTGAGCTGCTTCTGGCAATCAGCCGATGTTTGAATAATATGGAGGAGATGTTAAACACCTCAGTCCTCTCCACCGAAGAGGCAGCAGTGCAGCAGGCTCTTTATGAGGTAACTATCCAAAAGCATCCAGGAAAGGAGAAACCCCGGTGGATTTCTGTGACAACAGAATATATATGGTCCATATTTCCTCTCTGTTTTGCTGGTATTATTCAGGAATAACACCACCAAGCTAATTGGTGTTGTACAGATTTGGGCCTATGGCTTTTAAAAACAATTATCAACTTGAGTCCTGCTGCTTTTTACAAGCAAGAGTCCTTGGACAGAGACCACTTTCACTCATGTCATCTTTCTTTCAACCCTTTTAGACTCTTTCTGTCGAGCTGCAAAAACTTCACGCTGATCTGAGTGATAAAAAGGATGATCTTCTAAAGTCTATTAGCTGCGCTGGTGGGAGCACAGATGTGTTCTGCGAGTGCTTTAACAACTTGCAGGCGCGGCTGGAACAAACTCAAGCTGCCACTGCTTCAAGGAGCAGCTCAATGAAAGCTGGACTGGATCATAATAGCAATTATCAGGTACTCCACTGCCAAATGCACATCTTGATTCACAGCATCTGTTAGACTTGTCAGTGTTAATGCGTTTGGGTTATAAATGAGCAATCTATAATGGGCTTTCTTTTTTTTTTTTTTTTGGTACTAAATAAACTTCTCTTGGCCTCTCAAGAAGCAAATTAATTTTGCTGTTTACAGTGCTGTTTGCAATGCTGACTACCTTGGAGGCCTTCATCACAGCAGAAAATTTGCATGCAGAAAGGATGGAAGTAACCTGGGATCCCATGCATGCTGAGCTCTATGGGCTAGAGCATGTTTGTGTGTAGGGATTAGGCCAAGGAGGGTTTTGTATCTTCTTTCTGCTGCTGTGTGGGGTTAGGAGAGACAGGCTTCTTCCCTTTTGGTGCCATGCCTGGCACTGGGCTACTTTTAGCTATATATTGGAGGTTGATTTGATCCTTTGTATTTACTGTTCCTTTAGATTTTGTGCCACAGTAGTAGAAGCCATAGTTTTGCAAATTTGCATTTTTTTTTCTTTTTTGGAAAAGCAGATAGTAAGAGACTGTTCTATAGGTACTTTTGATGGGCTAAATCTACTAGCTGTTGCTGGAAAATATTCAGATCGGGTATTTAGGCTGAAGTAAGGAAAGAAGAGCCTGGTCTTTGAAATACAGTTTCCAATGTCCAGCAAAACTCCAGTGTGCTCATCATCTGCAAGTCAGACTAGCTCTTCATCGCTGAATAATAGAACAGTTCCTTTGAAGAACACTGGGATGTTTTCTCCAAACAGTAGCAGGACTAGTTGTACAATATTTACTTATGCAGAATCCACAGAGCTCCATCAGTCACCAGTAATGGGCTCGTTTTCTTCTTTTCAGAAGAGAAGAATTTGTTTCTCTGTAAGTTTCATAGATTTTTATGATCAGAGGGGATCACTGTGACAGAGTAATCTGCTTTCTTACACTACACAGACTACAGAATCTTCCGCTCTAAATTACTGCTTTAAGCCCATAATGGACATGCTTTATTTTGTTTTTTTAAAGAGGGAAAAAGTGCTTTTGCTGTAAGAGGTAACCATTTTATTTGCTGTGCGATTTTTTCTGGTCATTACTATATTCCTGATTTGTGATACACTTCTGATGTTTGTTTCTTTTGCAGAATGAAACCAGGCTACTCTATGATCAGTTAATTGAGAAGAAAGCTACTCTGCAACAATGCCTGAATGCAATACGTGGACATAATGTTTCTGAACAGCTTCAGGTAATATCATATGAAGGAAAGGAGAGGGAAAGCACACAGCATTAGCTATTATTTCCAGTTTTCTGCAATCTGTTAAGTTTCATATTTTCTAAAGTTTGAGTCTCACTTAGGTTTTAAGAACGGAAGAAAGAGAGAGTTCACTATTCACCACCACCCTAATTTTACTACACCTCAATCTGTAGTCAGACCTAATTGTAGTTCTTTTAGTAGTTGGAGTGGAGGAACCAGTCTCTCCATGACCTGTCAGAGCAAATACATCCCACACTATGACACGGAAGAAAAAGAGCTACACAAAGTACAGCACTTCACACATTATGGCTTTTCAAAAGCATAACAGGAACAGGACTCCAGTATTTATATCTACTCATTCACCATTTATGAGCACTTTATCCTATGGCATTTGACCAGTTAAGCTATTTTCTTCAACCTTCATAGCGATTAACAGAGAATTAAAAATGAACAGACTGCATATCCTCCCCAGAATGGTCATTTATCTACTCATTCATGAAGCAAAGAAGGTGTCCCAAAACGTCTTTGTTACAGGCTCATAACCTTGTTTACAGGCATAATTTTCTGTCAGGCTGAAAGCTACATTCAGAACTGCTGAATCCCCTGTCAGGGACTGCTGCCTTAGACACATTCTGTCAAGTAACCTAAGGAATGCCAGAAGTATAGCTTCTCTTCCTTCAGACAGAACCTATCTCAATCCATCCCTGACTGAGTCTTTCTACTTCATAAGAAAAAATGGTATTTTCTGAGTCTGTGATTCCTTTTAATGGCTGCTCTTGAATTAGTAAACTGAAATGCATGTTGAGTGTTGGACTGAGACACAAGACCTGAATTCCCTTCCTGGCTGTGCCATGTGAACCCAGTGAGCCGTGTCATGAACAGTCTTGTCTATTTAGCTTATAAGCTCATTGGATCTTGGGGTCTTGTGAACTTACACAGTACTAGCACAGCAGAGATCCAGCCCCTGGATCTGCTGCACTACTAGTGGTAATAGAAAGTTTAATGGAACAGAACTCTTCCTAATAGCTTATTTTGTCCTTAATTCAGAAAACTGATGCCTGTGCTTTGGAGCTGCAAAACTTTGAAAACCAAGTAGCAAAACTGAGAGGCCATGGGGAAAGATTTCAGTTACCTATCACCTTAATCCAGGAAGCTTATAAATTAGAGGTAAGAGCACAGTACAGTTTCCACTTACTCAGCAAGGTTTGATTCTTCTGAGCAAGGTATTTTTAGCATCTGAAGGCTGATGGTTATTTTGCATTCTTGAAATGTGCATGCAGGTTTGTAGGATTCGTTTCTGTCCTTTGTGAATCACTAAACTGTGTTTACATTGTAGGATGTTTTGGATGACATGTGGGGGATTCTGAAAGCAAAGTATGTGGAACTGAACTCTCCTTCCATCAGTGAGAGCCAGTATGAGGACTTACTTCGTGGATTTGCAGAGCTGGTAGCTATTGGACGAGAGAAGATTGCACAAGACCCAAAGCAGCTAACAAAAAGCAGAGCAGCTCTACAATCTCACTTGGAAAATCACAAGGTATAAGATGCTTATCACAGCACTGCTCAGATCAGCATAGCAGGAGCACTATTTTCTGTGACTGGTTTCTCTCCAGTGTTATTGAGAAGAATAACTAGCTCATAGCATAGGGGAGGGACTGGAGTATGTGCAGGAAACAAAGCAAAGTTTTTCAGTAGACCAAAATAGGACCCACTAAAGCATGAAAGAGAGGTTGTTATTACAACTGCAGTTTTAGTGATAAATTAAGATCAGGATTTCAGTTTTGTCAGTCTAATACTACTTTGGCTTACCACAGAACATACTGATATGTGAGGAAAACAGGTCCTTCTAATTACTGTTAATAAACCAGTACTGAGGTTCCTGAAGTTGCTGTCTAGCAACTGGGAGTTGAGCCATTACTTTCAGCATTCTGTGCTGTCATGAGCTGATGGAGGAAATGTAGCCATAACAGCTCCTTTTCCAGAGGGAAGATAGTTTAGATCCTCCCCTTGGCAGCCCGGTGTCCCCTGTACCCAGCTGCTAGATGCTTGATGGGAGATGGCTGAGAATGCACCTGCATCCTCACTGTCGTGGAACTTGGCAAGAAGCCCTGGCCAACGTTAGTCACTCGAAGATGACTCTGTCATGTCAAAGCCTTGATTTAACTGCTCCACATAGCTGAAACTCCCTTAAGAATTGCTTCACAATGCCAAGCACTCCAGAGTCATTGGAACTGTGTTTGTCACTCGCAAATTGCCCTTAGCAAAGCAAAATGTTAGGAATTTATTTACAAAGGAAAACGAATAACGTATCTGCAGTCCAAATATACATACCTTGGTGTGCAAAAGCAAAAGAAAACTGCCGCTTTCCCTGCCCTGGTTATCAAGACTTACCAGGGTGCTCACACAGCCAATGCCTGGGATGTGGTCCTGAAGTGAATTTCTTGTACTAGTTATCAGTTCTTGGTGAAGAAGATCTTGATTGGAAAGTGCAATCTTGAACCCTCAAAGCTTTTTTGTGGGGGAAAGTGTTCTCTTGAGATTCAGACATTTCCCAAGAGCTCAGCTGAGCCTTAACTAAATCAAACTCTTACCCAGTTATCCCAAAGGATTATTGTGCCCTACCTACTACTTAGGCCTTAGAACTGCTAATACCCTCGGTGCTTGGAGTTGCCTCCCATCCAAGTGAAACAAACTTGATAATGGCTGTCTGGTGATACCTACCTCACACTAAACTATGAATTTACGTATAGTTAAACTCTTCCTTTCATCATCTTCCTACAACATCTTCATATTTCATATGAACTGAAGGTATAAATGTAGTTCTTTATCTTTAGAGATGTATAAATGAAAATAGTGTATGCAACTCATCTGCACCAGGGGAGGTTTAGATTGGACATTAGGAAGCATTTCTTTACTAAGGGGATGATCAAACATTGCAACAGTCTTCCTAGAGAGGTCATTGATGCCCCAAGCCTGTCAGTGTTTAAGAGGCATTTGGAAAATGCCCTTAATAATATGCTTTAACTTTTGGTCAGCCCTGGAGTGGTCAGGCAGTTGAACTAGATGATCATTGTAGGTCCCTTCCAACTGAAAATGTTCTGTTCTATTCTATCACTGGTTCTTGACTAACAATAAAATGATCAGCAAGTGCCCATCTTGGGGTGATGCAGCATTTGGGTAGAAGGCTCCTGACTCCAGCTATGAGAGACCCTGAAACTGGCTATGCTTCTCAGTGAGTCTTCTCTGTCTCCTTCATACTCTTGCTGTGGGTATGTGATCTCTCTGAAAGAGCAAGCTTTACCTTGTGTTTTTCAGGACTTTTTCCACAACCTCATGACCCACATGGCTTTCATGCAAATATTTACCAAGAAGGTGACTCCCTCCATCCTACAAAAGAGAGAGGAATTCTGGAGAGAACTGGTGAATGAAGTCAAGTTGCTGGAGCAGAAGTCCTGCCAGTATGGTATACACTTAGAGAGCCTGTTAAAGGTAATAAGTCAAAAGAAACCCGGAGTTAAAAGTTGGAGGGAAGAAGGAGAAGAGTTGCCTCTAGCGGAATCCTTTCTGCACCAGTGATTCTTTGGCTAGTAGTTGTCCTTTCCTGCCTCCATTGGACAGCAACAGTCTATTGCTTGTTCTATGTGCGTCAGTAAACTGGCTTTTTTCCTTTAAAACCTCTGAAAGTGGACACTTCAACCCGTTACTCTGACCTGGGTGGGACTTTATGACTTCTTGCACTAATTTCTGAGTGCCTAGGCTGACAGGAGAGCCATTTAAGGCAAAAAAGTGCCAGCACTACTTTAAAATAAAACCTAAAGATTGATCTTAAAACACCTCTAGAGAATAAAAAATTAAGTATGCCACTTTAAAATAATAGACCTTGAAGATATTAGATAATTAATTAATTAATCTGTGGTGAAATCATGTCTCACTTAAATATTTCCATATTGTTCACCTATTTCCACATTCTGTTTCATAAAGAGCCACTGTTGCTAGAATAAGCATTAAGACCTCAGCCTGGTGTAGCAAAGATGCAGATAGGTGTGTGCTACGTTAATGATGCAATGTATTTTTTAGGAATGGGTGGAATTTGATGATGAATGCCTAGTTTTCAATAAGGAATTAGAGGCACTTTCCTCTACATTGCCTTCTGTGAATTTGGTTGAAGAAACAGAAGAAAGATTAATGGAAAGGATTGCACTTCTACAGGTATTTATGTGTTTGTCTCTCTGACTGGTTTTCTCTGTGGATCTGTAGAGCTTTGTGTCCTTGTCTGTGTCCGGATGCAAGCTGAAAACTTACTTTTAAACATAACAGAAGACTGGGCTGCTAATTTCAGCCAGGGGCTAGAAGTTCATTTAAGCAGGAGTAATGACAATAGCTACTTTAGAACTTGGTCTTTAAATTCAAATATTTAGGAGAAGACAGTGTGCAGGCTACATGGATCCAAAGGACAGCAGGCAGCCTTGGAGTGAACACAGAGCCACTTCTCTGTAATTAGGAAATGATTTTCATGCCATGATGCAAAACCTATGGAAGAGGAGAATCAACCCACTGCCTTTAAGCATCGGAACCCGTGGTTGCAATAGGAGGTTTACCAGCTCCTTTTAAAATCCTGAGAATTCAAAATCAGATGTCCTGATTTCTATCATAACAAAAACAATAAAATTCTTTTTGTATAGAATGGCAAATAGGCAGAGCTACACCTTTATTTAGAACCTTAAGTTTTGGAAACCTGGAAACGTTTTATCTCTGTTTTAAACACATTTGAATATATGAAAGCAGCCTTTATGGTTGTTTTATAAAATTAAGAAGAAACAGTGTTTGATAAACTTAGTGATGTATTTTCAGAGAGTGCTCTGCATTACTTGCAGGTTTGACTTTTCTCAGTCTTTGGAGAACCCACTCTGTTAGACATTTTGCATTAACAAGTCTTTGGGTCTATATTGAGTCTAGTTTGATATTTAGATTCATAGATTATTAAGGCAAAAATTACTACTGTGATTTAAATAGTTGACTGCATAAAAGAGACGATTGGACATTCCCAGAAAATTCTGAGCTACAGTAAAGCTTTTGAAATAAATCAACAGTAGATATTTGCAATCACAGTGGGCCTCTGGTGCTTTTGATGCCTGTTGCACTGAAACAGGAGACACGCGGTATTTTTATAGCCATTGATTGTGAAGTTGCCTTGTTCGCTTTGTTTTTTTAAGTTCTTTTCACCCTTTAAGTCTTTATTTGTCTTTAAAGACATCAGAAACAAAGTACTAAGGCTTTAGAAGATGCTTTTGTGGGGAGTTCCAGCACTGGAGCTTTGCAGTTTCAAGGGCAAAGCAGAATAAAATTCTCTGGGGCTTAGTTTCTGTGAGAGAAATATCCCTATTAATAATACTGTACAAGCTCCTTATGCCTGTAGAGAAGTAAGATACTTGCACATTACACAATTGCTATTTTCTGCCTTCTCCCCAAGACTGATCTACTTCCGTGGTTTTTTTCCCTTATTTCCCTTTTCTCAACTTGACCTTCCAGTGAAGTGTAACAATGGTAGAATGATGCTTTTGTATTTATTCACTCCCACTCTTCATTCCTCGCTGCCACCATTATTCAATAATTATCCCAACAGCTTCCTTCCAAATGCTGGTAACATTTTTTTAAATAGGATAGCACCAGAAGGCCCTCTAAGAACAGGAGGGCAATAACTTTCTCCTGGGGACAATCATATGTTTGGACGATGCAGCCAGATCTGATAGAGAGTGTTTGTCCATTGCTTGAGGTTTACATGTGTCAAAAAAACCCATCAACTCATATCATAATCATTCTGATAATGTATGAAATTATATTGAGATCTGACTTGATCTATCCAGAGGAAGCAAAAAAAACCCCACCTGTGTCCCTTTTGCATGTAATGAAGTACAAATTCCTTTCATTTGGAAAATAAAATACATGACAGAGGAAATATGAGATTAAGAAGTTAGAACAAATGCTGTGTGTTTTGCTAGCTGTGTTTTCAGTTTTTAAAATATTGTTTTGCAAACTTCCCATATTCCCATAGGAAATCAAAAGTGGTGTTGATGAAAAGCATGCCAGGCTGTACCAGATGGTGAAAGAAGGGAAGAAATTGCTGACTGCTGTGAGCTGTCCAGAAATAAGAAGCCAGATTCGGAAGCTGGAAGAACAGTGGTTGTCTTTAACCAAAAAAGTTGGTCATGAACTACACCGACTTCAGACATTACTCAAACTCTTGGTCAGGTGAGTATAACTAAGAAAGCAATTAGAGATATCAGCTAGAAATTAGTTTCTGACCTTTGATAGATGGATTTTCTGAAATATGACTGTGAGTTAATAAATAACATGGCTCCTTTAACTTAAAAATGAGAAAAAGAAAAAAAAAAAAAAGCAGTGGCAGTCGGAAAAGTGGCCCTTTATTACACAGCTGATCTTCTCTCACCGTGTAGACAAGTGCTTCACTTCCTGCTTACTTTTGTAGGAAAAATATTTTGATTGCTGCTATTGGAAAGTCAGTGCATCTAGGTGAGAGCTGCATCGTGCTGAAGTTTGTGCATTGGAAGTGTTAACAGGAGCTCTGATCATGCTGCCCTAAGCATTTTGGTCTGCTACGAATGCAAGCTAGCCTTGATTCCCATGCAAAGGCATAATGCGCCTGTCTGTGCACGTACACTGTCCACCTTACAAACATTCAAGACCTGGCTGAAATGCTGGCTCAACTTGTGTTTTGAAGCTCTGCAAAGGGGAAGGACCCAAGCATGCTCAATGCTTTCACATGGCGTAAGCCAAGTGTCAATGCAGTCCTGGCAATCAGGCGGAGACAGTTTGGGGGCTCTACAGCCCAGTCCACCAGCTGATGTACCAAGCTCAGCTCTCCCTGCACCTGGTCTGTGCGCTCCGAGCTCAGGCTGGCTGGACCAATAGTGTGGACAGAGCATGCCAGTGTTTGTTGGTATTTATCCCGTCTGTGCATTCTGCACTGTATTGTGCAGTATGCACAATCTCCTCGGGTGATTTTCAGGGAGAGCAGACCAACTGAAAAGAGCTGAGAGGAACAGTCTTCTGTGTACCTCCAGCAGAACTGCTGTGTTGCACATTGATCCATGCTGTAGCCATGACTCTGCAGGGCTATGTAGCAGGATAGGTGCCAGAATAACATATGCCTTCCTAGAGAGAGGAAGACAACTTGAAGGGTGAGAAATATACCCTAGACTCAGCTAGGAGATGTATGTTTGTGAGTTTTGTTTTCTCCTTGTAGCTACAACAGAGACTCAGAGGAATTAATGGAATGGCTGGATTCTGCTCAGCAGAGAATGAATTTTTGGAAGGAGCAGTCTCTCAACGTGTCACAAGATCTTCCCACCATCAGGGATAACATCAACAGCTTGTCTGTAAGTCAGTTCTCCTGCTGGGTTTAGATAAGACATCATGACTTTCATTGAAAATGACCCTTTTGAGTGGTTTTTGTATTTGCCATTACCCAGAAGCTGCCCACACAATATAGCACTGAATGGCTTTGTGCCCCAAAAGCCAACCCATTATCTGTGTGGGGAGCCATGAGGATGGGAGGCCACCTAAGATCTTCCTTCAGATTGCAAGACCAGCCAGAATACATAAATCAAAATGGAATCCTCATGTAATGAGCTCCTAACTGCAACACATCACAGCCCAGCCAGGATCTCTTATACACCTACAGTGAAATGGCATGTTTTCTGTCTTGCTCCTGATGCCAAGCAGTTCAGCCAAGCTGATGGGCCACTTACCAACCAAATCTGGAGTGTGGGCTCAAGGAGCAGGGGTGAAGACAGTGGGGCTGTGAAGATGGTGGCCAAAGTCAGGGAAGAGAAACATGCTGAATTGCATTTCATGTCTCTGCCTGCCCCCCCGATGCTGTGCTCCCCTTGTATGACTAGCCAGGAGGTTCAGCCCCAATGTGAGGCCTGACAGAGGGAGTCTGACACGGCGGGAAAGCAAAACATCATGGAGGTTCGGCTGGTAGGTGTGAGCTGGCCAGAGACTCAAGGACTGGGGTTGCTCCCTGTACCTCTATGTGAAGTGGGGATCAGGATATTCCCAGTTCCTGTGGATCAAAAGGTGGTGTTCAGCATTGTATCCAGCTGGGCAGAAAAAGGCCTTACCTGCTGCCAGAACATGTTGAGTTTAGGTTTACTGAATTTTACAAACTTGCTAAAATCTGTGTATTGAGGCAGTTAATCCTATGACTGAAGACCTGGTTTGTTGTCTTTATTTAAATAAATACATAAATACTTACCCTTTCTTAAATTTCTCTTGTGCACCTCAGACATTCTCTAAGGAAGTTGATGAAAAATCTTCCCTGAAGTCATCTGTGGTGAGTGCTGCCAACCAGCTCTTCCATGTGAAGCAAGCTGATACTGCAGCACTTAGGTCATCTTTGGCAAAGTTTGAGCAAAAATGGGGAGAACTGATTATACAGCTCCCAGCCATCCAAGAAAAGTTTCACCAGGTGAGAAGAAACTCTGCTGCCATCTCTCAGTTCAAGCTAAATAATGACTTTAAAATGTTGCTGCTGGGATTCAGACAGCTGCTGCCTAAGGCCTGCAAAGGACCTCTTTCCTAATTAGCTGTCTGTCTTGCTTTCAGAATATCCCCAATATTGTCCTGCAATTTAATTACTGCAGTGTTCTTCCTGGGCTATTTTGCACATATCTACTATCTTTACAGTTTTATATGAAAGTCTGTTACAATCAGAAAGAATTTTATTTCAAATTTCTGAATTCTCAGACTTCTCTTAATTTGTCATATGCCCCTCTGGAACACAGGGCTCACTTTCAAGTTCATACCCTGATAAATGCAATTATAGTGCCTGAGCCTTTCTAAAAATACAGGTGTCATCCTCCTTGATATTTCTAACAAGCAGAGTGTAGAGGATTCATTATATGCTTTATCCCCAGCTTCAGATGGAAAAACTTTCATCGCGGGAAGCTATTGCTGAACTAATGACCTGGCTGGACCATGTGGAACAACAGCAGGGACATGAGGAGCCAATAAATGCGCAACGTAGTGCTGCCCAAGTCCGAAGCCTCCTTCAGAAGTACAAGGTAAATGGGAAGCTGTAAGTCCAGGCCTTCTGCAAGGTGTTTAACTGTAACAAGGATGGAAACAGCCTACAGACACTATCATATCCTTCCCCTTGCTCTTGGGAGGGTTACTTAGATGTTCTCAAGGGTGCCTTAACCTCTTCCTTTATAAAAGCCTTTTGCTTCCATGCTGCACAAAACACTGCCTGCCCTGCAATACAGCTACTACCTGCTGTGCTATAATCTCCTTTTCCTCATGCTGTCCCATCTGTCTTGCTTGTTCTGTCTCTCTTACATTTAGATTATAAAACGTGTTGAGCAGGAAAGCTTTGCTTCCTTAGAAAGATAGACTCTCTGTTTGTGCTGTGGTTTAGCCTGCCTTTTCAACAAGGTATATCTCATAAATTTGGAGCTCCATAGCCAGGATTCATTTAACTAGAGAACAGGGTTTTTGAATATTATGTTTCATCAAAAGCAATAACCTGCTAGGAAAGAGGGACAGTCTTGGACAGGCTGCAGCAGACTCCTGGCTTTGTTCAGATGCCAAAGCACCAATGGCAGAGGCTGATTGCCCCAGCCACAGGAAGGATTCAATGCTTGTACTTCCATAGGTGCCCGGGATCCCAACCTTAGGGCATGAATCCCTCCAGAGCCATATTTTGCTCTGCCCTTGCAGAGCTATTGAGCAGTGCTCTGGGCTCAGACAGGACTACAGTTCTCAGTCTGCAGCTGCAGTTCTTGGACTCTTTGGTACTGCACATAAGGCAAGTGCCAACATAAGCATTTATTTCAAAGTGCCTTAGTATAGCAGATATGTAACATTTTGGTCTATATCAGTTGGATTTGGAAGTTGGAACATGTAGGCGAGGTGCTGTTTTTAACCCTTTGGATATTTAGAAATCAGTTTGTAGGTGTGCCTTTTGCACTTGACAGCAATGTGGGGATGTGTATGCTGAGAATAAAGCTGGGATGAGGGTCACGAGTTCCTACAGGGAAGCAGCTATGGCTTCAGTACTTCTACTGTGGTACTCCCTGGCGGCTTTCTTCAGGGTACTACTATATACAGTGAAGAGCCCTTTCCTTCCCTCTTCTCCTAAGACCTTCTGAAATAAAAAGGCGTTCCCCTATGTCGTTCTCTCTTTGCACGTAGTTTCTCACTCATCTTTGTGGGCAAGGACACTGGTGCTGGAGGACACTTTTGCCTCCCAGATATTCTGTTCTGATACCAGGTATTTTGATAAAGGAGCACAAGCTCTTGTCTGCACTTGTCTGTACTTGTCTCTGAGTCGCAGGAGTGTGGGAAGGCCTCAGTCTTAGCCTAATCCCGGCCCATGGCAGTGTGATGGTATTGTCCAATGGATAAAGTACTGGGTCTGGTACCCCTAGGTTTGTTCTCTGCTCTGGCACTAGGCTGCTCTTACCTTGAGCTACCCACATAATGGTAGTGATTTTCTGTAAAGTCTCAGTGGATGGAAATAGCTACACAAATATAGAATGGTAAAAATTGAGAATTATTCCTACAGCCAGGTCTCTTCCAGAAAAATATTTTAGGCCACGGTTGAGAATAAGCCATGAATGTCCCATAGCTGTGTCTTGAAGCAGCATTGGAACTGGTCAGATTAAAACTGCCAAATTAATTGGTTCTTTTTTTTTTTTTTTTTTTTTTCTTTTTTCCCCTCCAGGAATATATGATGGAAATGAACTTTAAACAGTGGATGGTAGATTTTGTTAACCAGTCACTCTTGCAAATGAGCACTTGTGATGTGGAAAGCAAGCGGTATGAAAGGACAGAATTTGCCGAGTGTCTTGGAGAGATGAACCTGCGGTGGCACAGGCTGCAGTCTTCTCTGAACAGAAAGGTTTGATTGAGTTCTGATTGCTTTCTGTCACAACTCTGATCTTACCTGTGCTGGTGCTCTGTATTTTGCAAGCAGCCTTTTCCCCTGAGACTGAAAACACTGTTGAACACAGTGAGACTCACTGTGCTCTCTGCTGTCTCTCCATCCTGCTGTCTCATCGGCAGCCTATGGGTTGGTCTTGTAGCACGTCAGCTATCAGGTGGTGGATAGGCATCCAAGCCTCAGCAAGGTCTGGGAGGGTAAACTCTCCTATAACTTGCAGGGAGGGAAAATAGGCAAAATCTGCTCTTCATGACAGCCTGGGATTTACCCTAGTTGACTGTATTAGGTGGAAAAAATAAGATTCCACATATGAAGAAAATATAGTCAGTGATGTGTCAGCAAAGACCACCTATACTGAGAAAACTGAAAAAGAAAGAATTTGGGGTAGTGTCCGCAGGGGAACCTGTTAGTGAAATCTGTTGAAGCTTTGGGGTGCTGTGGAAGTTGGGACATTTAAAACTTAAGGGGAGAAAACACTGGGTGGTTTGTGGAAAGGAGAGGTGCTGCACTGCTTGGTACAAACAGCCAGGTCCTGCTCAGCAAACACAGCACCAAAAAAGCAAACAACTCCTCCACATGCCATACGACAGGAATGAGAAATAGGGATATATTAAGCTACCACCCATTTTGCTGTTATAGCAGTTGGATTTGCCAAAAAAGTAATTATTAAGTAAATAGTGTTGACAGCCATATTCAGATGGGGACATATGACCCTGCTGAAAAGGCACAGCAGAGATCTGTTCCCAGCCCTGCTCCAGCCCTCCTGGGTCACTGGAAATGTCTTACTCTGCTTCTGTGTCCTCCCTCTTCAGTAATAAAATATGCTTTCCCAATGGAGTGCTTTGAAGATCGGCAGCTGATAGGCAAATTCTACGTGTAGACTAACTATACCAGCACATCTTCTGTGTTTCTCTGTAGAAAAACTGTTTCAGACAGTGCCTCAGAATTACTTTACTCTAGCGAGGCTGGAAATAATCCATGTATCCAGAATTAGATGCTGGTGCTTGTGTGCCCCAGCGCCCGAAGAGCTAGTGTGACTCGTGCGATGTGGAAAAGACCAGGGGAAGGTTAGCATCCCACAATGCAAACATGAGGCTGCTGGAATGAATCCCTCTACCAGCACATTCCTCTTTCATCTCTGTTTCTCTCCTGAACTTACAGGACTTTGGGAGAAGCTGCCCTCCCTGAATCCAGATACAAAGACTGCTGATCAAACAGAAAATTCCCAAATTTTTCTGACTCAGAAAGTCTTCCAGAAACATTTTCAAGTGGAAAGTTCAGTTCCTGAACAACTGAAAATTTCCATGATGAAGTTTCAGTTTTGGGGGGCAAAAGAGCTATCTTCTTTAATCATTTTCAGGAAACTGCATTCTAAGATTTAATGGATCCTCAGGGCCAAAACTGAAGATAGGAGACTTGAGGTCCCTTGCTTATTAGTAACTTTGTTGGGCGATTTTAGGGAGATTGAAGTTTTCAGACTTCATATGAACATGTCCATGTAGTCCAGGGTCCCCCAGCCTGTCAGGTCTGCAGGTTGCCAGGTCCAGAACTCACACTGCCTTGTTTCCTTCCCAGGGAAAAGGTCAGATCCTAAAGAGCCAGTAAAATTTTTTAGATTTTCCTTTCAAAATATTTTCTCTAAATAGTATTTTCATTGTAAATATTGTAATCTCAAATTTTGTCATGGAATGGGGAGCAGTGTTTCTGCCCACCTCTAGGTTTAATGAGTTAAAATAGTTCTGTAACTTTCAGATACAAGACCTGCAACACATTTTGGAGGATATTACTGAAAATGAGAACAAAGCACAGACTCTACGCAACTGGCTGGAAGCTCAGAGTGACCGACTGAGATCTTTACAAACCCCAGCAAGTCTGATCTCTGCACAGAACACATTAGATGATTGCAAGGTAAAACATTATATGTGTGATATTACTACAAAAAACATATTTAGCACTTTGCCAAATCCAGAGTAAAGAATCGCACAGATTTTAACAGAAAAAAAAATTGAAGTTGCCATTTTCTAGAACAATGCTACAATGTAATTTTCATTAAAGCCTGTTCAGGTGATAAAGAGCCAGATCCACTTTTAATGTGAATTGCTGTTTTATGTTTTTTTCCTCCAACTGAAGATGCATCTGCTATTGTTCTGTGGTATTTTGGAGTGTTGTGCAGCAATATTGTAGATCTTACTCTGAGATGACTCCAAAAGAAGTTGTTTTCACTTCAACACAGCCATGGCAAAAGCTATTGATTCCATTAGTCTGAAGAGCTCTGTGGTGGCAGTGTTGTGGAAACTACACAGACTCATTTGGAAAAATAGCAACTCTCTATACTCCTGCCTTAGAATGGAGTCTCTCTGCACCAGTCTCAAGAATCTGGGTGTACTTTGGGGTTTTTTGTGTTTTTCTAGGCATAAGTTCCCTCAGAATTAGTACAGGTGCAGCCAGCTAATAATTGGCTCCTATTACTCTGACAGTCTGCTGTTTTCATTCAGTACAGTGTTCCTTCTCTATTTTTTAACATGGAATATTTGTTCTTTCATTGCCATGGTTACGTGTCTCTCTCTTGTAGTAGGCTGCTTTTATTGCCTAGAGTGCACTGTTACCCACCAAATTACTTGTCTCTTTGAAGCACTCTGAAATGTATTGAGGGGCCAGAATGGAAGAAAGACACAGGGTGTCTTTGGCTAAAACACTAACCTGCTCACAGCAAGGTACAGCTCTAGGATGCAGGTGGCTAAAATATTTCATTAAAAGTAATTTGCTCAAGGAAAATGAGGTCCAAATTTGGAAATGTTTGGGGGACTGTAAGTAGGGGGGAAAAAAGTCATGACTTCAAGCGTAGTATTATAGGAAAATGTTAAGGCCCATTGTGAGTATGGATATTTACTCATGTTGTGAAGAACTTATTGGTGAGCTTTCCCCAGCATGTCAAGACTAGCTTATAATCTTGCTGATTGTGTTAGGGGAGAAGTTATTCTCCCAGGCATCTCCATGATTTCAGCGGGGTTACTCCCATGGGAGAAAGACTCTGGCTAAGAGGACAAGATGAAAATAACTTTCTAGAAGTTGTTAGGATGTCAGGGACCCTCATATGGCAATGTCAGTTCCTATTTTACCTTTGTCTGCTAGAATAGAGGAGGATCCAAATGCTAACCTATCCAAGAAAAAGTTCAGCTGCATTAAAAGAAACACTTTTTGCATCTGGAGAGGTACAAAGAGGCTTGCATGGTGGCTGAGGAATTAGCTCCTCATAATTTCCTTCCTAAGTATGATGTCCAGTGCTCATGCTGACACCAAATGGACTGATTCTAGCTCTACCTGCAGGAGACTGTCTAAAGCAGCCACTGTCATTTTGAATTCCTGTAAAACAGTTGTTCTGTATCAGAGTTGAAATGGTGGTGGTGTTGCACGGCTGAAAAATTACACAGAATTGGTTTTAAAGAAGGAATGTTTATCTAAGCTCCTCACACAGATTTTCTTCTATGGTCTCATTAAAAGATCTTATTTTTTTTTGGTGGTTTTTTTCATTTAGGAGCTAGAAAATCAACTCATCACTAAATCCAAAACTCTTGATGAGCTCAAACAGAGTTTGGCTTTGAATGGTAGTGCAGAACAAACCCCAGAAGCTCTGTCTCTCGGGATAGCTGAGCTGTGTGAAATGATGGACAGCACTGAAAGCCAGGTAAAAGCTTTGTTTGCATTCAGATTTCTTCCAGTACATATTCTTACCACTAATGTTACTCTTCATGGAGGGGCCGGTACAAAAAAGATGCAAAGTATTCCTTATTCTTAATCTTAACCTTCCTAAGAACTTCCTTTGAAGTCTTTATGTAACATAAACTAATGTATTTCCAAGGTTGGGAGAGAAAAATAATATCTGATCTCAAAGTAGTTTGAATACAGTGGGAGGATGGACAGACCCCCATCTGCAGTTTAAGAAAATAAAGAAATAGCACTGCTTTTTTTTTCTGTCACATTGAAAATGGAAACTTTAAAGACTCTTACTCAATCTGCTTCTCTTCCATACCCTGGTCTTTCTCCCCTGTAGTAATGCTGGTGGAAGCTGCTTACTCCTGCACCATAATCACTGTAGCTTTTCCATCTCCCAGTTAGTCTTTCGACCACACGCCTGGATGGCTTTTGCTATCTTCAAATCCTGTGTAGTTTCCAATTGCTTCAAGGAGAGTCTGACAGATTGGTCAGTCTGCATTTATAGTTATATTGTCTTTATACCTGAAACTCATCTTTTTTTTATCTAGATGTAATTGATAGGTGCAGAAGATATAATACATACATTTATGAATTTAAATTTGTTATAATAAATACATGATGCAGTGATTGTGTTTATAGTTAAGATTCCCTTACACTTTCTATTATAAATGCCTTGCTTTTGTTCCTCAAAACTTTGTGAAATCTGGTGCATGATGAAAGTTGTCCCTTCCGCTATAGAGCTGGGGATTGAAATTGGCAGGACTGACAGCCTAGTGCTTTTTTCTTCTTACAGTCACCATGGTCACATTAATTTTAGTATTTTTATGTCTTAAGTATTGAACTTAAAGACTACAGAATGTTCTTACATCCTAGTTGTCTGCATGTGCAATGAAACACCAAGTGCAGCTTTCTTCCCACAGCAGAGCCAGGCTGTGATTTCAAATACAGGTCTAAGGAGATGATTGTACCTTGATTGTATTGTCCATAGATTGATTTCAAAACTGTGAGTCTGTGGCCCAGAGACATTTCACAAGCATGATGTCTTTCCATCTTCCTTGTGTGGGTGGTAATTAGCTGCGTGCTACAAAAAGCAATTAGAGATTCCTCCCACCTATACCACTATTCGAATGAGAATAGGGATGATTAATCCATCTACTCCTGCATGCCTGGAACTAGGATAATAGGATACAATGATCCATATAGTCTATTTAGCATGCACTACGGTGTAGAAAAGTCTTCGTCTTCCATTGTGTAGATGTATAGTCAGAACTGAAATCTGGCATCTGCCTTTGCCAGGTCCCATGGAGGCATGCCTGTTTGCTTGCCTGGTTTTCATGGTCTTCTCAAAGCATCTGGTACTGGCATGACTGAAAATACATATTGAATTATATGAATGTTTTGTCTAACCCAGGACATGCCTTATGTACTTACCTGATACAGAAGGATAAAAATGACAAATCACACTGAAGGAGGACTGTGGCCTTGTGTTTGCAATGTCTAGGAGTATGTGGCAAATGGAAACCATGCTTGTCCCCATATAGATTAAACAACTGCAATAATGAAAGAGACATAGAAAGCAAAGAGGATATCCATAATTTAATTTTATATGAGAATCCTGAAGTTCCTAGACTGCAATTCAGGTGGGCCTGCATTATTAGAGCACAATGGCATAAGAGGGACAATAGCTCTCCAGAGTATTGTAGTAGTATCGTCTTCTGTACAAAACAATTTCTGTTCAAATTTTCATTGAAAGGGAACTTGATCCCTGGATCAAACTATTTGCTTCCTAAGAAGATTAAGGTTCTCAACTTCCTCCCACTTCAAGTTGATTTTGGCAAGAAGGAATAAGCAGTTCATTATTTCAGTACTTTTTACTTTTTCAGGCATTCTGGAGTTGTGTCTGACAGAATACTGCTACCTTGAACTCTCGTTCTAGTTTAACTCTGGTTAAATTTTTATTTCTAGCAAATTCTCATACTTCACTCTAAAGACCATTAACTGTTTGATTTGCAGCCTGCACAATTCCTTACTAAGTAAGAAATTACTCCAGCTTGTGAAATTCTTGTGGCTTGTCATGGAGTGAGAATCACAGAAGCACAGAATCGCGAGGGTTGGAAGGGACCTCGGGAGATCATCTAGTCCAACCCTCCTGCTAAAGCAGGTTCTCGTAGAGCATGTTGCACAGGACTTCGTCCAGGCGGGCTTTGAATATCTCCAGAGAAGGAGACTCCACAACCCCCCTGGGCAGCCTGTTCCAGTGCCCTGTCACCCTCAGAGTATAGAAGTTTTTCCTCATATTCAACTGAAACCTCTTATGTCTCAGTTTGTACCCATTGCCCCTTGTCCTGTCACTGGACACCACTGCAAAGAGTCTGGCTCCATCCTCGTGACTTCCACCCTTAAGATATTTGTATGTGTTGATGAGGTCCCCTCTCAGTCTTCTCTTCTTCAGGCTGAACAAGCCCAACTCTCTCAGCCTTTCCTCCTAGGGGAGATGCTCCAGTCCCTTTATCATCCTAGTTGTTCTCCTCTGGACTCTTTCTAGGAGTTCCTCATCTTTCTTGAACTGGGGAGCCCAGAACTGGACACAGTACTCCAGGTGGGGTCTCACCAGGGCAGAGTAGAGGGGGAGGAGAACCTCCCTCGACCTGCTGGCCACACTCCTCTAAGCATTGAGCTTAGATTTTTACGTCAATTTAAAAGTGATTTATATGTCAGGACTACCCAAGAAATAGTAATAAAAGTGGTTCATTTGCAGGTTGCACAGTTAAAGACCTCAATGCAGTCAATACTGGAGCAGTGGAAACTATATGATGAAGTTTATGCAGAAGTCAGCCTGATGACAACAAGATATTTGTACTCCATAGACCAGTGCAAACCTTCTGTGGTGTCATTGGAAGCTTTGAAAAACCAGGTCAAAACTCTCCAGGTAAAATCTACTGAAGTTGTCATATTTCCGTATTTCCTTCTTTGCCTTTAAAAAAATAAACAAACTCCACCGTAAAACAGACAGAAAAATTCATCTGAGCCACCTCCTCTTTATTATAGTGCTATTGAAGTCAGTGGAATACTTTTTTCTTTTTTTTTAACTCCAGAGGCACTGAGGACTATTTTTAGATTTCTTACTTTATTTAGCACATAAATTCAACTCTGGTGCAATTTAGATACCAAGGTTCAAGAGAGAAGTACAGGTCAGCTGCTACCATGTCTGCCTTCCTGTGGGCTAGCAGAGCCTCCATTTTGAATTGCAAAGATCCCTTGATGTTTTAGTCTTCTACATGTGCTGGAAGGCATCCCCATATGAAGCACCAGGCCCTCACGCTCCCTTGCACCACAGAGTCCAGAGGGACGTGGGCACTGCACCACCACCCCTCATGCTAATGCCTACTCATAGAATCATAGAATGTTTTGGGTTGGAAGGGACCCCTAGAGGCCATCTAGCCCAACCCTCCTGCAGTGAGCAGGGACACCGCTAACCAGATCAGGTTGCTCAGAGCCCCGTCCAACCTGGCCTTGAATGTTTCCAGGGATGGGGCCTCCACTCCCTCTCGGGGCAACCTGTTCCAGAGTTTCACCACCCTCATTGTAAAGAATTTCTTCCTTATATCTAGTCTAAACCTACCCTGGTTTAGTTTAAAACCATTACCCCTTGTCCTGACACAGCTGGCCCTACTAAAAAGATTTTCCCCACCTTTCCTGTAGGTCCCCTTTAGGTACTGAAAGGCCGCAATCAGGTCTGCCCGCAGCCTTCTCTTCTGCAGGCTGAACAACCCCAACTCTCTCAGCCTATATTACTATTATTACTCAGTCCATGTATAATCCACATGGAGAGCAGGAAGTTTGGCTGGAAATACAGCTGGCAAAGGAAAACCTAATACTATTGCTGTTTGTGTTTGCCTAAAGGTTACTTGCCATTCAGGTGAAAGATGTTTGTTCTCAGCTCATTGATTGAAAGGAAATTTGCCCCTTTGCTTGCACTTCCCAGGGAATTGCCCTGCCATAAGGCTGTAGCATAACCTGGAAGGAGTTGCCTGCGCGTCGATGCTGGGACTCGGTGCAGAAATGCAGGGGACCTGGGAGAAAATCGGCGAAGGGACTATGTCTCTAGATCTGTGATTTGAAGGCTCTGCTTGCGGTGCTATGTCCCAGCTGCTGTGCCAATGACCACTGACACATTCTGCATTAAAGCGTTATTTGCATTAAAGCATCTTTCCACATATAAACAGCATGGGAGTCAAGGTCCAGGACCCAGGATTCCCCTTCCCAAAAGCTATGGCTTGGGTTGGGTGGGTGCAGCAGCCCTGGGTCAGAGCAGGGGGACACCCAAGCCTGTCATTTCCAGTTCCTCCAGCACAAAGTGAACTGTTCAGTTGCCCTCCAGAGAGCTGGAGTTTTCCTGCACAGCCTCTGAATGAGGCTGGGCATAAATGCCAGGCGTAAATGCTCTGGATTGTCCTGCTGCTCTGCTTGGCTATTACAGAGTCTAAGTGGGGCACTGTTTCAGTGTAAATGAGGCCTGGTTTCGTTTATTTTCAAGTTATATCAAGAAGTGGTGCAGGACAGGCTGAGGCTGTGAATCCCAGGTACGTGTCTCTTGGCAGAAAAGCCTGCATAAGCGATTTCCACCCTCACCTGGGTACACGTAATAAATGGAAGGAGCTGGGTGCCTTCTTACTTCCATCCATCACCCTCTTTATTTTTAATCTGGACCAGTTCACAGATACGATCCATGACACAGTTCTGCAATTGCCTGTATCAGTAGGGGAACACACAGCCAGGGACAGGAGTTGTCAAGCCAACTTTACTGCCAGTAGAAATTCCCTGAAACAGTGGCTTAAAATAAAAACATTTTTGGTTTCTAGTTAATTAATTTAATCAGTTCAAGGATGTGGGTTTATTAAATGGGCTGTTTCTTTAAGAGCAAATAAATGACTTCAGTTTAAAATAGGCCTCCTGAATGATTTCTTTTAACTTGGACCATTTCACCTCTCTTTTTAGCTTCCTAATTTTTAGGATCAGCTGTTAGATTTTTCACAAACATTTTAATCTGTGCTGCAAACGTGTGGCATTATTGCTACCCTATCCCTACCAATCTATAGGGGAAGCTACATTTAGGTCGTTCATCTCCACAACTAATTGCAATAATCAATTTTGCAGTCTCTTCAAGATGAATCGGAGAACAGTGAAGGAAGTTGGGCCAAGCTCCAGGCTGCTGCCAGCAACCTGAAGAAGAACTGCTCCCCCTCCTTTGCAGAGATTATTGAACAGAAGTGCACAGAGGCACACTCTAGGTAAGCTTGAGAAAAAGACCCCTGTTTATTAGTATTTAAAAAAAAAAAAAGTTGCTGAAGCAGGACTTGAAGGTCTGTCGTATTTTTAAATCTATATTAATACGACTCATCTGTCTAAGGGTACCTGTGTGAGGAGTAGCTGATACTACCTTTCTTGTGATGCATCACAAAGCACAAAATGGTGCTGTGGCAGTGGGCTTTCAGTAACATGGGTATGAATGCAGAGAAACTCCCACAGGAATCCTACACCAAATCATATTCTGGAGGAAAATGCTCTTATCCTTTGATATGTTGGCAGGTGGAACTCAGTAAATGAAGACATCACAGACCAATTGCGGGCAGCACAAGCAACCCTGCAGCTTTGGGAGCCCTTCGATACTTTATGCAGTGAGGCAGAAGCCAAGCTACAGCAGCACAAAGAGCAGTGCACTCAGCTCTTGGATGCTCACATGCCTGAGGATAACATGATAGAAACCCTGAAGCAGAGGATACAGGATATAAAGGTACATGGAGTATGTTTCTGCTGCCTGGTACAAACCAGGATTTATTTCTGAGAAACAAATCAAAAGGAACACCTTCTTCACCCTTCCTCCCCCAAATCCAGTCAGTGGAAAACATAGAATCTGTGGGGTTTTTTTCCCCTTAAGAGGCACCTTTGTATTTCCTTTAAATACTTTGACCAGATCCTGAGACCAAACCAAACTAGAGTCAGCATAGGGTGAGAAGAAAGCATCTTCTGCCCCTTTCTGCTCAATGCAAAGAATCAGGGCTGTGTTGGAAGGAATCATTAAACCAAAAATTATTTACTTTATGGGGATCTGCTTGGGAGGAGATATAATATCTACTAGAACAATAGCTGGCAAAAAAAGACCAGTTTTCCAGAACACAGAACAATCTTGAGGCCTTCTACAGTCTTCAAATTGGTTTTATTTGGATTTGGTACTTTTTTTTTGGCCTGGTCTGATAAGTTCACAGATTTCTGAGCTCATTAGATTATTCTAAATGCTTCTGACTTTAGGCAAATGAGATCTCATGCTGAGACCACAGGGTACATTTGACTCTCGAGCAGCAAAGCTGCCATTAGGTTCTGACATTCTGGGTTTCTTCAGACTGCAGTAAAGAAATATAATAATCCTTATTTCAGGACAGAGCGATGATTCATCATGCTTTATGAACCTCTAGCCACGTACTGGAAGAAGTCTAAAGTACTCCATTTTGCACGTGGCCAATTAAGAAACTTTACATTACGGGAAAGAGAACTCATATATTTCTTCCTGTGTCAGAAACCACTGACAGCAGTAAAGCTTAGACCAAAACACTTTCACTTTCTTCTGATCTATTAATGGCTGTGACAGAAAGTCATCAATATGTCAGCAAAAAGGCATCACATTTTCTGGAAATTTTTGGGAAGAGTTTTGCACCTGCTAAGCAAGACATGACCACTAGAGTGCCATTAGCACTGTAGATCCTGTCCTGGTATGTGTGGGTAGGACACACAGAATTTCTTGCGGTTTTTTGAAAGTGGTGAGTTAGAAGAATGGGGATCAGTGATACGGCATATGAGTTACGTGTGTTTGAAAATACATGTGTGTTACCAAACTGAATTTTAATCTCTCTAATCTTTTCCTCTAGTATATATTAGGAAAGATTATGGTTTTGTGTAACTGTCGCCACAATAAATAAAAATAAAGTTCTGAATAGAGAGTAAAAAATCAAAATGGGTTATTTACTAAATGGCTGAAGTGGCAATTTATGATGTGATTCATTCTAAAGACAGGGGTCCGGAACTAAAAGCCATTGTGCTTTTTAGGGAAGCATGTCTGCTCTTTGCTATCAATCAGAAGTTGTCATTCATTACTCACAGAAAAGACAATATACAGTGGCAAATTCCAGGGGTTTTCATGGCTAGAAGTAAATGACAGTTGTCCAGGTCAAAGAAATAATCAAGTACATTGAACGGCGTATAAAACAACTCCTTGTTGTTCTTGTACTGCCTTCAGAGTTCAATTTTATAGTATCACTTCTCTAGTAAAGGGGAACAAATAAAACCAAACCCATAGTCCTCAGTCACTAAGGGATCCAAAGTACTGGTATGTTTGTAACATAATAGTTATGGGCCAGTTTCTCCATCTGCTAGTGTAAATCCATTCTGTAGAGAGGGATATTCCGATTTCTCTTCCTAGTCTCCTCTGTAGCAGTAGTATCCTGAAGTCACTGGTGTTCCATTGAACTTTGAACTGTGCCTTTCCCAGCACTAGAGTAATGGATGCAGTTCCCATTATCCTCCAAGTAAAAGACGGAAGCTTGCACCATAGCTGAATTTGGCTCCCAGAGGAGATCAACAAAAAGAGCTTAGTTACAGCAACAAAAGATACTAAATGAAAGTGGCACATGAATGATGATCTGATTGATTTGCTGACTTTTTTTTTCTTTCCCCTTCTCTCATCAGAATTTACAGCATGGCCTTCAAAACATAACAGGATGCCGTACCCAGATTTCTTTGCTGGCTGATAGGATAAGACAGCAGTCTGGGACAGCTGCAGAAGCCACTCTGTTGGAGAAGCTGCAGACGCTCCAGAGAGCATCCTATTTGGAAAAGATGTTGCAGAGGAAGTTAGATGAATTTGAGGTATTTTTTTGAATATTAAATTAGCTGTCAGTGTGAGGAAACTTCTTCACTAGAGCCCTATGTGAGCTACCTTCTTCACTAGAACACTGTAGTTCTTGAATTGAAATGAAATTTCAAAAAAATTAAACTTGACAGTATGAGCAACTATGTGAGCAAGTAATACATGAAGCCAGAGGCACAGATAAAGGAAGGGTTTCAGCCTTCGTACCTGCTTGTGTTGCTCTAACAAGCCTTTGTAAGTGAACCTATTACAGTCAAGCAGTGCGGGACCCTCAGATGATTGAAGGTTAGGAAATGTACTTTTATTCTATGAACTTCAAAGTAAGTTGTAAACTTTCTTAGCTCTGCCTTTGAAAAAACCTAAGACCTTCATTTTGATTTGATAAGAGTGCATACAATGTGCCTAAAACCAAACAGAAAACTGTGGTCATTTGATGTAATTTTGAAGACCAGATTCAAATCCCTTTCAGGCAGAGTAGAGAGGGACCTGGGTCCAGGTTTCCCCGTAAGATGCTGTGCTCACAAGAGTGTTGTGGGATTGACTTCCCCTCTGCACAGCTATTCCCAAGAAAACTTTCAAGCAAATGTACTGCTGTACATTTACTGATGTAAAATTAATCTGTTCCTGTGAAAAAGTCTGGTTTCAATGAATTGTTCTGTTCTAAAGTAAACCCAAATTCATCAAGAAATTTTCAGCCAGCTCTATTTATGACTCCCGTCTACCAGCACAGTTCAATGGCTGGAAGTCAGATATCTTTGTGAAGATAACAGATTTCTCGTATTCCCTTTGAACTTCTCTCTCCATGAAAAATTTCATTTGTGGGTAGTCATTTTCCCTGGTGTAACCCTGCCACATTACCACAGAACTGTATCTCGCTCCCCACACCAATTTTTGCCATTCACTCTTTATAAAAATTTGCTGTTTCAGTGTTCTTAGAGATGTGGAGCTTAATTCTTGCAAGAAAGAAGAAGCTTTCCAAGTGCTCTTCTCCCTGAGCCAAAGAAACCAACCTAGTGAATAAAAAAGTTGAATTCCAGCCCTAGTTATTTCTTTCCACAGAGCTCACGTAATCTGCACAGCCTTGGCTGTAGGCACATGGGAGCAGGCCCTGTGTGTAGCTTAAACGAAGCTCATGTTTACAAGTTTCTTCCCTCTGATAAACTAAGTTTTGGCTTTCCACTTTCACAGTAGATCAAACAGCCCGAAGCTACAAAAAGGTATTGCAGATGCCCCTATTCCTTCCATACATAGATGAATCTCTCAGGATTTAGAGATTCAGTTTCTGGTGCTCTGCTTTGCCTTAAATTTTCCCCTTATCCAGTGCAAAAACTGAAAAAGTTCAGTTAGTGAGTTATAAATATGTTGGAATTTGGGTTTAACATCTGTTTGTTTTCCTGATGATACTGCTTATTGCTCCTTTTTGTATACTGAATATATATATGAAACCATAATTAATGTAAATATGCAATATTCACCCTAGTTCAATCTTTTACAACTGGAGGATTTCAAGAACTGCCTTGAAACACTGGAGGGTCATGTCAAGAATTGCACAGAGGCCTTCGATAGTCTCTGTCTAGAGGGAGAAACGGACAACTCAGAATTGCTCATGGTATGTTTGGATTCCCAAGAACAAAAAGATACATACTCAGGATTTAGGTGCCCATAGGATACCAGCTCTTGCCTACTTCAAGAAACTCTTTGTGTCCTAAGAATCATAGTTATAGCACTTCTGTCAGAGTAACTATAATCTTATCCAAAATGCAAAAAGCAATGGTTTAAGTTCATAAAAACTCTAGATATGCATTGCAGGCCTAATGCCTGTATGAAGGGGAAGAAAATCACATATATTTGGGGTTGATGTGAGATCTTTTTCACCAGCTTTGCTTGGAGCTACCCTGTTGCCCTCAATGTAGTGTACAAAATAAATCTGCAAGTACCAGCTCTTGAATATCTGTTCAGTACTGTTGGAAAAGCGGTCCCTGTGCAAGGGTATTGTGACTTTTTTTGTTTCCTAAATTCTTTGAAGTTAACACAGAAACGTTGGCTGGTTTTGGGTTAGCATTTTGGATGCATAACCTTCAGATGCTTCCTACAGAAGAGGCTTCTATATTTCTTTGAAATGATAGGAAGGCAGTATTTTTTTTTTTGCAATTAATTTATTTTTTTTTTACTTCCAGAATCACACACTGGAGCTTGCTGCACTTTCTCCAAGCATAGAGAGTTTGAATGAAGCAAGCATTAAGGTGCCACTCAGTGACTTCACCCTGAAGAAAATGCAGAGCCTGACTCGGCAATGGAGTCAGAAAACAGCAGCTGCTCTGGAACGCTGCAGGTCCGAAATGCAAACAAAAAATCGCTACTAACCATTTCCTTTTCTGTGAGGAAAATCAAAACCAAATTAAAACCTGGGAAGTCTTGCAGTCTGTTCTCAGCTTTCTCCAGGGCTTTCCAAGTTGAATTCCTGCCCTTTAAATTTACTCCAGATTATTCAGTAGCTACTTGTATTCCAAGTCACTTGAAGCAAAAATCTGGATGCTCATAGGTGAAGAATGTAGCAAAGTACCAAGCAGAACCCTACTATGTTAGTATTGCTAACCACCACGTTAGACTGTATGCAAACATATCCAGAAAAACAACCACCAACACGGTAGTTTCTGATGATTTCTTTTGTTTTACAGTGTGCTTGAGGGAACTCAAAATGATGAAAAGAAATTCTTTCAGAAATGTGAAAACTGGATGAAATTCCTAGAAAAAATGAAAGAGGCCTTAAAAACAAACATTCCAGGGCAATTTGAAGAACTGCAGGAGCAACAGAGAGTATATGAGGTAAAGCTAACTCTGAAAATGGAAGCATGTTCCTGAACGGTGGAAGTGGGGGGAAATCACTAGAAAATACTGTGCCTTTTCAAATTAGATCTGGGCAGAGTTTTATGGAACATTTTCACTCTTGAAATGTGGCCTTCTACTTATTCAGAGGAAAACTTCGAAATGTGAAAATCCTTTTCCAAAATGGATGGATCCCTTTTTGCAGGGATCAGACCTTTAGGAGTGTGTCATCAAGTGTTGCGTCATGGAAACCCTAGCTTTCTCCAGCCCTGAGGTTACTTGCCTGTCTGCCTGCCCTACAGTGCTGAAGCCTGTGGCAACTAGCTAGGCGGTTTGCTGGCGATCTGGCTGGAACCTTACCAGTTTCTGGAAGAACTGCACTTAAACCAAAATGTTTTCATAGCATATTTTGATTTTGACTGGTTGTTAGATTTTGGTGAAAATCTGTTTCACTGGCATCTTTCCAAACACTTGCTATTTGTTACAGAGAGTGCTTCACACAGGTATGGCAGTATCCATTCAGAGGAGAAGGTACATTGCATGCTACCAGTAGCATGTGAATGCAATACTAAGCAAAGTGTCTATCTATAGACTTTGTCCTAGTGGTGGGAGGATAGAAGAACAACCAAAATACAGAAGAAAAAAAAACCAACAAAACCATGTGGTAAACGCTAAACAGCATGAACTGTTATGGTGAGCTTTATGCTGCAGTGGACCACAGCTTCACACTACCCAAAGTACTGCTGCTAATTCCGTGGGGTGTTAAGTCTCTGCATGTTAGTGATATTCATTAGGGTCCACAAAAAGTTATTCTCTCTCTTTCACTTAGACCTCTCCAATTTATTCATTGCGATGAAATTATTTATAGAATAAACTTTCGTTCATTGTGTTAAAGAGTAAATTCACCCTTATATGTAGCTTTTTTATACCTTTTCTATGGGTTTCTGTCTAGATTGCATTTCCCATTCATGAGTCCAGCCAACTTTAGGCTTCAGATTATCTGTAACATACAGCTCCTGGCGGGTTCTGCTATCACATATATGCAAATTCCCCCGGTATCCAAAAAGTGTGTAATCTGTTAGGGTGCATTCAACACTGGCAGTGGAAAATAATAGAGTTTTCAGCATTTAAAACTAAATAAATGCTGTCACATCTGGAGCAGAACCAGCTTTCGTAGCAAAAGTTGTTCAGTGAATAGCTAAAACTGTTGTTCTTATGGTATTTTCAGATGCTGCAAACTGAGATTTCCATAAATCAGCAGACATTTAATTCTATCATAGCAAAAGTTCTACTCTTCTTGGAATCTGGAGAAGCAGAGAAAAGGTATTCGCTTTATTTTTCTCCCTAAGATCTTGGTAATTCAGTGAATATACTCTCTTCCTTGGAGTTGGTATTGAATCTTTGCTCTCATGAGGACATAATTCTTGACTGGGCTCACTCTTTAAATAACCCCTGGCACATTATGCAAGAGTGTTAGGAGGTGCAATAAGAAAGAAACACAGGTGCTCTGGCCAGACTGCATTTTGGATAGTAAATGGATGGTCTGCCTAACAAAAGTAATTGCTCCTGGACAGGAGGCTTCCTTGTCTACTGCTACCCTGCAGTTGTTGAAACTGTAACTGTGGTTGAGAAGCTACCTTCCTGCAGAGGGTGATGAGGATGCTGCATATCAAAGAGCCTTTCTTTCTTCCTAGACCTCTCTACTTTTTAAAGCACAGAGGTGTGAGACTATCCATGTTGCCCCTGGCACACATGACAGGGCATTGAGTCATCGGCCACGCAATCCAAAACATATGGTAGTTAAACCTGTTTTTTTATCAGAATGATATTATATTTTTCTCTTAATCAGTGTAGAGTGAGAAGCAGCAAGTAATATTTGTGAGCAGAGGTTCAACTGCCTCAGGCATTTCTGCTGTGAAGACATTACCCCTCTCTGCCAGAGCTTGCTGCTCCCAGAGAGCTGGCAGGACAGTGTGTGCGCTCCCCCCAGCCACTTCAGCATGAAGTCCATAGCTTGGCTTAAAAATGCCAGAGAATGTAGGGCTAAACTAAGCAAAGATGATGGATTTTTGTGCTGAAGCTAGCCCCACAAACACAGGTGTTTGTATAAGAGCTAATCTGGGGGCCATGGCCTCCTGCAGAGGAGCAGAATTGATAGATGGGGGTTGTCTTAACCACTGCAGCTAGATATGCTGGATCATCTAACCATGTCATAGGAGAGGCCAAAAACCTGCTTGAATGGGTTCAATAACAACACAGAGCCTTTTCTCTTTGCAGTTAGGTCCCAGTGCTGTAGGATACAATGGTGGTTGAACTCCCGCTTACAGACTGGTAAAGGCACAGATCAATTTTGCAGCACAATCAGTGTTCTTGTCTCACTTGACCTTCTTCAGAGAAGTGTTCGGTGCATATTGTTTCTGTGATTGCTGTACTCCGTATGTTGCTATATCACAATAATAAGAATGATTTACATTATCCATTCTTGTATCATGTAAAAGTATTTTTTGAATGCTTAAATGCTGGAACTCAGAGAGCAGGGCTGAGAGTAGGGCTACATAGAGCTTTTTGCATAGTTGTGTATTGTAATTGGAATACAATATTGCAAATGGAAATTCATAACAATTATTGTAAAAGGCAGCCTTGAGCTCAAAATATATTAACACTCAACATTGGTCATCTTCAGAACAGAGTTTATTTCCAAGCTCACGTTGCTGAAAGAGCAGTGGCAGAATGTTATCCGGATGGTTCAG